AGGCTCAGAATTTTTGTTTTGTGATAACGGTCCGATTTCGATAAGCGTTCGATAAACCACAGCAGTAAAAAGAAATGATACACTGAGAAAAATAATATAGCTGTACTTGCGCAAAATAATTGAAAATAATTATTTATTATTATGTTCAACTTTTAAGTACCTGTTGATACGAAAGCATTTCAAATTATCACATTACCTGTTTTGGGCTTAGCTCCAAGTTTTGTCTACATTAAACCGATCGTTTTCTGATAAATCAAGATAGAAGTCAGTAATATGTGTGTGCAATTTTAATAAATTGAAAATGAAAATAATACATATATTATATTATTATACGTTACTGCATATATAAATACTATTACATTTTTTTCAGACCATATTTTCATATATTTATGACATCTCCATTTATTTTTCAGTTCGTTAAGTGCGGATATGCCGGCAGCAATTTTCCCACCCACATTTTCCCCTCGATGGTGGGACGACCCATGATTCGGGCGGTGAACAAAATCGGCGATATCGAAGTCAAGGTATGATCCATCGTGCTTACCAATTGAAGTATCCAAAATTAATCAACAACATAATGAGATAGTACAACCATACACTACACAAATTCAATTGTGCACAGGCCATCAAATACATGACTATAAATATATATATCATTTTTTTCGATGTAACTACTCCATGACTAGTTAAACGGCAAGAAATACATTTAGCGCATAGAAGTTCACTATCCACCAAACCACCCACCATATTTTTCATCCCCACCCCATCTGATTTTTGAGTGAAATTGCTCTATTTTCTATTCCGTCTATTAGTGTGGCATATCTACTTACTTCTATATAATTTGTTTTCGATCCACCCCATTCACATATCATTTCATTTACCATTTTTATTTCATCACGGGTTCACTTATCCCATCATTGCATTTTTGCTTGAGTTGCATTGGTCTCGGTGCGTGGGTCCTCATATTAAACATGCATACAATATAGTATATTATGGTAATATCTTTGGTAAAAGTTGGTCCGTGGATATCTGCTTTTAACCCAGGTTTAGGCGTGGCTTAAAGATCTATTTATATGGAGGCTGAACCCCGAGGACATTGAGCTTTTTTGAGCGCATCATTTGATTTTCGATATTTCCAAGAAACACATTTATCTGCTATTGTATAGATCTTATTAGAAGTTATTTAGTTTAGACAGAAGACACATCAAAATCATGAAGAACACATATTGAATAGCAACAACAAATGATACAAAAAATATATATTTTTAAAATTGTAATCTTTCCGTTCTTTTTAATATTCTTATACATTTTTCTGTTCTTTTTTACATATTTTTTTGAAAACAAATATTTTGCAGGATTTACATGTCGATGTAAGTCAAGTTTGTATAGTTTAAAACCAAACCAAAAAACCAAAATCCAAACTACCACTAAGAAATTTAATCACCAAGTAAACATCAAATAAAAAAAATTTGTATACGATTGACACAATACGAAAATACCAAAAAACAAAACAAAAGAAACCAAAACACACGCTTGACAAAATATTGAGAAATTTTCTTGAAGTTGAAGCTGCGCACTTAGGATTTAATTAAGCCATTTAATTAACTGTTAACTGTTCACATTTTTCACTAGTTGTTTGCCTTGACTATTTTCCCAACTATATTCCGGCCCCGCCCAACTAACTTGTTGCTTCCTTTTGGCCACCATTCTATAATTGTACTCCATACACAAAAAATCGAACAAAAAAACAAATCTATTAATTCTCAAATCGGATCAATCTGAGGCGTGTTTAAAACCGAATTGAAATCAAATCTGTTCAATTTAACGACAAATTTACGTAAATAATTTTTTTTTATTATTTAACTTTTACTCCTTTGTTTTTATACCAGAACAATATGTATTTTGTTTTTTGTATCTCCCAGCTTACACTCTTTGGTTTTTTGTACATATTTATGGCTACCAATTCAGTTGTTTCTCGTTTAATTGTGATTTGCTCATTTGAAATTGTTAAGTTTTCGTCTGCATGATGTCCTGTGTCTGCCTAAGCCCAATCTAACACCCAGTTTGTTTGGCACGCCTCTGTGTTCACTTGCTGACGCCTCTTGTTATTCGTTGATTGTTTAGCCTAGTTTAGTTGCGTTCTTGTAGTGTGCTCGTTGTTATTGCGCCTACCACTTGTGAATGTCCCCCAGACTAATGCCTAACCATCCCAGCCTCTAAGCAAATACCCAACCAACCCAACCCAACACTCCAATCCAATCCAATCCGAATCCCACTGGTTACCCACTGACCAACCACGGGCACTAACGCTGCGTCCTCTGACGAACGAATTTACAGGATCTGATGGTCGGCGACGAGGCCTCACAGCTGCGATCCCTGCTAGAGGTCTCCTATCCGATGGAGAACGGCGTGGTGCGCAACTGGGACGACATGTGCCACGTGTGGGACTACACGTTCGGTCCCAAAAAGATGGACATCGATCCGACGAATACAAAAATCCTGCTGACAGAGCCGCCCATGAATCCCACAAAGAACCGCGAGAAGATGATTGAGGTGAGTCATTCAACATTTTGGAATCCAACTTCAAATTTACATACTTTGTTTTGCCATAATACCAGGTGATGTTCGAGAAATACGGCTTCGATTCCGCGTACATTGCCATCCAGGCCGTGCTGACGCTTTATGCCCAGGGTCTGATCTCCGGCGTGGTGATCGATTCTGGCGATGGTGTGACGCATATATGTCCCGTCTACGAGGAGTTCGCCCTGCCCCATCTGACGCGACGATTGGACATTGCCGGTCGAGATATTACTCGCTATTTGATTAAGGTTGCTTTGCACACAGTAACATTATGCAAACTGTGACTTATACCTTCACATCTTTGATCATTAGTTACTGTTACTACGTGGCTACGCTTTCAATCATTCCGCCGACTTCGAAACGGTGCGCATCATGAAGGAGAAGCTTTGCTACATCGGCTACGACATCGAAATGGAGCAGCGATTGGCCCTGGAGACGACGGTGCTGGTGGAGTCCTACACGCTACCCGACGGTCGTGTGATCAAGGTCGGCGGCGAGAGATTCGAGGCGCCAGAGGCTTTGTTCCAGCCGCATTTAATCAACGTCGAGGGACCGGGCATTGCGGAACTGGCCTTCAACACCATCCAGGCGGCAGACATCGACATACGGCCCGAACTCTACAAGCACATAGTCCTGTCCGGCGGCTCCACCATGTATCCGGGTCTTCCTAGTCGGCTGGAGCGAGAGATCAAACAGCTGTACCTGGAGCGGGTACTCAAGAACGATACGGAAAAGCTGGCGGTAAGCTGCTAGAGAATGGCTTAATAAGCGAATCATCCACATCGCCTCTAACAAATTACACGTTTGCTTTGCAGAAATTCAAAATACGCATTGAGGACCCACCGCGACGCAAGGACATGGTCTTCATTGGCGGCGCTGTTCTGGCGGAGGTGACGAAGGATCGCGACGGCTTCTGGATGTCCAAGCAGGAGTACCAGGAACAGGGTCTTAAAGTATTGCAAAAGCTGCAAAAGATCAGTCACTAAGGCGGAGACAGAGTCAGTGTGTGTGTGCGGACCGTGAGAAATAGGATAAAAAAGTGATACATTTCTTTTCTCTATTTTTTTATAAGTCGAAACCTTTCAGATTTACGTGATATATCTGTCTATATGTGTGTGTTTTTTTTTGTGTGCCTGCGCGAGTGAGCGTGTCTGTGGAGCAGGATTGGTCCACTGGTCCTTAGATTACCACAAATCGCAGACATGCCGTCACTGGTCGATTCCCACGTACAATAAATTGTAATATTTCTTTTGCCGCTAGCCGAGTGCTGAAAGTGTAATTCGATAATCGCCCAGCTTGTGTAACCTTGCATTAGTATGTTTAATTGATTATGATTAAGTCTAAAATTCGGTTGAAAATCCCCTTTTCTTTGATGAATGCATATATATATATATACATATATAAATTCAAAGCCCCTAGAGTGCGGCGATATTTTTGTAAACGCAAAATGTTTCATTTCCAGCGAGTATTTCACATTAAGTATTAACTAGGCCAAGTCTGCTACTAGCAGCAATTCAAATCGTGTGTGTTTAAGACAGAGAAGGAAATATTACGAGAAAGTTGCATAGCACAGAAGGAGAAAGCGCCAGTTCGGTCGAAGTTATCCAGCCTTCGCTAACTAAATCCACTGATTGATTCGATGCCGTCTGCGCCCGACGCTCGACCTAAACTAAGCATTTCAGTCCTGTCTCCAACTAGATAAAGATAACGATAAAGATACAGATACAGATGCAGAAACAAAAACAGACACAGATACAGATAGATGCTGTCCAAGATTACGCATTTACGTTGCCCCATAATCGAAAGTACCATCAGCCGAAGGGTTTAATTTGAATTCATTTCCTCACCCGCCTTTTCTAGTTAGTTGCAATTTGATGTTTGTTGGGGCAGAGCGGACGCAACGCTTCACATGCGAAACTATCGGCATACGAATAGTTATATATGTGTGATCCATATATATCCGTATATGTAAAATGAATGTGGAATGCCAATTATCTAAGTGAATGCAATAAACATAATTATGTATGATGTATACTGTAGTCTAAAGCTAAATCGCATACGACTTTTTTTATGGTTTTTTTTACCAAGTTAAAACAAAATATGAATCACAATAAAAGCAAGAAACAAACCCAATCTCCAGTGTTTTACGACCGGTTGACCTCCAAGTTCCCACAGGCAGTCGCAGTCCAGCAATTTATTGCCCTCGATCAAAATGTTATTTTAACCATGTTCTTATTGGCCGTAATCAGTAGCAAATTGTTTCGAGCCCATCTAAACAAAGTGCAATATAATGCAATACAACGAAATAACAACAAACAAAGGAAATCCTCAAGAAAAATAATTATTGTTATGTATGTTTCAGCATTTGTATAGTATTCATTTATTACTTTTAAGATATATTTTAGCTTAGTCTTTCCTATCCGTCTTTTCAACGTGCTTTGGTTTTTGTTCGACTTTCCATAGATTCGCTGAGTTAAAACGCCTATCATCACCTACAATGATAAGAATGATAAGTTCCATCTAAGACCTTTACATTTACAAACCCCCCTGATTTATTAATATTATTCACACCTCCGGTTCGCACCTGAGGCCGCCGCCTGATAAGAGCAAATCGAACGGTCTCGTCTGCTCAATGGCCAGATAAAGCCACTTTGTGATCCACTCAACTCTCGGATTCGCTGGAGTGGGCAGACCAGTTGGTGTGACGGCGCAGCATGGGCAATGCGAAGAATATCGGACGGCAGCTTGTGGCAGTGGGAGTGCTATTGATTCTGGGACTCCAAGGAGTCCGATCTGAGTATGGCGACCTGGCCGGCGACTGGCTGGTGGATTATGGCATAGATGAGCTTAATTTTCACGAGGATTCGATTTGGCGCATGGACTTGCACATATACAATGTACTACCCAAGGATTCTGCGCTGGATTACTGCGTTGTGGTGTACTCCAAGGATGAGCGGCGGGTGTCCTCGCCACCGCTTGAGATACAGAAGGAGGATTTCGATCTGTTGGGCAGCTGGCGGGGAGCGCTGTATGTGACTGGAGTTCGATTTGGATACAGTTCGCTGGAGGTGCAACTGAAGGCCGGCGCAGAGACAGAGACATACCCGAAACCCCTGCCAATTACAGTCCTCAGAACACAAGTGGTGGACCAACGCATCACCACCTATGTGTCCGCCGTCCTGGCTCTGCTGATGTTCCTCAATCTCGGAACCGTATTGGATATGGAACGCCTGGCGGGTATCATCTGTCGACCCGTGGGGCCCGTGGTTGGTGTGGTCAGTCGATATGTGCTGATGCCCGCCTTGGCCTTTGGACTGGGTCGTGCTCTTTGGCCAGCTAGTTGGCCACTCCAGCTGGCCCTCTTCTACACGGCACTGGCGCCCAGTGGCGGCCTGGCCAATGTGTGCGCCGTCTTCCTCAAGGGAAATATCAATCTTTCGGTGGCCACCACCACGATCAATAGCCTGCTGGCACTGGCCTTGCTGCCCATTTGGATACTGCTTCTGGGGCGCATACTCTACGAGGACGATGGGCTCACCGTGCCGTTTGGTCAGCTTTCCGGAGGAGCAGCTGCCCTGGTGGCCTGCCTGGCCATTGGCGTTCTGCTGCGACTCTGCGTACCGCGGACCACAAGGTTCATCTTCCGCTTCCTGAAGCCACTGTCCGTCGTGCTCAGCTTGTGTCTCGTGGGCCTGACGGTGGGTCTCAACTCGTTCGTCTTTTACGAGTTTACCTGGCAGGTGAGTGCGCTTCTCCATGGATATGCCATTGAATTGACCAGAACTATTTTTGATCTTCTACGTATAGGTTCTTGTGGCAGCCGTATGCCTGCCCCTCGCCGGCTACCTCTCCACCTATCTGCTGTCCAAGATCCTCTGCCGATCGCCCACCGACGCACTAACGTTGTCCGTCGAGGCCAGCGTGCTGAACATGACCATGCCCATTGTGCTGCTGCAGTCCAGTCAGCTGGAGCAGCCGCAACTGGATCTCGTCCTGGTCGTGCCCATTGCCTCCTCGCTGCTCTCCCTTGTCCTGGTCGTCCTCTACTATGGCATTCGGCGATGCCTTGGCTGCAATGCGCAACAGGATGCGGATGGCTATGATCACAAACAGCTGATGGCGGAGCACGAAGGTGCCGTCTAGCAATGATCTTAAATCTTCGTGCAGCCATAGGTTTTATATCGCATACAACAACGGTTCCTTTGGCGGCGAATAATGAGCTTGATTCCTCGAAGATGTACTTTTTTTTTGTTCGAGTAACGTATTGTTATAAAACCATGAGCGATTTTAGAAACAATTTCTATATATATTATGTATTTAACAATTTAAGCTTAAGATTACGAATATATTACATTGCATATTGTGCAATTATAAATGTGAGGAAATCGTTTTGAAAAGCGCGCCTAGGTGCATTTCCGCTTCGCTGAGATTGGCATCACTTCTCCTCCTGGGCAGCATTGGCCAATTGCTAGGAGCGGGAAAATCAAATTCGCTCGATTCTAAGGCATTTTCAATGTAAGTTGGCCACTTCTGCGCGAGTGTGTGTGTTTGCCCACATGCAAATTTGGTTTTAAGCCAGCTCGGGGCAATAAAAGGAAAAAGTGTGCCAGCCTCGGCCGTTGGTCACTGCGTATGTACGAGGAATTTGGAGCATTGGCCGCTGGACAAGCGCCCGACGCTCGGGAACCCAGGAAGGCGCATGATGTCATCAGTTCGCTGCGATGCAGGGCTGCCAATTACGACACACGAACATGGCGTACGTATACAGTACACTTAGAACCTCTCTCTATATATAATATCATATATATATTTTATATAATATTGTATGTATGTGTGTATATCCGTGCATACACGTGCTTGTGTAGGGTAGGAGATATAAAAATAAGTGCTACCTTTGCCGCCTGCACACGTGTGTGCGTGGTCAACTAACGGTTCACGCGCGTAACGCATTACCAGCCACCCAACCACCCACCGATCCCGCCCCAAATTGCCCCACCGACCTCGTTAGCCAGCCCTGACAATGTTTTTTTCGGTTATAAATACATTGTTCAAAGGCGGGTAAATGACATAACGTGCACCACACTTAAACGGGAAGTTAACAACATCGGCTGGGATAAAAACTAATATTACAATGGCTCGTCATTTATATGGGCTGGTGATATGACGGCCAATATAATGACTCCAATTGGGCCTACATTTGAACTGAGTAGCGGAGCCCTTGTACTGCAATTCTAATTATCTTACGAAACTGCCCGAAATATATATTGACCTATCATTACCTGGCGCTTAAAACGGGAATTGGAGAGGTTCATTGTTATTAATTCGAATTGGTCTACTTAGGCACATGATTATTGGGGATTTAACATTTCAAATCCTTCGAGTTTTACTAGGTTCCATTTAATATAGGATGGTATTTAAATTCATTTCATAGTTTGCTGCTCATTAGGCGCATTCAAACCATTAAAGGTTAAAAAGCGTTTCAATGCCCAAAAGTAACGTATACGCAGCGTGTGCACCCTTGATTAAGCCAAACACGACTTTCCCTCTCTGGAGGCCCATTGAAAATATGTCGGTGCTCGTTTTCGAGACACACTTTGCAGGGATTACAGTGAGTTTTCGGATTTGATTTGCCTCGGTTGGCATATGTGATGGTCTGAAATGCGAGGATAGAATCCTGCCAATACCTCGCGTTAGCCCTGCTCTTATTCCTAGCCCCATTTCTATTCCCATCCATAGCCATCCCGTGCAGCATAATATGCGACTCCATTGACCGTTTTGGCCTGCTGCTGCGCATTGCAGTTAACCCCGAATGGAACAATGCAGCAAGCACACTGAAAGAAATTAGATCTCCAAGGCAAGGGGAGAATATCAAATGATGCACTTATGAAACAGTTAACAAGTTGGACAGTTGGAAGCATGTGTCTCCGTGACCAGAGTTTGCCTGCAAAGATAAAGGAACAGTTTGAATATATTTAATATTTCTTCAAGTAACCACTCACCTATGATTTGCTTTTCTCAGTGCAGCCATAGTGCTCCATTTTTGGGCCGTGCCAAGACAACTTTGAAAAGGAGTTGCAGCAGTCTTGCGATGAGGCAATTTCATTCTCGGCTGGTCGCTGGTCTTTTGCCCCAATGCCAGTGCAACTGCACTTGGACGAAGGGAGCGGGGTGCGGCGGGTTACCAGTGGGTGGTGCAAGTGGGTTAAACGGCGAAGGGAGAGGGAGAGGGAGAGGGAGGGAGTGGGTATTTGGAGGGCCACAAGTCGAAGCAGAGCATTTGGTTTCGTTTCGTGACATTTGGATGATTTCTGCCTATTTCCTGGCCCAAACCCACACGGCACCACCCACCCACCACCACCCAAAAGCCACCACCCCCTGCCCAACCCCCTGGCCGACTTTAATCGCGTGCTTGGCGCACATTTTAACGCTCGTCGTTTTCAGTTGACGGTTGCCACAGCAACACAACACGAGCTGCAAATGCATTGCAAAAGAGCAGGATTTGTGTGGATCTGGGTGGTTCTGGGTGGCTCTGGGTGGCTCTGGGTGGCTCTGGATGGATCTAACCCATTTGCAACCGAGGAAGGTGCGTTGGCAAATCGCTTCTCGCTGCTCTTCATTTCCTGTCTCCATTTCAAGGCGCTGAAAAAAATGGGCAGGGAGGAAAATCAGGCAGGAAATTCACTTGCACGCCAGTCGTCGCCACTCAGATACAGATACGGGGCCAGAAGTAAATAAATATGAAGCAGCCAAAATAAAAGTGCGGCTGGCAAAAAACTCAAGTCAATTATCCCCAGCACGTGCACTTAAATATTATGCGTAATTATGGCGCTCGAGATGGCGATGGCGATGGCATAATTAGTCCTGTTACTTGTGTATTCGGTTATTATGGCCCTCAAAGTGCCAGCGAGCAAAAGTAACCAACGCACCTGATACCCCTTGATGGCCGGGCGATACTGAAAATACGTTCCAAGCAAATGTAGTTACCTAAAGGAGACTTAGCCTTATATAATCACACTGAAGTTATCCAAGTGACAACTTATATTGACTAGTAATAAAAGTTGAATAATGTGTGGGTAATAAATGAAAATGGTTTTTCATATATATTATATCTATATATTCAGTAAAACTTCTTCCATATATGGTGGTATTCTTCCGTATTTGATCCCTGATTCAAAACAGGGTAAAACTGCGACAAAGACTACGCGTTTGCATTGCCAGGATGCTAAATATGCGCGTCTCATGAGCCAAAATTTATGCAAATTCGCTGCGTCCTTTTGGTCGCCCCCTAGTCCTTTTTAGTCCTGCCGCCCACCAAAGCCAACCAAAACCACCCACCCACTGGCAAGTGCAAAAAGGAAACGCACAGTTGAATAATGTAAGGTTATGCTAATGTGCAGGTACGCACAGGTGTACATTACACATTCGCTGCATTTGCTTTGGCATTTATGGGGGTCGCCTGTCCGGACCGCTCCATGGCCACCCCCATCCCCATCCCCATTCGCATCCTCGTCCTTGTCGTCATCCGCATCCCCATGCCACAGCCCCCATGGAAGTGGAAAGTGCAAGTGGAAAGTGTTTGCCATAACCGAGAGCGATTAAATTAAATATTCAATTTCCTTTGCCCAGCCGGATATATTCGAGATCGGCCAGCAGGGAGGAGCGTTTCTCACTCATGAGGCACACAAATCCTCCTTCCGATATCACGTTTTCGTCTATTTTTCAGTTTATGCTTAAACCAATGGTTAATTAGCCGGAAAATTGGTCGAACAATTATTTCTAGACCGAAATTAGCAGCTCATCTCTCAGTTAAAGCTCAATTTTCAGCCGAGTTTTAAGTTGAAGTCTTAAGTTTTGAGATAAATGCACATGCAGAAATGCAGTGTATCAACAGGCGCCATCTATATCTGAATTTGAAAATTGAAAATTGAAAATTGATTAGCAAAGTAACTTTCCGCCCCCTTTTCCTTTTTCCTCCATACAAAAGGTATGGCAAAGTTAGTTGCAAGTTGACAAGATGATGAACGACAGATATCGCTGCGCTGCACCATCCGCTGAAAATAAAATCTATATATATGCATATATACGAGCTTATGTAGATATATATACTCATACTCGTATGTGGCATTGCATGCAGGTTCCTGGGGGAGCAGAGGTGTACTTTTCGGAGTGGATGGCCGAGGGGGCGGGTGGGGAAGCGTAAACGTTGCCGCTGTCAAAATGTCGTCATTGTTCATTCATGAAATGTACGCCTTTTTACATTTACCCAACAACAGCAAGGGAAAGAGCTCAATACTTTGTTGCATACCCCGCAAGCGATATATACGAGTATGTACATATAGAAATATCTCCAAAGTGCTGCGAGTAAAGTCCTCTTAGCTGCTAAAGTTTAGTAGCTTTAATCTACTTACTGGCAGAAAAAACAAAGAACAATTTACCATTAATAACGATACATTTGGAAGCTGTATAGATTTACTTTTAAATTAAGCCATGTGCGAGTATTTATGCTTCTTATTACTTTTTTCTCTGAGTGCTGCAACAACCGCAATGGCCGCAAAATGAAACGAAAGAAGGGGAACCCAGGCAGAGCGAGAGAGCGAGAGAGAGAGAGAGAGAGAGAGGAGAGTTTATGAGCTTGTGTGTGTGCGAGGACATGCGACTGTGTGGCGCAAGCACACACACGTGCACACACACACTGCGCCACACTCGCTGACATCATCCGCAACCACTCATGGGGCAGGATAATGGAGCAAGGAGCAGGGAGCAAGGAGCAGGGCGAAGGGGGAAGGGGGAAGGGGGAAAGAAGAAAGGGGCTAATATCTTGTGGGCGGGGCAGCTTGCTTGTTGGCGTAAATATTGTCATTTGTTGCGACATTGAAGTTATTGTCTGTCCGTTTGACGCTGTTCAAATTCCCTCAGCCACACACACTCACCTATTTAAATGCGCATACAGATACACACATCTGTGTGTGCAGGAGTCCTTAAAGGACATTCGAGTGTTTGCCTGCAATTAAGTAGATCAACTGGCAGGGGGCGAATACCGATCGCCGGCACCTTGGGGCCCATTACCACTTCCGGCTAATTGGGGGGGTGGGGGCCACATGCCACGCCAGTGTTTCCACGAAACAAAGACAACAATTAACTATTTGCTACAATTGCCAGTCGGCCAACGGCGATGGAGCAAAATAGACCAAGCATAATTTCCACTAATTTGAGGCAGGCCTGCAAATGGGTTTGCCACAGAGGCATATTATTTTAAAGGCGTTCAAAGGTCCAACTATTAAAGATGCCTTGGTAACGAAAATAACTTACTAGGAATATCTATAATCTATAATAATTTGTTATAAAATACTTTTGTTGAAATGATTTAAGTATGTATATAAGTATGGTATACCAAACGTCCAACTTATAAATATTACTTGAGCAGCCTAAACTTTGGGAGAAATTACTAGTTGTTTCTTTGTGTCCAAAAGTTAACTTTGTCATTTACCCACTAACTTATTAGTAATTAATAGATGATTATTGAAAGTGGTTTGAAGTATTTTATGTCAAAATATCTTGTATTTAAAGGCAAATGGCACTTTCCGAACATTTCTGCGTGTGCCACCATGCATTTGGCTTTGAGCTCTAAGTGCAGCTGCACTTTCGAATGCCCCATGCAATGCCACATGGTTTCCTCGTGAATTTGGTCTTACCCCATCTCCTCGTCCTCGTCCACGTCCTCGTCGTCGTCTTTGGTGCCTTGTCTTTGCTCTGCCAGTCGGCCTGACGTATGCCACTTGCCACCCGCCCCGATTCCCAGTTCCCATTTCCCATTCCCAGTTCCCAGTTCCGAGTTCCCCAATTCCCAATCCCCGCCAGCCGCTGCTAGAGCCGCCCAGTTTGGGGCGCGTTATCCTGGCGTGTTCCTTTCGCAGCCTTTCTGGCCTGGGTTCTTCTTGGCTTCTTTGGGCCGTTCTTGGGCTGCTTTTGGGCCTGTCCCAATGACCGAGTGGCGGTATGTCGCGCCGCCTTGCTCTCAGCCGCAGAAATTCCGAATCGGAATCCGAATTCGAGGCACGACGACTGCGAGATCCTGTAAGTGGAAAGTGGCACAGCGCCGAACGCCGCCGAGCGGTGACGAATGCCCCATCGAGGCTGCTCGAAGGCGTGACGAATGCGACACGAGCCGATTGCCGACCAAAACTGAACGAAAGTCGCACTCTGCGGACGCACACGCGCTGCGGCAGCTGACAGTTTCAGTAAACCACGGAGACGAACGGATTACGGGTAACGAAACAGCAGCACCAGTGGCACCAGCAGCAGCCACAAAATAAAATCATAAAAAAGAAACCAGAAAACAGAAAACAGCAAACACGAAAAAAAGTAGAAGAGGCAGAAGGCAAAAAAAAAGAATAAAAAATCAAGAGAAACTCCGCACATCAAACACAGAGCTATGAAAATTCCCACAGGCGAGAAAACCTCGAGCGCTGAGTTCCCTGTTTTTAAAACCGAAAAGGGAAAAAATTGAAAAGGTTCACACACTTGCCATGCCATGCAGATATATATATATGAGTATATATGTGTAAGCCGTATATACAAGTGCCTTGAGCTGTGCGCAGGCAGGCGATTCAGCGAGGAGCCAATTCCAAAGAAAGTTTTACATAAGTTCTCCCCCTCAAATCGGGCACCTCTTTTTTTGCATAGTTTTTTTTCGTGAGTGTGACCCAAAAAACCAAAATAATCAAAGAGAAGCGAAGGCAGCAAGAGGAGGAATACGAAAAACCAGCAGGAAAACACAAAAGTCCAAAAAATGAACAACTCATTTGGCTGCATTGGCGAAATACGAAATAAAAGGAAAAGTATATAAAGTGGCACATGGGAAGCCAGCGAGAGTGTGTTAAGTGTGTGAAAGCAGCATAATCTCTGGAATTAGCTTCAAAAATCGTCTTTTTTTTTGCTCCTAACATTCGGCTGAATTTTTTTTAATTGTGTAAAAGCGCGTGTTAGCCAAGGCGTATACTTGATGTGGCCGCAAGCAGCAACGATTGCGTATACGCCTAGTGCGCCGCTCTGTGCCTCGTGCCTGTGTGTGTGTGTGTGTGTGTGTGCGAGTGTGTGCGAGTGTGTGCTTGTGTGCGTCACACACAACGTGTTACGCAGAGTAACCCCCCAAATCCCCGCTCGCATCCATCGCTTTTGCCGTTGAAACTTTTGGTTTGTTGTTTAGAGCAAAGTGCCCGGAAAAGTAGGCAACGAAAATGGTTACAACAAATTGCAGGGCACACACAGATACGACCACACACACATAGACACACACACACACATTGATTTGGGATAGAAGAAGCAGAAGAGGCTAAAGTTGACTATGTGTGTGCCGCGGACTTTCGATTTTTCGTGACTCGGTCGGTTTTCTTGTATATGTTCTCGAGTGTCCTTTGTTGCTGCTCCTTTGCTTGTTGTTGCTGCTGGCGATGTCGCCCCCTTTACTGCCGCCTTTTGCCCCCCCTTTTGAACTCCACTCCGTGTGGATTTCGCCTGCTGTTTAGGTTATGTGTATCTGGCATGTCCTTTTTGCCTGCCTTTTCCTTTTTGGAGCGCGCATATGCGCTAGCACGAAACGAAACGAAACGAAACTCAACAAAACACAACACAACACAACACAATTCAACTTAACTCGCCCCGAAAATCAACAGAGAGAGAGGCTTTGATGGGGGCGAGCTGTTTATGTGTGTGTGAGTGTGGGGCAACTCAGTCAGTCAGTCAGTCAGTCAGTCAGTCAGTTGGGCGCCGTGCTAACTGAGTAGAGCCAAAGGACCCCTCTCGCTTTTGCTTTTGCTTTTGCTTGGCTTTGCTTTGCTTTTGCTTTTCCCTTGCTTTTGCTGTGCTTTTCTGCTCGATTCGCTTCGAGTCGCGCGTGTGCCATATCGCGTTTCGTTTTCGTGCTGTGCTGTGCGCAAAAAGAGCCGAGCTCCAAAAGACTTGTGGTCCGAGGACTGGGGACTGGGGATTGGGAACTGGGTTTTGGGTTTTGGGTTTTGGGTTTTGGGTTTTGGGTACTGCTTACCGGGTTCCGAAGAACTCAGAACTCAGAACTCAGAACTGAGGACGAGGCCACGAGGAGCCCTCCACGGAGAGCAGCGAATTGCAGAGAGCGAAAGCGGCGATGAGAGCGCGATTGGCGTAAGAGGGACAAGGGTTTCTCAAATTGCCTTGGCTTAGCTCACAAAAAACTGAACATCAAAATGTGAACAAAAATACGAAATTGTGCAACGCTTGTGAAGTTTGAAGTAGATGTTTGATGGGAAATACAGCCATCCATAAATACCAGCTATATGCAGGACATGGCACTTAATTGCCAGAAAAGTGGATAATTGTAATTGTTCATATTTGATTTACACAGCCATTTATAGCCGTTGTCGTCACGAAAGTGCTGTCGTGATGGTGGAAATCACGCTTATTACTGACAGTTAACGTTTAGAGCATATTTCAGTGCTGTGCAAGTCCCTCAAGAATTGAGGTTAGATTGCAGCCAATAAGGGATATAGTTTGCCTACTCAACTCTTTTAAACTAGACTGTGTGAGCAACTAAATGCTATTTGGATTTATTGTGGTTTATCTTGCAGCGCTAGAAAAGACAAATTGTTTAAGCATTTATGGGTGTAACTTTGAAACGAAGGTTTTGTTTTGTATGTGCCTTTTGCCGAGAACTTGCAAGGACCTCGATGAAACCGAAAGGACACGCAATTGTGGCCCCAAATCGAAAGCGAAAACTTTCCCTTCCTTGGCCAAAATCTATAAACTTTCGTTTATAAAACGCACTAGCTGTCACTCGTGTGCGATTGTGTGGCTTTCGTGTGGCTATTTGTCTTGGTTTCGCGACTTCTGGGCGCTAAAGAAAGCAAAAAAGCTAAAAATACAATCAGAGGGAATGGGGAGTATTAGGAGCAGTCCAAATGGGTGTTACAATAACTTTGCGGCTCGTCCAATGCCCAGCGGGTTAGGCCGGTGCCACTTGGCCACCAGTCCTCCACCAGTCCTCCACCTTGCCAACCAGCAACCATCAAACAGCAAACACCAACCACCACCAGCTTGTCCCGGGGCGAAGGCTCCGCAGGACCCCCATCCCATTGCATCCCATGGCGAGGGAGGAGAGCGAGGAGCCCCAGCCAGCCGGAGCACCACCCGTCACCAAATACCAGTCGCAGTCCAATCTGCCCCTGGGTTGTGCGTGTTCAATTGGCTTGCGCCCCATTGTTGTTCGTTGTTCTTTGCTCGCCCTTTGCCATTGTTGGCTTTTGGTGTAAAAAATTTACATAACCCAAATTGCTGCATAAATAAATTATTAAATACGTGACGTGCAAATGGTCAAATACCAAGCCACCAGCCATCGAGCAGCAAGTCCAAGTCGAATGGCATGTGTGCAAGGCTCTGGCCTCTGGCCTCTGGCCTCTGGCTTCCATCGAATCTATGGCGAATCCCAAGGGCTTGCAATCAGGACGCAATCCAATAAGGAGATTGTGCTCTCGGTAATATTGCCATATTGTAGATCTTCACTGCAAATTCAATTAGGAGCAAGGCCATGGTTCATGATCAAATTCGAAATTCGAAATCTATGGATGCAACTACGCTGCTCTTTTACAGGCAAAGAACTGCGTCCAGCGAGGAATCGCCAAATTAAATTAAGTAGTGACACTATTTTTTCCAGTTTGGGTAATGGCGAGCAAAGTTCTTGGAAAGCAGTTTCCTGATTTGAAAGCATTTATACTGCAATCCCCACACATATTGTCCGCTTTGGTGACCCCAATCCAGTTATCACACACGCACACAAACACACATGGAAACTGTATTGCCTTCGATTTGTTTACACATACATGTCCATTTGTAAGGACATTAAAAACGCAGTTCCTAAGTGCGGGCAAATGGGTGGGCTGCCTGGTGACTTGGTGGCTTGTTGGCTTGTTGACTTGGTGACTTTGTGACTTGGTGACCCCGCCACCGCTGGGCTGGATAAAGTTCGGATCGATTGGGGGGCCCGAAAAGCGGGTCAGCATGATTTGCGATTATAGCTGCTGCTCCATATTCACGGGTCACATTAGTTATAAACGCAGTCGGACAGGACTTGACCAGTCCAACTGGTGCCAAGCGCCCAAAAATAACGGCCCACTGTTGCAGTTTTCGGGTAGCAGAGCCGTGCAAAATCAGCTTAATGACCCAAAAATAGAAGAAGTGACCAAAGGGCAAAAAAAGAGAGTGGCGGCGAAGGCGAAGAGTATGTGGCAAATGGCGGAGAATAGCGAAGGGCGAAAGGATAGGCAGCGAAAAACAGGGTGGCAAAGTAGCACAACAAAACCTGTGTTGACAACGACTTGGATGCTTATGTATGGCAAATGCTGTAGGGCGAAAGGACCTCGCACACTCACACTCACACACACACACTCTGCTCCTTTTGCGGCAAATTCGGATCAAAGGAAGTCGCGGCGAAACGGCAGACAGCTGCCTTACTCGCCCGAAAACGGAGTTACCCAGAAACTAGGAACTTTTCAGTGCTCAGTGCTCAGTGCTCGACTTTTTCCCGTATCCTTGGAGTCCTTTGTGTCCTTTCGAATACTGCTCCGCGTTTTACGAGCGCGCGAAAATTGCATAAACACAAACAAAACGCGACGCGCTGCCTCACCTTTTTTTTACAGTGTTTCAAATCCAGTGAGACATTATCCTGTCAAATTGAGTGTGCTCACTTTACGTTTTTTTTTCGAGTGCCTCAGTGAAAGCCATCAAGTGTGTAAAACTTATGATAAGCATGTACAATTTACAAGCCCATTTCAAATATATATTAAAGAAAAATTACAAGTTTAGTAGAATATATAACACCGAAATAAACAAATAGACTAATGAAATAATCCAAATAATACACACAAGGACAACAGAAAAGCCAACAAATAAAAAGAAATAAATATTAAATATTACAAGTAATTTTAAGGTGTTCGAGCAATGCCAGGCGTTTTTTTTAAATGAATGATTAAAATGATTCAAAATTTGTCCATCCGATAAAATTTTTTTTATTATTGTCACCTTTTGTGAATGTGGTTTTCCATAAAATTGCCCACTTTCACCTGGATTTCAACAGCTTGTTCGCTTTTCGGCAACAGAAACCACAAATATTAATAATAATAATACTATTAGCCATAATACGGAAGCACAATTATAATAATAGCAACAGTTGAAAAACAAAGCAGAGGCAAACACATTTAAACATCACCGCCAGTTAGCCAGAAAGTAGTAGTAATAATACAACAAATAATATTAATACTAATAATAATAAATTGAAACAGCTCTGGGAACATAACGCAACGTTTGATGAAAATTTCTGGCAACACGTCGCGTCGTCTTGTTAACCACACAAAAAATTAAATAAAAAACAAATTCAAATACCCAATGATAATACAGATTTAATAAACAAAACCAAAACAAATAAAAGCAAACAAAAATCAAATATAAAAAACAAACAAAAAAAAAACAAAACAAAACAAACAACAAATTCATCTTCTACTTGTTCTACCGCTTCAACTTTATTCGTCTTCGTCTCCGTAATAAATATTTATATAAAATATACGTATATATATATATATCTATGTATATGTATGCATATGTGTGTGAGTGTGTCGCGTGTGTGTTGGTGCCTGTAAATGTGTGAGCCACAACAACAACAACAGCAACAGCAACAGCAACAGCAGCAGCAGCCAGAGCCACAACCACAACAACAACAACATTAGTTAACAGCAGCAACAATTCTCAGCAACAGCAACAACTATACAAGCAAGCACCCTCACAACAAAAGCAGCAACAACAGCAACCACAATAGCAACTATTGCAACAATAACATCAGCGGACAGAGCGAGCAGCCAGGCACAACATCGATTGACATCGATTAACGGTAAGTAATCGTGAGTAATCGAACAAATCGATTTATCAGGCGTTCTATAATCAATTTAATTGCATTTTCAAGTCTGCTAATGATAATTACCCCCAACCAGAGTAACATTCATGGAATTTTTAATTCTGTTAATAGTTATTACTCCCAACCAGAGTCAGCCGTTAGCTGAATTACAAATATTTCAGCTGCATTTATAGTAATCTTTTGTTCTTCAAACTAAACGATCTTTCGAATGTCAAAACCACTTATCCGGTGAATGCTAATAATAAAGTGTAGAAAATTATTTTTTGTTAGTTATGGTAAAACAACAGGCTAATAATCTCTGCCCTTGCTTTGGGCTACTCGTCAGAATTATCATTTTGGTCGACTTGTGACTGGGCCAATGGTATATTTTTCATAGGAGGATTTTTAGAAACCACACATGGTTTTCCCATCAATTGCTATGGAATATAGCATACAAAATTGGGCAATTTATGCTGCACGACAATGAGACTTTAGAAATCAATTGTGTCTCTCGTACGTATTTCAATATTTGAATAAGCTAGAAAAGTGTGAACGGAGCACTGGGCGACTTGATGAACTTGGCTCGATTATGTCATGCCTCCTTGGTGAAAATCCCAGTTAACCAGGCCCGACCTCAAGACCATATCAATGGGGTATCTGCGCCCCTTTTTGTCCCGCCCACTGGCGCGCCCCTTTGCTTTTGGGCTACAACCTTTTGCTGGCTTTTGGAGGGCAAACTTTCAGCAGCCACAAAAAAAAAGAAGAACAGAACCGTACAGAACAGAACGGAAAAAATGAATGGGGAGGTGGAGAGGGGGTTTTCCAACGGAATTCCTTTGCTCACGCACACATGGAATGGAGGTTCGTTAAGAGAGAAGGGAACCCAAAAACGTATTGTTGTAGTCCGTGTTTGTTGGCGGCAACACTAAAGTGAGAGAGAAGTAGAGAGCGCGGCAGCAGCTTGCTCTCTCGGCGCAGGCAGGAAGAGAGTGAGAGTCCTGGCTCTCTCGCCAGCCCATTGCGCTCTCCCATGCAAAATTCATTGACTAACAAAATGCAAACTTCGTTCAGTTTTTTGCTGTTTGTTATTTGGCTTTTTGGTCCTGTCCAACCTTTCGAATTTTGCTGAACAATTAATAAGCTAAGCCGATACCCTGTGTTTTATTGCCAAATCAATACCTGGGTGGGCTAAGGAAAATTGCATTGCGTTTCGCTCATGTGTTTGCCGTGTGTCATTTGCATATTGACACAAATTCCGGTTCGGGTGTTTTTTTCCTACTTCAATTCTCGCTTGTGGTTTTTCGCATGACTCATCGACCCAGCGAATGGCCAAAAATTAATTCGGCAAACAGGATTTTGCGAGTGTCATGAATGGAAACAGACACACATAAATATATGCTCATATTGGCACATCCACTGCTTTTCTGTGTGTGTGAGAACGCTTCCCTATGCTTCATGCCTTTGTGTGTGTGTGTGTGTGTGTGTATGCGTGCGAGTGTGGCGAAATATCGAACTGACCTACTTTTATGCTCGATACACACACACACACTGGCGCACACACACACGCAGCCGGAGTGGCAAATGGAAAAAGAGTGCTTTGACCTTAGCGGAGGCTGCTTATGTAAGCCCAATATCCGAATACCGCAGGACCATCCGTAACCGCATCTAGATCTAATCTAGATTCTATCACTATATCTCCGTTTTCTGTGCGTAGGCACAAAGCTAGAGACCACATATAATACTGCGTACATACAGTTATTTATAATTTAAAAACAAGCTGGTTCAAACGGTGTTTATTTATTTTATAAAGAGTTATTTGTGTTTTTGCTATATAATCAAACGCTAGCTCTGCTAATATGCAAAACTAAACATATTCAATGCGGTAACTCTAAAGATTATGATATTACTTGCATTATTCATTTAAAATTAAAATAAAATCTACACTTGATTTACACAAGTGAGCGGCGTAAGTAAAGTCATAAGTATGAAGGCTCAATTCAGTTAGTCCTTTTTTTTCTCAACTCTGAGTTTATAAATTGCACGCATTTTAAATTCTGCAAACGCTGCTGTATCAAAAAGTGCAGGTATGTGTGAGTGCGTGTGCGTGTGGGCGTTTATTGATTGGCCATTGTTTTTGTTTGGTGCATTTCACTTTTGATTGCATTTCATTTAATGCGAATCGCCGCCTGCGGTAATCCAATTAGTTAGCTGTTGAGGTTTCGCCATCGACGCTCCACCGCGGGATCAATGTGCTAGCTCCAGGTCGCAACCTTTCCTCTTATCTATAACTAACTGCAATAGCGTTTAATAATGCCTATAACTAATGCGTTCAATTTGCCATCCATTTACTTGCAGCATCGTGCTAAGCGGCGGGCGCTAATCGAACATGGCGCCTCGGATATAGTTGTAGCTTTAATGTAGCAGGCGACATCCATGTGCCTCATGTAAGTATACCCTATAAAATAGTTGCAAGTGGCGTAGAAAATGATTTTACCTTTGTAAGCAATGCACATGTATACATATATCATATACTATTATTTATGTAAATTACACATTTAGGAATTCATTTATAATTTAAAGCGCTGAGCATTGTTCTTATGTAAGGTACTATTAAAAGCACATAGTCTGTATTACATGTACTTGATTATGGGTGCTTCTGCATATTGTCTGAAACATGACTAACAGCTACCCTCTGTTCTTTTGCAGGCCTTGGAAATCTAAGGCTCTCATCGTTGGCCGCATAGACAATGACAGAAGATTCCGACTCGATATCTGAGGAAGAACGCAGTTTGTTCCGTCCCTTTACCCGCGAATCATTGGTGCAAATCGAACAACGCATTGCCGCTGAACATGAAAAGCAGAAGGAGCTGGAAAGAAAGAGAGCCGAGGGAGAGGTGGTAATTATTTCTAGCTGAATGTGCTTAGCTTTCTCGATTTTGTGTGCCTACTCTACTACTCTTTTTGTATCTGTATCTGTATCAGTATCTGTATCCGTAACCGTATTCGTATCAGTATGTGTATCTCTCTCTACGTCTAAGTGAATTGACTTCCAATTGAGATCGAATGCCAAACGGTCGATGCTGATCGCTGATCGATTGAAGATCAGTGATCAGCGATGACCGATAACCAATAACCGATAATCGATTGCCGCTACTGTGCGCTTTTGTTCGTGCTTCAACTTAAGCCTGAACGTCTATTTTATATAATATATATACCAAATACTCGAATATGTTCTACTTACTAACCCAATACATACATATCCACCCGAAGTTACCAACATGAAAAGAAATCATCCAACTCACAAGCCGTCATCCTCCGTATACGTATCTGTACATCGAATGCCTCTGTGTCTACAGTTCTCTTTATATATCCATTTAAACCCCTTCAGTATCTCATTTCCGCCTCTGTAAATGCAGCTACTATCCATCGAATCCATATCGTTATACGTATCTCAGAGTCACGTAACATTAATCCACTGTGCTTGAGCCCCGCCATCCAATCCGTAAACCCAAATGCAAACCAAGCAGACCTTATGTATCTCTTTCTCTGACCCATTTAACTGGACCTCAACTATTAACTGCCAACTGTATACTGTCTACTATCTACTGTCTACTGTTTTCCGTAATCTCAGCCATCATTTCACCAACTTTTATCGTAGCTAAAACCCCATTGCAACTGAACTCAAGTACCTGAAAATAGAACAGCATAAGTCCACTCACCTACCTTCGTTTCGATTTTATGTTTAATTTCTTCATTTTTATTTTCAACAAAATTCCAAAACGTAAAAGTGTCTAAAAAGAATAGTGCAGTGATTTCTGATTTACTTCTTTGGTTGTATGTACTCGTATTTTGTATTCAGCATAATATACCCCAAAAATCTCCCCCAATCCAATCACCTATATGCTCTGTACGTACCGATATCGTAACGTATTACTATCGAATCTGTAAAACTCTTTCCTGCCATAATCGTTGTATGTTTGTTCGTTTGTTGGTTTGTTTACTTGTTTTATCTATTTGAGAGTAAGAACTGTGTTTTCTGTAACCCATTGGCTTCGTAATGTGTTCTAATGTGTATCCTTATTACGATTACCTAATCGATTGTTTTGTGTTATTGCGTAAACATATATCATTTTCAATGCCAGCAGCCCCAAAACGATTTTACATTATCATTGTCGTATCGTTATCGTATTCTACTTGTCGACGGCTACAAATACTTAAGTTATATTCTTCATTTTCGTTTCGATTATCGATTATCGATTTCTTTCGATTTCATTTAACCAGCTTCAACGGCTTGGGTATAGAAACCTACGTCAAGTCTACGTACATGTCCATAAAACCCATGTCCTTTTTGTCTCAGCACACTCAGCAAATCCTCAGGTATCCTGTCCTGTAAATAGTCTACTCGCTTGTGAATACGTGTATCAAAACTCGATAGCTGATAACTGATAGCCAATCATTGGTGCTAGTATTCAGTTTCAAAAACAAACCATCAACAATCGAATCATCAAAAACTCCAAAAATGGTGTCGACAATGAAATATATACTGCTGTGTAAATAAATCCTAAAATAATGGAGGCTTACAAGAAATCGAATCGAATGAAGGACGGAAATTATCCATATTATATTACCATTGAAGTAATTAGTTCAATTCGGACACGTTAAAGCAAGGAAGCTATTTGCTGCATCACTCAGAACCCAAAGCAAAGGACCGACTTCGTTTGTAAGCCATGAAACATAGCAAAATCATGAAATTTAAAAGCCAACTTGTGTAGTTGAAGCACCGACATTGCCAACGAGAATGTACTGTATGTACTGTACAATCATGGATCCATTAAAAAGTATAGCTTCATCGACCCACAACTGATCGTAGCAGCAGGCTGCCTGCTACGAAATCTTGTAAAAACCATTCAAGCGCATTGTCATTAGCCACCTACACATAGAAAGCCACGACTTAGCCCATGCGCACCTAAACAAACTTTCAACTTTCAACTTTCTGTCTCTGTCTCTGTATCTATCTCTATCTCTGTCCTGCTCTGACTACTGCCCTCCCATTCAAAACACCCAGTCACAGATGCAACACAGACCCAACCACACTAGCTATTGAAATCAGTTCAGAATACAGAATACACTACTCATGATCCTTGATTGTCGCATTGCGAGGATGCCCAAATGAAATTGTTAGAGGGTAGCCGATATCCCATATGTATTATCCCCTGACATAATGCTGAAAACTGCTCGCCTACATAACCACTTTCTACCGTTTGTTTTTTCTTTCGTGTACTCTTCTTCCGTTTCATTTACAACTTTCTCTCTACTTTTTGAACGCTCTCTCTCAACGAAACTTTTGCGCGCCGCTGTCTGGACCAAAAATGAATTATTACCATGTTTATAAATATAAAAACTAAACTGTATAAAAACGATCGATAATGAATGACAAATGCGAATTCGGCGCTTGCATAATGCAATCAAAAACAAATTACGAAATACCAACTCAATCAAAATCAAAATCGAAATCCAAATCCAAATCGAACATGAACTTTTCTCTACTACTACGCTACTTTTTACTTGAACTTGATAATGCTCGTAATGAATGCCCTAAACCAAATACCAAATCCGAATCTTCTTTCAGCCGCAATATGGTCGCAAGAAAAAACAAAAAGAAGTAAGATTTTGCTCAGAACAAAAAACTAGAAACCACCCAACAACCCACCCACCCACCGATTTTCCACCCAACACTACCCGACCTTTGTGAACACACACCCACACACACACATAAACACACGCCTGGGGAGAGAATCTCAATCTCAATCTGAATCGAAGGAAAAGTTTTATGATTTCACCTTATTTTGGTGCCTTTTCAGTTCAGACTTTATTGCCACAAATCGTTTTCCTTTAGCCGAACAATTTTCCGTTGCCATTTTCCGTTGTTGCTGCCTCGTTTTCTTTGTGCAACTGCTGCAACTTACCAATCAAGCCAGCCAATCCACGCCACTTAGCCCAGTTTGATCCAGACCCTCCCCCGTCCCACCACCACACACACTGGTGTGCCCCCAGATTCAATATAAATGTATCTATATATTGCCAATTTCGTACCCAGTATCTACAACTTATGTATCTTTGTATCCGTTCTATAAGTGTAGCCTATCTATGTATATCGTAAGCTCGTACTATATCTTTGTCGTACTATATCTTTACCACCGCCCGGGTCGCTTAATGCAAATCAAATAATGCCAACGAAAGAAAGCCAAATGCTCACCCTGCAATAGGCCAAAAATATACCAATGCAGCTGGAAATACGCTTTGAACTTTATTGCTTTTCTCAGCTTTTGCTTAGGGGTCCTTGCAGGAGCTATTTGCTTTGTTTATAACATTGTCGTTTGGTAATTGCTGCTACATACTTACGTACTTAAACATTTAACATTACACTCCATAAAGATCTGATTTTGTTATAAACTGTTTTGCGTATCCGATTCTCCTGAACTATGATAAAGCTAGGGCAAAAGCCGTGCAAGGACCTTCATTGTACTTCGGCTGGCCGATGAGGAGCCCAAGCGCTTTTCTTATACTTTACCAACTGCTGTTATATATACCGCTTCAGGATACACGTGTACATATCCCTTTGTCTTTCGCCGCTTGCCATTTGGCATTGTCATAGTTATTGACACTGCCTGGGGGCTTCAATTACTTATCGAGGTGGAGCCCCCGAAATGTGGCTAAGGAGCTTATAGAACCGGGCCGAATAGCCTGGGCCCCAAGGCAGGAATCAAAGCCGCTCACACACACACAGAGAGGCGAAGACACTAATACACACGCATAGATACGGCACGATGTCCTGGCTTGGGTGCATCGAAGTATTAATGGCGCAGCAAGGTCCCCTGCCCCTCCGAATTCCGAAACAGAGTACCCCAACTATGTGTATCTACTATATGTGCATCTGTATCTGTATATGTTTTTGCCGGCTAGTACTTGAGTAATTAGTGTGTTTGCGTACTATTTGATGTTCTCAATGTGAGCAGATGTGAGACATACACACTTAACCACCCGATCCAAAACCAGATCCAGCTCCGAACCCGATTATTAGGTGCTAGGTGCTAGGTGCTAGGGATTAAAATGCAGGGCTAGGAACTCGTTTCTTTTGACCATACTATGCAGATGTCTGATGATTTCCAATGCGGCGAGCAATCCGCAAAGATTTCCCTGACGCGCAAATTTTTGCATTGCCCCGCAACCAACGAACCGACGTTTGAGAAATTCGTACATAAATTCCGACCGATAGAAACGATTACATCAAAATCAATTAAAAAGAAAACAGAAACTAAAACGCAGGAAAAGTCAAGCAAGCAGATGAGTCACCCAATGGCCAGCGTACTGTAAGTTGTGGGAGGTGAATCGAGTAAGTGCCAGACAAAGTATCTCAAAGTAACTAAAAGTATGTCAAAGTATCTCACAGTAACTCATCCAAGGACAGTCACAGCCTGATTCCTTCGGTTGCGTATCGAAGCTAGGGCCATAAAACCCACCTCAAATATTGCTGGGACCTAAAACCAAAACCAAAACCTAAACCGATCACAAAGCATGTAGTTCAGCCAAAAAGTCCCATGTCCCAGCAATATCTTGGGTGGCTTGGCCTTTTGCGTTAGTTATTTCCTAGCGTTAGATGAATATCATTATAAAAGGTTTATCAGCTTCGGTTACATTTCGGTTTTGAACTATCATTTGTAGTTGGCTTCAGACATGCTGTAGAATCTCTCCTGAACCCCAGCTCCAAATCCAGAATACCTCCTCCGAAAACCCACTTGCTATCCCTGTAAAGGTGTGCCTGGGTGTATGTGTACTCGTACATAAGTGTGTGAAAGTGCGTGTGGTTAAGAGTGTGCATGTCGTTGTGGTTGACGTTGCATGGCGCATGAAAAACTTTCTCTCGCATAGCTACTTTCTCTAATTCCTTTATTTCCCTCCCACGCAACGAATCCTTTTCTTCTCCCACTCCGCTCACTCCAATTGGAATCGTTATGTATCTAAGCGTTCTGTACTTGAGCCCGATACTATCACGATTCTAGATTGAGTGAAAAATTAAGTTCCAAAGTCTTCGCGTTTATTTATTACTTGTTTATTTGTAACGCCTTGGCTTGTAACATAACCTAGCAACTCCCAAATTTCCCAACACCCTTTCCCCTCTTTTTTCTATGGATCTTAACTGTAAGTTAGCCTTTCAGTTAAATAGTGCGATTGCCTAAGAGCACTACTACTGGGTTTGCTTTACTCTCCCACAAAATGTTCCCTGGGCAACATAACCCCCAGCTAGATAAACCATAACCAGCGGTTAGTTAACCGCCACCTTACTCATGCCGCCATTGCGTTCACCGGGTGCGTCATAAATTTGTAATCAGTACGCGACTACTTATGTCCGGTGGAAACCGGCTGGTATATCCAACCATCTGCCTCTCTGTCGCTCTAGTTTGCGGCTCGCCTTTTATTAGTTTAAATATAGACTCGAGTTGGCTGTTTAAAGAGGCTCGCCACCCATCGAACCACCAACTCCGTGTCCGTGTGTCCGGGTTTTGGTGGTGGTCGTGGTGAGTGCCGCAATTGCGTCAAAGCCTCGGCTCCATTACACACACACACACACACACACTGACAATCTAATTGTCACGCCAAGCCAACTATTATGGAATTTTTCCTTTAGTTTTCCTTTGTGGCTCACTCTCGCTCTGCCTTACTGGCCTGCTTCCCCTACTCCCACCTCTGCTCTGGCATATACTCGTTCTCCCTGTTCGTGTACATATAATGGGTCGCAGCTACATGGCATAGCTAGTATATGCATAGTATATGTTTTATATATGACCAGAGCGAGAGGGCGAATCGAGCGATACGTACGTTCCATGAAGTGACGTTAGAGTTCTTGTGCTTTCGGCTCTGGACTCTTTAATTTTGCTTTTGGCATTGCACGTGTCCGCGTCCGTGGAAAGTAAAACCGGAACGTTTCAGTTGCGACTTAGCGCGTCTGCCCGAAATCGATAGAGAGGTATATGGTATGGCATGGTATGGCATGGTATGGCATGGTATGGCATGGTATGGTATCGTATGGTAACCCACGAGCCCAAGGCAGTCGTCACTGGGGCCAAATATTGTCATACTATATGCATGGCGGGGCAATTAAAAGTTTGCAGAACATGCAAGAATAAAGCTTGTCTGGGGAAAATGCAATACCATCCACCCAAGAATCCTGCTTGTGATCCTCTATGTACCCATTCCCAAACCGTAGTATAGTCTAGTGTTTCCGCACTCTAGCTAATCGTTTTCCCACACTGGACACACTTTTTAGTTCCCAAAGGGCATGCCACATATGTATTTCCACACACATACACATGGAAAAGGACCTTGTTCAACACTGGTTACCTTAGTTTCCTTTTCCGTTTCCATGAACATTTCCGTTTCCGTTTCACTTTATTTCCGTTTCTTTGAACCTGACAAAAAAGAAAACCAACGATGAATCGGAATATAGATGAAACGATTCAAATGGTGAAGCGCCCAAAAAGGTGTAACCCAGATATATTGGTCGAAAAGACTTGGTGTTACTTTTGCATACCAACCGAATCTGCTGAACCCCAAAAGTCCAAAACTCCAAACTGTCTCCCATCCTTTTGCTTTCTCTATCACCGTGTATATATACTTTATATATATTGTATCAATGCCTACCCTTATAGCATATATGTGTATAAATATATATGTATAGATACAAATCAAATGATATGCAAAACTGAAACCATCACGAAATTTTTCAATTCGAATCAAAAGCGCTTGAAATTGATGTTGCCCACCATCTTATGATTTACGATACTTTCAATTCCGTTTTTGAGTTGACATTTGAATTCGGGGCTCAGTCGTGCCGCGTGATAATGGTGTTTTACGCATTTTATACGAAAGTCCTTGCTAATGTATTGTTGCCCAAACCATTCTGTGCAGATCCGATATGATGACGAGGACGAGGATGAAGGTCCACAACCGGATCCTACACTTGAACAGGGTGTGCCAATACCTGTTCGATTGCAGGGCAGCTTCCCGCCGGAATTGGCCTCCACTCCTCTCGAGGATATCGATCCCTACTACAGCAATGTACTGGTAAGTTTCCGTCTCCAAGTGATCTGATAGATTCCCCACGAGAGGAACTCCCAACCGATAACCCCCTGATATTGACAACGCTCTCTTGCAGACATTCGTAGTTGTAAGCAAAGGAAAAGATATTTTTCGCTTTTCTGCATCAAAAGCAATGTGGCTGCTCGATCCATTCAATCCGATACGTCGTGTGGCCATTTACATTCTAGTGCATCCATTATTTTCCCTATTCATCATCACCACAATTCTCGTCAACTGCATCCTGATGATAATGCCGACAACGCCCACGGTTGAGTCCACTGAGTAAGTACGCCCAGCCAGTTAGTCGCCCTATATGCATACCCATATATCTAATTTATCTGACCACATATTATATAAGAGTAACCCCCAACGGAAGACACTTGATTTGGTTCCCTTTCCTTAGATACATTTGATTTTCGAAACTTGTTTCGGTTGATTTCCGTTTTCTGTTCGTATTTCCTTTATGAATCTTTTATAACTAATGTTATTATACACTGTACTAGTCATATAAGTATATAAACATCTATATACCTATGTGCTATATAATCGACATACCTAACTATATATTAAACGATATATTATACAAAACTATATATGTAACTTTTTCGATATTTATGGAGATGTGTATTTAGGTCAAACTTGTATTTCTTTCCTCTATGATTTCAACAAAAGCCAAACGAAAAGAAATCGAAAAACAGCAACAAACCAAAGTGCAATCGATATGCAAACCTATGTACTATACCTATATGTAAAAAACCACCCATTTAACTGTCTAATCAATCTTTATGACCCACGCAGGCGAAGGTAACGATGTCGAGTAAAGTAAAGTTCCTAGGTAGCTAAAGCCATTTCCAGTAAGAGAACCTTGATATCATGATGCATTCTAGTAGTGGTACGAACACTCGGCGATGGCCAGTTCATTGGGAACCGAGATCTGTTGAGTGCATCCGCTCTTGTATGATATGACCAATATCGCATCAAACTGCATTCATACCTAACTTCAGTCTACTAACTATTAATATATATATCGATGTAAATGCTCATATCCGTACTCGTTTCTGTTGTGAGTAACTTTGCAATATTTGATCGTTCGATAACTATTCGATAACTCGATCATAGGCCCACCACTCGCGTCCCAACAATCTCAGATCCATTCAAACTATTCATTCCAACTGTAAATTTGCCTCGCTAGTCCATCCGCGGTTGGGCATCCAAATCGAAATCCCTCCGAGAACCGACTATCCCGATACCGAGCATCGGATACTCGTAGAGGTCCAGCTGGGACCGAACCAGTCGAGCTGGTTGGTTTTGGTTTGTTCACGTTTCGAATTGAATTCAATCGATATATCATTTGTAAATGAAGTAACTTTGCTCCGTAGTTAAATTCTAGCTACCTTGTTTATTAATATTTATATACACACACGCTTAGATCATACAACTTAAATTTATATTTATATCCATAGATAGAACTTATGTAAATTGCTCAAATATGTATTAAGTAAACCTTATTGTAAACTAAACACCCCAAAAGATCCCAGTTAGCAAAAGAACTTAGTTCGTTTCGAGCATCGTATCTATGTAAATCATTGTAATCCTAGAACTATATAAAGTTAGTTAAGATCCCCCGTATAATCGAATTTAGTTCTAGAGAATATACCATTTTGTATAAGGGGTTCGTATCGTAATTCTTGCAGATCGCTCTGGGGTAAAAGTAAAGTAGACTTTTGTGTGGTAATTAGCTGACTTAGAAAACTCATACCCTTAGAACAGTTGGCATATACAAATAGCTAGAATTCTCATTTCTTGGCAGGACATTTGTCTCTCTCTATTCACTTTGTGAATCGACTCCCAATCGATTTGACATTTAGAGCTAGAATCGATTCGATTAGTGCTCATCTAGAATTCGCTTCATATCATAGAACGTAGACGTAACTTGTACATAGGTAAACTATATAGTAAACTCTAGCGAAATACTTAAGGAAAGCCAAGCGAGCAAAAATGCTTTGAAGAGAGCGCACAGCGCCAATAAAGCAAAATGTAAAGTGAAAAGAGTTACGTCATTTTTCTAGCTGATATCAAAGTTATTGTCGCAGATTTGGTATCAGAATGGAGCACCCTAAGATAGAGAGAGACTAAGGACAGGTCATAGGAATAAAGAGGAGCAGATGGCTGCCAGATAGCCAGAAACCCAGAAAGCCGAATGGAAGTGCAAGCGGAAACGCCACTTGAACTTGGCTAAGTGCTGCACGCAGGGAGGGTTCAGGAACTAGGGGATGAGATAGGATGGTATGGGATTGTATGGTGTGCTATGGTATGGGATGGGATGTGTGCCTAAAAAGCAGGTGCTGCATAACTTGGGACACACACACACACACACACGCCGGGAAAAGGGAAAGTATGAATGTGCGGAACAACCAGAGAAAGGAAAGAAAAGCCTCAAAGTGGGTCGAGAGAGTGGAAGCGAGATAGAGAGAGCGAGAGAGAGATGCAGAGAGAAAAATTCTGAGTTCTGAACTGCCAGCAGTGTATTTGCAAAGCTATTGTAAATTCTATATTGAACTTCCTATATAACTAGCATCAGATTACAGGCAAATGAATAGCTAGTGCTTAGTTTTAATTAGTTTTAATTTCAAATTAAAGACTATATTTCTGGGCATTACAGACCCATTTGCCATTCCATGGTTAACCTATATGCATGGGCGTATTTAAGGAGAAGACAGAATGCTTTAGTAAAGGGATGAAGGGACTAAGAGTTGCAGCCAACTGATTTTCGGAATGAGACTGCCCCACTCATTGAATACCATTTGCTTCATTGTTTTCTACGGTGCAGAGGTCACACTTGTGCAGGCCCCTAAGAAAGACATAATACCTGCAATTAAAACACAGCTCAAGTGTCCTTCACAGGCATTGGGGCCTAGGTCAGACGCATTCCCAGCCCCCCCCAACGCCCCAGAAGCCCCCGCTGCGTCTTTAAACTAGTTGCGGCGCCCAAAGGACGACGAGCACTGTCTGAAATGCTGGCTGAAATCTGTCAAATGGCTAACCAGGCAGTGTGGGCGGGCATAACAGCTGGGGGCGTGGCTGGGGCGGCCAGTTGGCCGAAGGTCGGCCTATTGATCTGACACCCACACACGAACAGCAGAACAGCAGAACAGCATCCACCCACAAACACAAGCACACGCACACGCACACGCACACAGACACAAAGGCAGCGCCAAGCGGTTGGTGGTTAAGTATTAACCATTATTGACATTGACAATTGTCTATCTGCATCTGCAATTCAGTAATTAGGGCGCTCGAGCACTTGCCAAGTGTCCTTTTGATGTGGAATGCTAGGCACTTCTTTCAGTGCCTGTGCACCCAAGCAATGTTGCTGTGGTTATGAAATATAATGGCTTAATTTCAATCACTAAGAATACTTCTCGGCACTCAATTGGCTAGCTCTCGCTTAGGTTTGAGTAGCAGATTCAATGTATTCCAGTGAGGCAATAATTTCTTTAAATTTTCTCTAAAGCGCAACATTTAACTAACTCATTTAACTCACTCGCATTTACTAAATATTTGACAAGGGTTTTTGAATATGTATGAATATAACTTGTTGGGTTCTATTTTCTGGTGTGTGTGTTCCACATTCGACTGCTAGTTGAGTGGACGTGACTATTGTGGCACAGCACATAAATCTAGGACAAAAGGAAGGCAATTTGTGAATCTGAAATTCAGATGCTACCTGGTTATGGTTGAAGTTGAGGTGGCATCAGTCACACAACCTGATGCAAATGGTTAGGCTAATCACTTAAGTTAGTTTTAACGAGTACGTGTAAGAATGAAGTTTCGGAAAAGCCTTGGAGTACTACGACAATCCGAAACACAAGTGGTAAAACAACGTTGGATGGAATTGTGGAGAGCACCGAAATTGGGAGCCAGACGAAGTGTAGCCTACTTTTAAGAGCAAATTTTCCACCACTTGCAACTACTCTTACTCAATATTTGATTTTCGATTTCTGTGTAACAGTTAAACATCTATTTTCTTGGTCAACCTTTAACAATTGGTTTTAGTTTTTGTGTGTCTGTTGTTCACGTTTCTTTTTTTTCATTAATTGTATTGATGACCCATCATCTAAGGCAGTCTAACCAAAAAAAAACCAAAAAAAGAAATCAAAATAAAAAATCAACATTTCAAGCTACATTTGAAGTGCATAAAAGCCCAGAAGACAACAACAAATTGCATTTCGAAATTCAATTCGTTTTTAGGGTGATATTCACCGGAATCTACACATTTGAATCAGCTGTTAAAGTGATGGCACGAGGTTTCATTTTATGCCCGTTTACGTATCTTAGAGATGCATGGAATTGGCTGGACTTCGTAGTAATAGCTTTAGCGTGAGTTATATAAACCTATATATAATACTATATATTACTTCATTCAATTGAATAATAAATTATCATCCATTCGTATATCACGCTTAAATTACCCATTGCATACTGCTGAGGCACCAAAAAAATGTATATACGAGTGCATATCTCTTTTAGATTATAATAATAATATACACTCATTCAAATTGATTTACTAAATGCTACCGTGCAATACTACTTCCTTTAAAACGAAATCATTTTTAAGTAAACATATTATTTTTGGTGCTTGGCAGTATCTTTCGCACCAATGTATCATCTATAAGGACCAGTTCTTGTTTTTTGCGTTGCCTTTGACTTACGATTTGCTTTCGTATTGGTATCGTAACTGAATCATCCATCGTATAAGCCGTAGTCACACGAAACTAAATAGCAGCCCTATCCAATATCCAAAACAAAACACCCACTCAATCCGAAATTTTCTTCCCACTTTCCCACGCCATGCTTTCTGTTCTATGAATTTTTATTTCATTTTCCTTTCCAAGTTTACAGTCAGTTGCCTTCTGATTACAAATAAGCGCTATTTGCTTACAATATTTATTATTATTATCAATTTATGCAAACCATTCACACACCCACACCCGCACACTTCATTAACATAATCGAGTCCGTACTACCAATTCATATACACATGCAGCAGTGTGCGTGGGAGTCGCAATTAGCAGCATCCAGTTGAGTCAATCAATGTAAGCGAAAAATACATAAAAAACAAGGCTGAATGCGGCGTTAACCGATTTACACACCTGCACATTCTTCTGGCCCATTAAAGGCAATCAAAGAGACAGCTGTGTGTTCTATCAGCATCTATAATGTCGGAAACAAGCTCAAACAATTCGTAGAAAACTCAGGGGGCATAGAAAAGTGTCTGCTTAAAACTGATTTATAGTATATGTTTCTATTTCTTTAGGTTTATTTGGGTTACTTACATCAATGCGAATTAAACTGCATTGCCATATTGTTAGCTCAGCATTTCTGCAGCCACGGCTGACTTAGCAATAATAAAATAAACTAATATACGTACAGGTACGTTACGAGGGAATTTTCCGAATTAATCAAAGCGTAGAGGCCAACGGATATATTCAAAAGTGGAGCTCAAGCCGAATTAAAATGAACGGGGCCACAGGAGCAAAGAGCGAATGGAATTACATTCATTAGAGTCAGCAGTTGGAAAATAATAAAAACGATGAAAGGAGGGGAGGAGGGGAGCAGGGGAGGAGGGGAGGGGCAGCCACAAGAAAAGCAGCTATGGCCATAGAAATTCTATAGAATTATACGTTACACGCGATGGGGGAAACAAAAAAAAGTCGTGTTAACGGAGCATTTTTATTGATTTATTTTTTCCGTTTCTAATGACGCGCCCAACCAGCCATACACATACACTCACACTCACACTCACACAATGGCACATGACAGGATTTTCAGCGATTATTTCCCAGGCACACTCACACTCACACGCACACATAAAAATGCCATAAACAAATTTTTGGTCGCTCAAGTTAATTTTTGTTCCATTTCCCAGCTTTTGGTTTATATTTTCTTCTCTTCTTTCTTTTTCCTCTTTGTATTTGTGATTGCCGCTTTGCCTTGTTCTTTTTGTCGTTTCGTGACAATTCCATTTCATTGCTTTCTGCTTCATTTTAAGCATTTATTGGAGCTGTCTATTTGCCATACTTTTTTTTTTTCTCCTATTTTTCTGGGTGGCCAATGAGGGGAAAGAGCAGGAGGAGGCGACTATGTCGTGCGGCACATTTGGCTGGTGGCGCCGCCAGGACGCGCAGCCTTGGTTCGTCAATGCCAGGCACGGCATTTTAAAGCTCCCGGCTTAAAGCATGCTGCATTCTGCATTCTGCATTCTGCATTCTGCATTTTCCATTTTCCTCCTTTTCACGGAGTGCCAGAGCTTGCGAATGCAAGCCACTTTCCGCGAAAGCCCAGGATTCAGCCAGAAGTAGCGTCACCAGCCGGTTAAATCGAACTGTCTGTCCAATTAGCAGCTATCCGATCACGCTGCGTATACGTATTATATGCTTCTTGCCCAAAGGCACCTTTATATATGTGTGAACAACATGGCGTGTACGCAATTTCGTAAAATTACCTCAATATTACGTATACGCAAGGTATGGCCATACGCGGGGCCAAGCAATTTAAAGCAATGTTAATAAGATAAAATGTTGAAATTATTCTTTAGATGCAGTCGAACTTTTTCATTACATTTTGGCTGTTTGCCCTCCCATATTTATCCCAAAAATGGTCAATTAAACGACAGCACTGCACGCAATGGCAGACAAATCGATAAATATTCATGAAAAATAAATGGTACCGCTGTTGCTAGTGGCGCTTTCCATAGGTGAGGCACAAGGCACACCCACCCACCGACCCACCTTCCAACTAGCAACGAGAATTCCCAAAGGATGACGTACGACGGGTCACTGGGAAGCACTTTCTGGTCGGGGGCTAAGTAGGCTCTATTAATATGCTTTTTTATGGCCAGCCACGGAGGAAGAAAATTGATCGGTGGACATGGGTAATGGGGAATGGAAAGTGGGAAATGGGCCAGGTGAAGCTAATTTACAAAATGTGTAATAAACTCGGCCCGGTCGCAGCTTTATTTATTTTAGTACCTATGCTTTGAGGCATATGTCAAAGTTCGCATTCATTTGGGCTTTTTATGGCATACAAGCATACCTTTCATGCATACAAACACACACTCACCCGTTTGCTTTAACTTAATTGCTTTGTAAAGAACAACGAAAGAATAATGAACCCACAACATTTGTAATTATTTCGAATGCAATCGAATCAAATCGAATCGAAGCAAATTCTATAAATAAACCGAATAAACTAATTGCATGCCTATAGCACTCTAATTACTAATACTCGATGACATTCTGTGTGTATATCCGTATCTGTATCTGAACCTGTATCTGCTGCCCCAACAAATCAACGATCTGTATCCGAACCGCAGTTATGTGACCATGGGTATAGATTTAGGTAATCTAGCAGCTCTGCGAACGTTTAGGGTGCTGCGAGCGCTTAAAACCGTAGCCATTGTGCCAGGTATGGAATCTGCCTATGAACGTCCAATTAACTAGATTATAAATACTTGAATTAATCATATATATGATTATGTATATGTATACCATCACCCAATAAAATATCCCACAAACAGGCTTGAAGACCATCGTCGGCGCCGTCATCGAATCGGTGAAGAATCTGCGCGATGTGATAATCCTGACCATGTTCTCCCTGTCGGTGTTCGCGTTGATGGGCCTACAGATCTACATGGGCGTGCTCACGCAGAAGTGCATCAAGAAATTCCCGCTGGACGGCTCCTGGGGCAATCTGACCGACGAGAACTGGGCCTATCACAATCACAATAAGTCCAATTGGTACTCCGAGGACGAGGGCATCTCATTTCCGTTGTGCGGCAATATATCCGGTGCGGGGTAAGTGCATTATCGATTGCATCCGATATTGATGGATATCGGTTGCAACCATGCAGCTGGTTGCGTTTAACAATCATAAACTCTGTTGTGATCTATCCACTTTCCATGCGATCCTATCCGATGCCAGGCAATGCGACGACGACTACGTGTGCCTGCAGGGGTTTGGTCCGAATCCGAATTACGGCTACACCAGCTTCGATTCGTTCGGATGGGCTTTCCTGTCCGCCTTCCGGCTGATGACACAGGACTTCTGGGAGGACCTGTACCAGCTGGTGTTGCGCGCCGCCGGACCATGGCACATGCTGTTCTTTATAGTCATCATCTTCCTAGGTTCATTCTATCTTGTGAATTTGATTTTGGCCATTGTTGCCATGTCGTATGACGAATTGCAAAAGAAGGCCGAAGAAGAAGAGGCTGCCGAAGAGGAGGCGATACGTGTAAGTAGACACCCAAGACCAACTGCCCCAGACAACTGCAACAGCAACAGCAACTGCAGCTGCAACTGCAACTGCAACTGCAGCAGCAAGCGCTACGCAGTGGGACAAGAACAGACAACAGTACAGTACAGAACCACTAACAACTACCCTACCGTACGAAATACCATACACAACTACAACAGCTGTGGTAGATAATTTCAATTTCGATTGCTGCCGGAACTCGATCGAATATTGAGAATATCTACCCGTACCAATGACTCGATAACAGCAGCAACCACAACAGACTTGCTTTTTTCTTTTGTATGTACCATGTGAATATCAATATCAATATGATTATGAGTATGAATATGAATTTAGATCGACTACTCGTATGTATATCGTGTATCGTGTATCGTATATCGTATGCCCTAATATCGTATGCTTTAGCTAACTGTCTATGAAACTTAATCAACTTATCAAAACTATCGCAACATCTTAAAAAAACTACTCTGCCTATCCTGTACTTTTCAATCATTGTGCATAAAGTGTCGAGCTCGGTTCCGTCTGATACTGTCATCCAGTAACTGTTATAGGACCTGGTCCTAATCACGAACCATTTAGCTTTCAAAGTTCCTGGAACTTGCCCTTTTCTATCTCTCCATGTATACTTATATATTCTATCTTGTATGTAAACTCTTTGGAGATATACTCGTACTTACTTATGATTTTAGTGCACCATTAGTTCCGATCCTGTCACTAATCACAAACGATTAACGGAAATAACAAAAGAAGAAATCAAATTACTCACAACCTATACTTACTATCTCTCTCTATATATATATAAATATCTATATAAATATGTACCAAATAAGTTCCAGCCCTGAATCCAAAATCCTGACCCTCAACCCATCCTATGCCGAACAAAAACTAAACAGCCCCAGCACAGCACCTTACTGTATGATTTTATTTGATCTGTGTACCTATAAACCATAACCGATCAAAGTAGTCTTGTAGTTTTAATTTTCGTAATGTACCAGTTCCGAACCCCAATTGAGAAAACCCATTCCTAGCCTGAAAAAGACCCAATACCAATCCTCCGGATGTGTGAGATTGCGGAGTGATGGGACTGTACATAATTGCTAATTGCCACACACTATTGTTGTAGGAAGCGGAAGAAGCTGCCGCCGCCAAAGCGGCCAAGCTGGAGGAGCGGGCCAATGCGCAGGCTCAGGCAGCAGCGGATGCGGCTGCCGCCGAAGAGGCTGCACTGCATCCGGAAATGGCCAAGAGTCCGACGTATTCTTGCATCAGCTATGAGCTATTTGTTGGCGGCGAGAAGGGCAACGATGACAACAACAAAGAGAAGATGTCCATTCGGAGCGTCGAGGTGGAGTCGGAGTCGGTGAGCGTTATACAAAGACAACCAGCACCTACCACAGCACACCAAGCTACCAAAGTTCGTAAAGTGAGCACGGTAAGTATTCCGAGCGCAGGCGCAGCATTTTTCTTTACCTTCCTTTCCATTCCAGTATTTTGTGTTCCGTTCCGTTCCATTCCGTACCGTTCCGTTCCGTTGCCTTCTTTTGCGTTCGATTCCATTTGACGAGCTTCCGTTTCCGTTTCCGTGTTCGTTTCGTTTTCCTATTCTGTTTCTCCATACAAATCCTATTCGTTTCGATACTGCTTTCGGTTCCTTACGTTTCCGTTTAGCTTTTTGCGATTTGGGCTCTACTGTACCCAATGTCGTTAGACCTATGTAGAAGTGTTAACTGTACTTGAATTGTGTTTGGTTGGCCAGACGGCCCATCGATTATTATATACATACATATATGCATATATGTTGGCTTGAGTTGCTTTTGGCCTCGGTTAGGTTGATTTTGCGTTGCGTTGCGTTTTCGTTATTCTAATCGACTCCCCCGCAAGGGTCTTGTCTTCCGATCGCTGCCTATCGATCCCCGATCACTGGGCTCCACTTTCAGCTTGCGTTGCAGCTTCGAGTCCCTCCAATAGCTATCGATAAATTGCGTCGCCGCTACCGAAAAAGTTAGAGCTACAGTAAAAGCTACAGTTATAGTTACCGTTACCGCTATCGTTACATTGCCATTGCATTGTTATCGAACCCGAGTTCGAGTTATCGCCTATCATTTTGTATCGTTTCTCGTCGATTTTTATTGGATTAGTTTGATCATTATGTTGGATATCTCCCTCTTTTGATTGGATCGTACATTTCGTGCCTTATATGCTGTATAAATTTACCCGTATGATCATGCAACTAGATATTGAATCCTTTCATACCTGTATATGGATATAGTGTTAGTGCGTGTCAATATGTATGTATGTACTTTGACCTTTTTACCTATCTTTATCTATCTATAACTTTATCTTTAACTCGAACTCTTTAATCATTCTTCGGTTTTAGTTTCCCACTATGATTTCCGTTCGTTATGTGCATGCGAGTGCTTGTGTGTGCGTGATTGTAGGTGGGATATAAAAATGTAGATTCCCAGATGATTTTCCATTTGCCTAGCTTCAAAGTTGAATTTGTTTTGAGTTTTGCCCTTACTTTCCAGTGATTTCGTAATTTTCCTTATCATTTTGGTTTCGATCTTGGTTGGGTCATTGCTCGGAATGCTTTAGGTAACACGGAAAACTCTTTATCAAAGTATATACATACATATATTATGGATGCTTTGACAATTGGCTTCGTACCGCATTCTGCAACGCTAAGAGAACCGATAAAAATCATAAGCTTCAGATTCGTCAGCTTGGCTTGACTATTGGACCTGCGCTTAAAGGCTTTGAACCTATACAAAAACCACTGCGCTTTTTCGGTTTTTGATTTGACTTGATTTTCGACTAATGTTTTTGATTCGTTTCGGTTGTACTACATACTATCCTCGATCCCTGGCCTTGGCCACCGATCAATGGTTTCTTTGAGTTGATGTTGAGTTCCTGTTCCGATATAATTTTTCGTTGAACGTTCCGTTTTGGTATTGTACGATAGAGTTTCGGATTTGATAATTTCTGTGGCTGCATAACCATTGCATGCATTGATCGAACGTTACATTTCCCGTTATAGCATCTATAAATGTATAACAATTATAACAGTTGACACACGCCACAATCAAATTCCGAAAATTAGAATCCATTGATTGGAGAAAGTTGCCACTTGTGCTCGTAGCACCAGATTGAATAGAATAAAATTGAATCAAAACGAATCGAGTGCAATCGATCACTACCTATCGGGCGAGCGATAACCAATTGCGATAACCATCGAATTTTCTCTTCATCGCTAAGCTAGTCATGTACCTCTCACGAAACACGGACTTTTTGGCATATGGCAAGCGTTTGCTTTTCAGCACAGCTACACTTACACAAAACACGCGCACAATTGGAGGATCTCCGCGATAACCGATAACCAATAGCCGATAGAAAGCGGTTCCCTATGGCGAGCAGCAAACGCTCGGGTGTTGAAAATAAAGTTTTGGCTTTTCCGTTTAAGTTCTGAGCCCGCTAACACAGCAATGGACCGCCTTGAATACCTTAGAAATTACAACACTATTTCACACGATATATACCTAACCGATATACTGATTGATAACTCGCTATCGCTATCTCGCTCGCTCGCTAGCTCGTTCTAACCAACCATCAATTTTGCTCAGGGCAGCCTCAGATAGTTTTCGATGAGAGCAGAAACTATTTGGGATTGACCGTTGATCGTATATCGATAAGTCCCCAGTTGCCTCAGGTAGGTTGCTCTCTTTCTCTCTCGCTCCTACTCTCTTTCTCTCTCTCTCTCTCTCCCACACACACACTCTTTCTCTCTCCAACTTTCTCTCTGTCTGGCTCTGTTAAACCAACCAAAGCGAACTCACACAGACAAGAAACAAAACACGCGTACACACCCAAAAACTAAAATCAAAGTCTGATTAGGACGCAAGGCAGAGCGCCTGGTTCAATGAAATCCGTCCAGACATACCGAGAAGATGATATAGATCCCCATTTTCGATCCGTTAGCCGCCCCCTTTGCCACGCCCCGCTGAGTATGCAACGAAATAAGAAATCGAAAGCGCAGTAGAGTTGTGATTTGAAACTAGAAATGCATCCGTACGAAGTTTGGAAGAGATTTGCCTAGAGTTGATTGTAGAACTTACCGATTAACACTTGATTCTGATTTTGGATTATTTTCGTTTTCATTATTGAGCCGGCTTTTACCGCCAGTGGGACCGATTTTCCCGATCGACGTTTGTTCAAATATTTTCGTTTTCCGTATTGTTCCATTGAAGTTTTCTCTTTTGTTGGTTGATATGATTCTTGATCTAAGAACTGTATAAGTATATAACCCTGTTTGGAACATTTTAGTTATTTAGTTCTCCAACCCCGACCCTTAAATATATAGCTAAACGAATTAACTTTTTAATCAAACGCTACGCTGAAGTAGAACCGAAATCACACCACAAATTTTAAACTTAAATCAACCGTTCACCAAACTACTAAATGTAACATAGTTGCTATCTTATCATGTCAAAAGGAACACATACATGTTAACACAATATGTACACATACAGAAACACACTCACACACAAAACACACGTTATTCTCACAACTAAACGATCCAAGTAATAACTTTTCCTTTAAATCGTAGACAACCAAACCAAATAATTAATGCCAAACCCAAACAAAAAAAGTTTTTGTACAAAATATAAATATACATTTATCCATAGATAATAAAATCGCAATCGAGGAATATATATATTTTTTTTGATTCATTTTCTTTTTCTTCTTCTATTTATACTTTGTTTGTACAACAAATGAAAAATGAAAACGAACCGAACCGAAAAAAACAAAACTTAGACATCCTTATCCTTACCTGGTTCACCGTTTAACATACGCAGGGGATCACGTAGTTCTCACAAGGTAAGCGCCCAACACACACACACACACACACTCGAACCACCTCACACAGATACACCGTCCACTAACACAGACACGGATTTGCGTTACACACATACACCACACATCATCGGCCATGCGGATCTTCGATCCGATACCGGGGAATTGGCCATAGATCATCAGGGATCACAGTTCACAAATCACGAATCACAACAGCCACTCTCGTCGTTCATCTGAGACTGAAAGTCACCGTCTTAGTCTTAGCCAAGTAATCGTATCTCGTAGGCAGTTGCTACCGTACAGCGTTTAGAACATACATATATAGTTTTCGGATCGGTTTCCATTCAACATTGGAACATTGGTTCATTAACCTCAACAACTACACATTTATGCGACTAGTTAGCGTAGCATTCGATCTGAAACATCTGTAGTACCCGATCATCTTTGGATACGAGAGTCATATGTGGCACTAACCATATCGATAAGCTTTCGCATTTGCATTACCATAACATAGCCATACTCACATAGTCATAATCACCTAATCGTCTATTACTGTCTACATGTTTTTATGGTTTTCTACTCTTCGATAATTGTGTTTCCTTGTTTGGCCTTGTTTTGTGTATCGCTGTATCTTCATATCCCTCAATATATATATACTGTTATATATGTATACTATCGTGCATATCCATCTATAACGTATAGTCGTCTAACTAACTGTACTGCTCTTAACTGTACTCGGTTGTAAGTGTGTCTGTCTCTGTGTACCTGTCTTCTGTACCTCCTCTGTACAACTGTACAACTGTACCATTGTACACTGTACACCTGTACACCTGTAAACCTGATTAGCTTGATCTCAGCAATGGGCTTCGAAGGGAACAGTTCTGGTCCGGATGTCACTCATCTCGCGGTCACTGTTACGCGGTCACTGCCACAATCGCAACCACTGTCACCGCTCACTGTCACTGTCACTGCCACGATCACCATCACTGTCATGTCTCGTTGTGCATTCTTATGATCGTTTTGCCCTTTGATTTATTACCTTATCAGTTTTATTTGATTCGATATGTTGGTTCTTTGTAAGTATTACGTCTTTGTATACGCAAAATCACAACAAAGTAACTAAAAAGCAACCAATACCCAATAATCCTCTGACGTCTGACTGTGGTCCGTTCTCACTCTATGTTTTTCACCAACCCTAATACATCCGGAATCAGCTCAGATCTTGCAATCTGAACTGATTTCGCGGCCAGATCATTTGAGTTGTTCTTCCGCTCTTGATTTTTTATTGTTGTCTATAATTGCTCATTTCAATCATATCGTTAACGAGTCTAATATGGCGAAGAATACCCCGCGTCATAACTCTCACCACTCTCGGCAAATACCACCTTATACCTACTCCTACTACTGCTCTCTGCTGTATAACTACTTTGTAATAACTCTAATTACGAGTATATATCAATAAATATATGTAATATACATTGCTGTGTGGCTTCACTGAATGCGCGAGTGGGTGCGTGTGTGTGCGAGTGTGCAAGTGAATGCCAGAGGGCCAAATGCAGATGAACTAACCTCACCCAATTCCATGTCCAGTACACGATACGGAACGGACGTGGCCGCTTTGGTATACCCGGTAGCGATCGCAAGCCATTGGTATTGTCAACATATCAGGATGCCCAGCAGCACTTGCCCTATGCCGACGACTCGAATGCCGTCACCCCGATGTCCGAAGAGAATGGGGCCATCATAGTGCCCGTGTACTATGGCAATCTAGGTGAGTTGGTGTGCAGCGATGCCCCTTAAACGGCGGACAGTGACATGATTTTCTTACAGGCTCTCGGCACTCATCGTATACCTCGCATCAGTCCCGAATATCGTATACCTCACATGGCGATCTACTCGGCGGCATGGCCGTCATGGGCGTCAGCACAATGACCAAGGAGAGCAAATTGCGCAACCGCAACACACGCAATCAATCAGTGGGCGCCACCAATGGCGGCACCACCTGCCTGGACACTAATCACAAGCTCGATCATCGCGACTACGTAAGTCTCTTTAGCCCTACTTACAGAGGATCGATTGTTATCGATTTAATCATAACCAACCGATTATTTCGATAATTACAGGAAATTGGCCTGGAGTGCACGGACGAAGCTGGCAAGATTAAACATCATGACAATCCTTTTATCGAGCCCGTCCAGACACAAACGGTGGTTGACATGAAAGGTAGGAATAAAATATGTACGATAAGTATATGCGATAAGTACTGTTTCGAAGGATCTATATTTAATCTTTGATTTTCTTATTTTATATAGGTAATGCCAATATATCTTTAAATGCAATGCAAGATAAATGCAATTATTCCGATTACACACACAATAACCCCTCATTGCTTTCGGCTCCTTTCAGATGTGATGGTCCTGAATGACATAATCGAACAGGCCGCTGGTCGGCACAGTCGGGCAAGCGATCGCGGTGGTAAGTGGTTTGATACACGCTTGCCGATATCTGTAATTGTTTACTGTCGATTAATCTCCATTCCGTTCATTCTGTACATTCTTGCATCCCAATCGATATCGATCGTCGTCTCTTTTGTGTTAATCTTACATGTGCATTGTTCGATTTGGTTTTCGTTTCCTGTTGCGTTATCATGTAAATACAATATTGTAAAAGAGCCTTGCCAGAACGCGGGGAATAAAGATTACCAGTCAATTTTCCCCGACAATCTCTTCTCTTTTGAACAATTTAAATTTTTGGCTTTACAAAAAAACAGCTTCATAGCTTAAGACATCTTCAGACCAATTTCTTAAAACAAAAATAAATAGAAAACAAAAACAAATGGAGTGACAGTTTCATTGACCTGGCCATCATGGCTGTCCTGAAAAAGATTTAATTTAATTTTTCCCTTATGGTTTATGCATTTCCTTTTTGCATTTTGATTGCGGTCATGTTTTGATTTTATTGGTTCGCATGCGTTTTGTGACCACGCCTGGCCGAGTCCTTCGGCCAATTGATTGATTGACTGATGGCTGAAGCGTATGTTGCAGTGTGTCCTGCTCCTAGAGTTCGCATGCGGCCTGCATCCTGTGCATCCCGTGCATCCCTCCATTGATAACTGATAGCCGATAACCAATAAGCAATATCCGATAGCCCCACTTCCGCCGGCGAAGAGCGAACGATGCGTTGCCTTTGTTTATATATATTTCACCCATTGCATTATCCTTTGTATTCTGTTCTGCATTCTAACTTCTCTCGCGTGCATACCAATATATATATATATATAAATATTTTTGATTTCTCTTTTTAATTTCTTTGTTTTAAGCTGAAAAAATAAGCAACATATATACCTATGCATATGTATCCAAACATATATATATACTCCAACGAATGACTTCTTTGACTCGTCCATTTTATTTAATGCCGTTGATGCTAACAGAAGAAAGCGAACAAGCAAAAATGACAAAACCAATACAACAAATGTTTAAAAACAAACAAAAACAACAGTCCGTTCGAAAACTTTAAGAAGTGCAGTTAGCAAGCCACACTCACACAGCCAAACAGCCACACACCCACACACCCATATATAATTAGTTATTTCTTCACACACACATACACACGCGTACTGCGGAAGAGCAGGCGCTCTCTTAAGCCTTTCTCCGCTTTCTCTCCCAGAAACTTGAAGAATTCGCATTTCGCACGCTGCTGCCGCTCTCACCCACACACAGACACTTAACACACACACACACTGAGCAGCCGGAGAGGTGACGAAATCTCCTTTCCTGCCAGTCCCGACAGTTTGTCGTCACGAAGGCTGCTCCTTCGAGAGGCTCAATTAGACAAAAACTTTCAAAAATATTCTAATTAAATTCAAGTAAATCGAATAATTCGATTTCCCTCCGTTGTTGGTTACAATGCTAAATGTTTTACCTTTCGTTACCTATTTTTAATGCATGCCTAAACTAGTTACTTGTATATTTTAGAGAACTGCCTAACTAGATAAATAATTATCTTTTTTAAGTACCTTTTGTCGTAATTGCTAGTTATTTTGAATTTTGGCCTTATAGAGTACATAAGAAACAAAACAGTATTTGTTAATACTAGAGCATGCTTTTGTTGATCAGTTCGTAGATCATTATTTAGTCCAATCACATTCACTCTTATCTAATAATTTCATGATTATAAACAATATGCTTAGAAATAATTTAACTGGTAATTGAAGCGCCGAGCAACGATTGTATTGGAATATGATTCGAGTAGTATTTGATTTGTGACTTTTCAGAGTGTCCGTATGGATTCCGATGAAGAGGAAATAAACTATCACAGCCGAAAGTCAAAAATTAGTTAGTTATCAGAATCAGCCGCATATAGATCTGGGATTAGCTTTTAGTAGAGAAGTGCCGACATCGATTAGCTGAACACCAAATTGGCGTTTAAATCTTCGGGTGCCAGAGTCAAGATATTCCTAACGTAACGGTGGCAAAAGGTTGAAATGTATTAGCTTTAATGTAGCAATTTTACAATGATGGATTTTGTTGAAATTAATTTCTATATAATCGTTTAAAATGTGTTGTACTCAAAAAGCTGGAAGGATAGTATATTTTTTAATATAGTAATTTATAGCTTGCCAGCCAGCTCCACATGAAAATCTATCATTTACAGCCAAGTAGTTCAGTTAAGTTAATACCTACATAGTACCTTTAAAATTGAATAAAATTTGCAATCCTACGTACAAACCTTTCGTTTTCGCAATGTGCAATGTGCAAAGCAAGAATTGAGCATCAGTATCTCAAAGCCAAAGCCTCTCTTTCACACAAGACACAAACTTTGAACCGTTTGAACCGCTTAACGAATAATATCCAATGCAATGAGCTTCAACAAACTAAAACAGCAATACAAAAAATTATAATAACAATAAATTAAAAACAAAAAAACCAAAAAACAAAAAAACAAAAAATGAAAACGAATGAAAACTATCTAAAGTAAAAGCAATCTGGCTGAGTCAAAGTTGGTCAAATCACCACTAATAACAAATTTTTGTATGGTTCAGTCTCCGTTTACTATTTCCCAACAGAGGACGATGACGAGGATGGGCCGACGTTCAAAGACAAGGCACTCGAAGTGATCCTCAAAGGCATCGATGTGTTTTGTGTGTGGGACTGTTGCTGGGTTTGGTTGAAATTTCAGGAGTGGGTATCGCTCATCGTCTTCGATCCCTTCGTCGAGCTCTTCATCACGCTGTGCATTGTGGTCAACACGATGTTCATGGCGATGGATCACCACGATATGAACAAGGAGATGGAGCGAGTGCTCAAGAGTGGCAACTATGTGAGTACTATCTTGCAGCCCCCATACATCAGACATATGATGATTCCAACATCCATGCCTCTGTTCTTCCAGTTCTTCACGGCCACCTTTGCCATCGAGGCCACCATGAAGCTGATGGCCATGAGCCCCAAGTACTATTTCCAGGAGGGCTGGAACATCTTCGACTTCATCATCGTGGCCCTATCGCTTTTGGAACTGGGACTCGAGGGTGTCCAGGGTCTGTCCGTCTTGCGTTCCTTTCGATTGGTAAGCCTCGCTTCGTGACTGCAACTCTATTAGTCTAGTCCTAAGTTAGTTGTAAGTTGCTACGACTCTAATCTCGAACTTTAGCAGGCAAAGCAATGTCGTGGTATCCGCGCTAATCGAATCGTAATTAACTCATACTCGTGCTCGTATAAAAATCCCTTTTCCTTTCCTTTTGACCCGCCAATTTGCAGCTGCGTGTTTTCAAGCTGGCCAAGTCCTGGCCGACGCTGAATTTGCTCATATCGATTATGGGCCGCACTGTCGGCGCCCTCGGCAATCTGACCTTCGTCCTGTGCATTATTATCTTCATATTCGCGGTCATGGGCATGCAGCTGTTTGGCAAGAACTACACAGGTACTTTAGGAATACCTCCAGAGCCTCCAGAACCTCCAGAACCTCCAGAACCTCCTGATCCCAAACCAGATCCAGCTATCCACACTCCCACATCCAAAATCGATAACCAAAGGACTCGAATTCAAAAAGCAAAGTTCTAGCGTGCAATGATACTATTTTCTTAGTGCAACCTTTCTCCAACTTTTTGCCTCCAACTTTTTCAACTTACATACGTTTTTTGACTCTATATGCTCCTAATCTATACTAATTCTTAGATATAGTCTTGAAAATACACCTACGTAAGACCAAGAATTCGCCAAATCCGAGAACACGTTTAGAGAGCCACGCTTTGGGCACGGTTTTATCTTAAGTTCACCACACTTCAGTTTGATTTTAGCCTATATTTTTATGATTCTGCTTTTGCTGCCAATCAAAAACTACCAAGAAATTTTAGCGGAAAATCATGCCCGGACTATGTCTGCTTTACCATTTTTTCCTAGAGAGATCCTTAACGCATTTTAAGCGAATGTTACGCTATAAGACTCCTTTTATAGGACTGGAAATGAAGTAATCCTAAGTAAGAGCGATATTACGTTTACCTATACATATCTAGCAAGTACTTAAGCATTTATGGGGCTCAAATATCATTGATATCGGTGATATAAATTGATATTTTACTTTAATCTTTAAATTGATTGTATTTTGGATTAATTCTATATAACCTAAATACCACTTTTTTCCACTATATTTTCCTAATGCTTTGCCCGGCTTTCCAAACAAAACCAATCAAATCGAATCAAATCAAATCCTAACTAAATAAACAACATAATCGATTAACCAATCTAATTGAATCAACTTCCCATACACCAATTGCCAATTGAACTGTGAATGATCCCCCAAAAATAAACCAAATCAAATCGAATCAAATCAAATCAAATCGAACCGAATCGAATCGAAATCAATTCGCAAACTGCAGCTGCGTGTATTTAAATTGGCCAAATCTTGGCCAACACTTAATTTACTCATTTCGATTATGGGACGCACCATGGGCGCTTTGGGTAATCTGACATTTGTACTTTGCATTATCATCTTCATCTTTGCGGTGATGGGAATGCAACTGTTCGGAAAGAATTATCATGGTAAGTGCAAGATCGATCGCATCCCCAACTATCATACCAGACTTTATTCGATTTGTGTGTTATGTGTGTTTCTGTTCACTAACTGTACGTATTCGTATTCGTATTCGTTCCCGTTTCCGTTATCGTATTCGTAATCGTAATCGTATTCGTGTTTATGTGTCATGGGAACCATTAATCCCAGTAATCCCCCACCTGTCTGTATGTACTGCTACTGCGTTGTTTGTGCCCACCAAACTGAGGGAATCCAAATAGATTGGAACAAGTAATACCATCCACTTGGGTTCCTTCGAGAGATGTATAAGCAATATCATCGTACCATGCTACCTTATTATTTAATTCACACCCAATGAGTTTTCGTTACTATGCGGCCTGCTTAGCTCATCAGTCCGTGCATCCGTATAATACCAAGCCCCATCCTAAGCAATCAGCATAGTCGATCTCTAGCGACTATAAGAATGGTTTATGATTTACTTGGAGCTTAAGATCTTAAGATCATTGAGTGCCCGTGTCCTCCGTAAGTACGCCTGCCAGCGAAAGTGCGGCAACTATCTTTTCTCCTAGCTAATTTACTCCAAGCTCGTCTATTTGGTTTTTTCCTTCCTAAGCATTATATATTATATATATGCGATCGCAAGCGTAAACTTTATATAGCTACACACTTTTGTAGCTCTAGCCTGAAGAACTCAAAAAAATCAAATGATGTTGATGGAGATGAGGCGTGCGATACTTTTCGGTTTCCTCTTTTTCTTTTTGTGTACGATTTTTCTGGCATCTTACCTTGTACCACACCGTTTTTGTGAGTGCCCGCTGCGCTGAACACTTTTTGCACACGCTTTTGTATGTGGCTTGACACCAAACCAAACCAAACCAAACCAAACCAAACCAAAGCAAATAAAATATAGAACACCCATTGAAACTGTGTCCAAATATCCAAATATCCAAACATAAACTACAGAACACAAGCGAGGCAGTAACCGTTGCTAATCCATCCCAAACCATCACCAGATCACAAGGACCGCTTTCCGGATGGCGACTTGCCGCGCTGGAACTTCACCGACTTCATGCACAGCTTCATGATCGTGTTCCGGGTGCTCTGCGGAGAATGGATCGAGTCCATGTGGGACTGCATGTACGTGGGCGATGTCTCGTGCATTCCCTTCTTCTTGGCCACCGTTGTCATCGGCAATCTTGTGGTGAGTATTCGATAAGGCAGCTGCTCCTAAACGATGCAGCAGCTTGCTTCTACCCAAGGCTTAAAGCAACGCGTTTCAGCCGATAACTAATTGACGTCGTATATTTGCAGGTACTTAACCTTTTCTTAGCCTTGCTTTTGTCCAATTTTGGCTCATCTAGCTTATCAGCGCCGACTGCCGATAACGATACGAATAAAATAGCCGAGGCCTTCAATCGAATTGGCCGATTTAAAAGTTGGGTTAAGCGTAATATTGCTGATTGTTTCAAGTTAATACGTAACAAATTGACAAATCAAATAAGTGATCAACCATCAGGTGAGAGGACCAACCAGATCAGTTGGATTTGGAGCGAAGGTTTTTATCCACTTGTTTTCCAATTACTAAACTACTTTTAATTATATGATACTCGTAATACTCGTATATTGCCAACGATATAATTGCGTATACCGTTAACGTTAACTTCAACTCACTATTGGCCAGTAATTGAATTGCGTAATCGATCTGAAACCAATATCAGTATCTAAATCAATTACAAATACCAAAAATCAAATCAAACCCAATTCGCATTCTGTATACTAATTGTAAAAGGAAAAATCCCCAAACTAAAAATACGTTCTTAGCTGACAATTTGCAAATTCTCTTTTAGTTAGTTTCAAGTATACCTCTCTCCTCCCCACCCTCTAGACCTAGACCTTTAACCTCGACCTCAGCCTCAGCCTCAGCCTCAGACTCAGCCATTTAAACCACTCACCAGAACATGTATCTGTAAAGCCAAAAAGTCTCATCCTGGTATTCATGTCGATCGAGAGATTGCTTCCATTTCTTTGGTTTGTTTGTATCGGTTCCCGTTCGATTTGAACCTAAGTGTTGTTGTTCTTCAGCCGGTCACTGATCCTCCGACCTCTGACCTCTGACCTCAGACCTCAGACCTCCTCTGACCAATGTGAGTCGCGCTGAGGGAACTGTGCCGTGCCGTGCCATTTCCGATCACATCATACCCAACAAACAACTAAAACAAATCGTAACCGTAACCGTAACCGTATCCGTCATAATCTTTAGCATTACTTAGATAGTCTGTATTTAGCTGAACCGAAAGTAACAGTATCAGTATCCAGTATCAGTACCAGTAATCCAAAAACAAAGTATATTGTACTCTTATACGTATTTTCCTTAGATACATATTATTCAAGTTTCTAAACATTTTATAAACTAGTTTGATTCTCGTCGTCAATACTGTTAGCAATTGAATATTTATGACTTTGGTTGAGTTCCTTGAATCTAGCTTAAAATTAGTAAGCCTTGTTTTATCTCACCCTTTTGATTTCGGACCTAGGTTAATGGTTTTGGTTTTGGTTTTGGTTTCACAACAACCACTTCCCCACATCCTTGTACATTTGCATTTTCAATATTCCTCGCTGGCATCGCAAGCGGAGAATAATTGGCCGAGCCGAAACGAAAAAGATTTCAATATTTCGAATAAAAAGCAACTCCCACATGGCAAATTGAATTATGTGTCTAGCTGACATTACCGAAAACGAAACATAAATAAGCGAAAACAGTATTAGACTCGCATTGTAATGTGGAATTATATAAATTGAAAGTAAAACAGTGGATTTGATCCTTCATAGTGTTATGAACTTTTCTTACTCTAGTTTTTCGAATTTTTCTTTGTTCGATTTACTGTCTGTGTATTAGTAATATGTATGGATTTTTCTTTAAACCTTAGCAACTCGAATCATCCGTCACCTTAAGTTACGTCCATTGACTGCCGCTCAGTGGAAACAGTATGTCTCCACTGATGCCAGCTAGTGGAAACAGTTTGGTTATTTACGGCTCACCAGCTTATTCAATTAATTGATCAGTTATTTTCATTAGTTGGCATCTTTGTGGCGGTTACGGTGGAAACGCCCTAACCGCCCACTGTTGCCGAGTAGTGGAAACACCTTAATTTAATTCTCAACAGCGATGCGGCAAGCAGCGCACAAAAAGAACTGCTTGCCCATTGATGCTGGCTAGTGGAAACGCCTTAGTTACGTTTTGCTCACTAGTTTATTGAGTTCATTGATCATTTTGCGATTTGTGTTGTTCGCTGTTGTGTTGTGAGCGTTCCACCTCCTCCGTTCGTTTCCAGACACTAACATCAACCCAACCAAGCACACGACACCTTATACGAAGCAAGATCCATTCAATGTGAGCCACTGACACCCCCACAAACCACTAAAACGAACCGCGAAGACGCTGATTAAGTGTGTGTTTGTGTTCCTTTTCTGTGTCCTTATCGATTTAAAAATTTGATGACAAAATTAAGTATTAATCGTAATATCTATCTTCATTCTTTTTCATTTAAAATGGCTTGTCATGATTTCCCATAAAACATCAAATTCAAAAATTCAAAAAATCAACCCAAATTTGAATCGGCCGACGTAACGAACAACGCTTAAACCAAATCGAATCTCGACTCATCCCAAATCGACTTTAATCAAATTGAAAAATTCAAATCAACCAAAAACGATCGACAAACAACCAACAACAACAACAACAACTTTAATGCGAACGGCAACTGCTTGTATGAATTATGAATTCGTTTCGCTATTTATGATTTCCCAACATCGATAATCGATAACCGATCAACAATCGTCATTGCCCATCCGTACAACTCAATAACAACATATATATCTATATAAAATGCCATACCTCTGTTACGTTACATATGTATATATCGAACCGATTATGTAAACACACTATCTATAAACCTATTACGATCGAATATGGGATACGAAAGGCAAAGGCGTTTGTCGTTGTATATCTGCAGAGCATGGTGACAACGAACTGGAGCTGGGCCACGACGAGATCCTCGCCGACGGCCTGATCAAGAAGGGGATCAAGGAGCAGACCCAACTGGAGGTGGCCATCGGGGATGGCATGGAGTTCACGATACACGGCGACATGAAGAACAACAAGCCGAAGAAATCCAAATATCTAAATAACGCAACGGTAAATACAATCCTTTCGAGCGCGAATCGCAAGTTATCGAATTTGAATTTCAACCTAAACTTGAGCTTGGGAGCACTTTCCTTTCCTTTAATTATTATTTATTTATGTTTGTTTCTGTTGGTGCTCGAGCTCAAGTGCACAATACATTCTCCTATATATGTATGTATTGATTTGTGATTACTAACCAACCCGATTCCCATACACTATTGAGTAATAATATATATAACTACCAGTACTGCCTATACTACTCCTCCCAGAATATTTCATAGAACATTTTTGTAACGACAACAAATTGATTTACATTATTTGTTTTATTTCTTTTTTTCGTTCATTAAATCGACACTTTTTCTTATTACATATAACTGTATTCCACCATCCAATCACTAAAAAAAAAACACAAAAAAATGATTAAAACTCAACCAACCAACCCAACTGAAAACAAAATAACGAAACACATGAACTGAAATCTCGCTAAAACAAAAACAACAAAAAAAAAAAACAAATACCAAAAATATCTATACCGATATATATAAATATATATATGTATAACTATAACTATAACTATACAGATGATTGGCAACTCAATTAACCACCAAGACAATAGACTGGAACACGAGCTAAACCATAGAGGTTTGTCCTTACAGGACGACGACACTGCCAGCATTAACTCATATGGTAGCCATAAGAATCGACCATTCAAGGACGAGAGCCACAAGGGCAGCGCCGAGACGATGGAGGGCGAGGAGAAGCGCGACGCCAGCAAGGAGGATTTAGGTCTCGACGAGGAACTGGACGAGGAGGGCGAATGCGAGGAGGGCCCGCTCGACGGTGATATCATTATTCATGCACACGACGAGGATATACTCGATGAATATCCAGCTGATTGCTGCCCCGATTCGTACTATAAGAAATTTCCGATCTTAGCCGGTGACGATGACTCGCCGTTCTGGCAAGGATGGGGCAATTTACGACTGAAAACTTTTCAATTAATTGAAAATAAATATTTTGAAACAGCTGTTATCACTATGATTTTAATGAGTAGCTTAGCTTTGGTAAGTCAACTACAAAATTAAATTAAATTAAATTTATCGAGAAAAAATAACCTTTAAAGAAATACTATTAATTCAAAAGACTCTAAAGCAGACTCAAGACTCTTGTTTGCCATTTCGATTGTTGCAAATTTGTGTCATTTGCTTTTTTAAAATGCTAAAAACGCAAATCGTAGCTTGCAACAGATCACTAAATTTATCAATTTAATTCAAAAATCAAAGAGCATTCAAAATAAACAAAACAATTGAATATGTAGTTAATCAAGCCATGCTTAAACTTTACCAAAGTTGATTGCTTCATTCAAAACAAAAAATACCCCACCCGACCCAATTTTTTAGTTTGATCCCAAAATTTATCCAGTATAGCATAGTTTTAGCGTAGACCTTTTCCGATTTAATCTGATTTTTCTGTTCAATTACCAAAAACCGATGGCACTTCTTGCTTTGCGACCCAATACAAAGCTGATCAAGATTTTCCATCGGCCGTAACCTCAAATTAAATATTATTCCCCACTATCCAAAAACTGAGAGAAGATACATTCTATGTATTTTGGTAGCTTTAATGGTTTGCCTCCTATGCCTAGGCACATTCCTGTCAAACGGCTTGTGTCTCCGCGTGGGATCGCAAACCTTAGTCCGAGATCTACGAGATTATCTTGTAGATCGGCTAGTGTTAGTTTTAGATGTTCCAGTATACCTAGATATTCGATATAGAACTAGATGTAGACGCTTTGTGCGTATCATTTCAAGAATTTTGTCTTCAATTTCTTTGAAAATTTTTCTTTAATTGCGTTTGACTTTAATTTGTCCGCCCAAGAAGAAGATCAGAACAAAAAAGGCAAAAAAGAAAAAAAAAAACACCAAAAAAGTGGAACACCAAGAAGGAAAAGCCGACTGTTGTACAGCAATACAGCAACGCTTTGAATACCATTTTAATACTCATTAATGTTATATAGCTTCTTATACTGCTTCTAGATAATTGTTAAACTCGTTCTCGTCTATGTTACCTCATACTCACCTAACCACTCTATAACGCCTATGTAAATGTCCATGTGTTTCTTCTATGAATACGCAACACCAACGAATCAACGTACCACCGACTCTTCGAATACTACGAATTCCCTCTTCGAACTGGAACAGGCATTAGAAGATGTACATCTGCCACAAAGACCCATACTGCAGGATATTTTATACTATATGGACAGAATATTTACGGTTATATTCTTCTTGGAAATGTTAATCAAGTGGTTGGCGCTCGGCTTCAAAGTGTACTTCACCAACGCGTGGTGTTGGCTCGATTTCGTGATTGTCATGGTAAGTCCACCGGTTACCCAAGTAGATCGCTCCCCAATCAGCTTTCGGACCTCAATATTTTGTTTGCCGAACGTATCGAAACCGTATAAAACTTAACCAACCAAACCACAAGACCCTGGACCGAAATGAATTGAGTTACTTGAAGACGATTTAAGACTTTTCAGTTAAGCCTTTAGTCTGTATGCCTTATCCCTGCCCCGAAATCGCTGTGTACTGCTTAAGGCAGCAAGACAGAACTCTTGAGAAACCAGCTCATCCCGAGTTTGTATCTAAACTGTATATTGCGAACCGTTGTATGATACATATAAAGCCAAAGAGCAAGTAACTAGTAAACAGTAAACAGTAAAGAGTAACCATAGGCTAGCATAGTTATTCACATTAGCTTAGTACGATAAGTCCCCTCTATACATATATCTACTCGTAATACATCATCCCTATAGAAATAGCTTATCCAACTTTGAGTTTCGTTTTGAGTTACCCGCCAATCTAAATCGCCCATCTAGCTGTCGCTAATTAATTTGGCCGCGGTCTGGTCCGGGGCCGATGATGTGCCCGCCTTTCGCTCGATGCGAACTCTGCGCGCCCTGCGACCTCTGCGGGCAGTTTCGCGCTGGGAGGGCATGAAAGTAAGTAGCGTCCACCACAGCCTCTATCTCTCTCTCTCTCTGTCTCTCTCTGTCTCTCTCTCTCTCTGTCGCTGTCTCTGTGTGTCTCTCTCGCTCTTTCTACTCCTTAAAAGTTCTAATCTAATCTCAGAATAAATTCCTATATATGTTTCTCGCTGTGTAACTTTCCCTCATTCGCATTCACTGTTGTCTCTATGTGTGTGCGAGTGGGTGTGCGTGCGTGCGTGTATGTGTGTGTTCTAAGTATACAACTAATACTATTCAATAGCTATATACATTCGTTAAATGTTGTTGCTTCACTAATAAACTGAGTTCCTTAATTGCGGTCTGTCCTAATGGCGAGCTCTACCATCTTCAATTACATGTCTATCAAAAACTGTTATACTGCAACCGCTACGATCTTCAGCTGGTTGTACACGGTGCAGCGCCGTTTACAACTCCGTTGGGTTTACAAAGCGGTTGGGAGCTTTTAGGGACCCACATTGATCGCAACTTCGTTGGCAAAGCGCTTAAATCCCGGCCTCCTAAATTGTTATACACACACAGAGTACATGTTCGAGCAATGTTATTAATCACAGACAATTCTCAATTTTGTGTTCTGAGCATACATACATATATCGATAATTAAGCCATCTATGTGCGTGTGTATCTATGGGTGTACGTGGATTTCTTTCGCTCAATATGTGTGTGTTATACGCTACTATCCGTCCAAGCCGAATCGCTCACATTGCGCCCAGGGCAGCGCCATGCTAAGTGTTATACCGGCCTGTTCTGTACATTTTCTGCTGCCTGTTAATGTTGATGTATTTACTCCTACATATGTTTGTCCCTACCTACCCAATATATATATATATTTATACCATTGTCCCTATATACCCATATTGTTGCGTAAATGTAAAGTTAAAGTAAAATATACAAGCCAATTCAGCTCAACTGCAATATCGTCAAGAAGCTTTGTAGGCATTGTATTCCATTGCTGCCGTCAGCTTCAGCTTAGCTGCCTACATTGTATAACAGTAGTGTAATCATACGGTTATAGCTTAATCAAGTAATCTAGGACCATTGATACATACATAGGTCAGTCATAGCTTTTAAACTGTACTATATTTAATATTTCTAAGTATTTATTGAAATTAGAGATAGGAACAATACAAGCAACACGATTGGTCAGCTGAAGTAATTGTTAAACGAGTACATCTCTGTAACTTGTGTAACTTGTGTATAAGTAGTTTGGTTCAATAACTAGCCATAGCCTAGCCATTGGTAGCGATACCTCCCCCAGAACCTCAAAGCCCCTTGTACACTCCCAGTTGCCAAGTCCGAACCCCTAGATCGTTGATTTGGTTGTCATAGACAGTTAGTTCTAGTTAATCCCATCTCCAAAGCCACGTCCTCATGAACACAACGAATTTGAACCGGAACTGGACCCCTTCCCTCGCCACGGCCTCCAACTTAGCGGCACAGAACTATATCCATCTGTATAGGTGAATGTACATACCAAATGTATATCCCCATAATTGTTGCAAGCGAACTAAACAAAGGGCCACAACTGCACTGAATTGTACAAACAAGAAGTAAAACAAACAAATGTATCCAAATATCCGAAAACTTCACGACGCTCAGTCGTTAGTGTATAGATATCGAAATCGTTTACTCGTATATGTATATATACTGTATATTCAACCACAATCAGTTCAGTACAATCAGAACAACCAGATGTCGAGTATTCGATAAATCGCTCATACGCAGTGGTGGCAGTGTTTTACTTACAACAAACGACGCTCCAGTCGCGTCCCGTCTCACACCAACTGATATCGCTTGGTCTGGGCTAACTTAACTGAGCTCTTTTCCATCTGGGGCTTAACTCCCCCCATGACTAACTTTAGTCCAGTGCGAACTGGGATCCACAATACCCAATCGAGTCCGGCAGCAAAGTTTGAGCAAAAATGTGTCAACATAGAGACAGATCAAGACAGAAAAGCCAAAAGCCTAAAGCCATTTTTCAATGAGAACCTAGTGATGAGGTCGCACGACTGCACAATGGACTCATTGAGGTCCCTGCATACGCCGCGACCAACACCAAATTCGTCATAAGGTAAAGTCTGTATATATTAGAATAATCTATCATGGAACATCCATTCTCGATCTCTCGTCTATCGTTTCGTTTCGTTTCGTTTCCTCCATGGCGTATGCATGCCGAATGGGTCCATTGTGGAGTGTGGTGCGGCTGGTGGTGCAAACAAACGTTGTAGGAAATAATCGATTTAGACCGAGCTAGCTTAGATCCCAAAGTCATAACACTTTCTGTATCTCTCTGGATGTGCCGTCCCCCCCAAAGACCCTTTGATATTGAGAAAGGACCTCCCCGAATTCAGTAATCCGTAATCCGTACTCGTACTCGTACTCGTATCGAACAACACACACACAATCAGCTCTCGTCTCTCTATGTATCTCTCACCCAGAGCAGTTATCGTTGTACCTACTACTATACCCTTGGATTGAACCGAAACTACTTCCAATACACATCGAACCAATCCGAAAACCAATCGTAAACGAATCGAACCCACAGTAATCTACATATACGTACTTTATATGCATATGTGTTAACCTGTTTTGTGTGTATGTGTCTACGTCTATAAGTGTTACCATCTATGTATTTGCCAGAATATATACATATAATCGTACAAACTATATAATGTATCAACTATCGTACTACACTAGGCTATTGTTTAAGAACATATTTTGTCTAATACAGAAGAGTGCATTGGTAATATGCAAGTAAGTTCTCCGAACCCATAGGGCCCCTGCCACGCCCCGTCCCGCCCCTTTTTGCCTTTGACCCCTTTTGTCGAGCAGCAGCTGCAGCAATAAACAAAACAACAGCGGCGCGGATTAATCTCTTTAAAGCTTATTTTCGTTAGACAGACAGAAACAAAAACTTGAAACCCAAAACTTAAAACCCAAAAACCTGATACCAAACCGAACAAAGTACCGAAAAAAGAAAGATCGATCACTTTTGCTTTATTTACAAAGAATCTCTAAGTATGCAAATAAATATGTTAAACTTGGCACTATTCGAACTATATCGAAACTAGGTATCGCTTATCAACTTCGTTGCTTCACTTGTTGGAGCTGGTGGTATTCAAGCCTTCAAGACTATGCGAACGTTAAGAGCACTGAGACCACTACGTGCCATGTCCCGTATGCAGGGCATGAGGGTACGTACTTTCCATACATACTCGTAACAACCCAATACCAAACCAATATCAATACCAAAATCAAATCAGATCAAATCGAAACTAATTACCACAACCAACTTATACTTACCAACAAACAAACAAACAAACAACTTCATCAATCAGTATCAGTATCAGTATCAGTATCTGCATATCGTATTTCAATCCAGCAAATAGCGCCAAATCTCATCATAACTAATACTGGCGATTCCTTTACGCCGTCTTAACCTCTCTACTCGAACTCGTTAACACCAGCCATTCATTCCAAACTAACAGCAACCGATCAGAATTGTGTAGCTAGAGAAATTGAAACGTACATAGCTTTACAGTTACCCATTTGGATTGATGGGCTCATAACCATGATAATCTGCACCAGTGCGGCAGTTGAATTCATTTGTTGCATCCGTAATTTGTAAACCTTATGAAATTATCAACATAAATCGTAATTGATTGACTGATTAGATGCTATTTACCCAACAACTTACTCAAATCTCTCTCTCTCATCGATCAGCCGAACACAAAAACCACACTCCAAGTACTAGAGTTAATCTTAGCTATCGTTAATCGTTATTCTTATATACTTACTTATGCATACCGTTATAAATAATTAGACAACTGTTTTGCCTTGCCTTCTCTCACACACAAGTTGCGTCTTGCTCGATCTCTTTTTCGCTCTCGCTAGCTCGCTCTGTCTATCTCTCTCTCTCTCTCTGTCTCTATTTTTTTTGTCCTACTATCCACATCCTTAATTGATTGTCCACTCGACTCACACTTAGAATATAATTGGCTCATCAGAGTAAAGAAATTCGCTTAACTAGCTTCAATCGACGACAATTGGTCGAGTCTTATGCTTGCCAAATGCTGTAGAACCGATCGAACTAATAACTAGTATTATCATCGTCTTATGTACCAACCACACCACTTTTGATTCTACTCGTACTTAAACCATCTCATCTAGTCACGTACTTAGTCTCTAGTTTAAGTTAACTCTTAGCTAATTAAAAACTTCAATTTGGACATGTGCTTGCTTGTTCGCCAATGAAACGTTATGCTGTTGCCCGTTGTGCTTAACTGTTATATATTTAGTGTTGTAAAGTAAAAGGCTGCCTTGGCTTGGCTCAGAGTTGGGAAACGCACGCCGCATGCAAGTAGTGTTAGTCAACACACCGCGAGAATCTCCATTGCACTCACACAGTCGCACGCTTTCATCTCATACACAACAAAAAAAAAAAAACAATAATTCAACTATACAGCAATACACTCATTCACAAACAACCATGTACACGCAATAACACACATCTGTACATCAACATCATTATTTTTAAGTCTGATACTAACTTAACCTAGTGTATACTGATATTTATATCTATATATTCCCAACTGACTAAATAACTCTCTGCATTTATTGTATTATATTCTATCCCCTCTCCCCGCCCTCGCCTCGCCTTGCCTCGCATCACCCATACACCCATGTACCCCAACTACTACAACAACCAATAAAACAACCAACCAAACAACCAATCCATCGATAACTCAACTCCCAATCATCATCGACCTTGCCAACGACGACCCAATCGGTTAACGATGGAATGATTGATCAATCAATCCACGAAATCTACAAATCAAAAAACCAAACCAAATTCAGGTCGTCGTTAATGCGCTGGTACAAGCTATACCGTCCATCTTCAATGTGCTATTGGTGTGTCTAATATTTTGGCTAATTTTTGCCATAATGGGTGTACAGCTTTTTGCTGGAAAATATTTTAAGGTACGTGCCAAATGTTTCAAACTAAAACCTGAACCAAAACCAGAAACCAAGCCAAAACCAAAAACTGAAACCGAAACATAATCAAACAGGCCAAGATTTGAAGGTAAAATGAATACAAGTTGCATACTTGTGTTCATTTTGCCTGCAAATGGCTCGAATTCAATAAGAGAAAACAATTCCAAGCAGCATTCCATAATTAGCAATGATCAATTCAATCGAAATATTGAAAGAAATGCGTATCTTTGCATCTATTTTTCGTAAATAGTTGAGTTTAAAGTAAAGTTCAGAAATAACGAGCGAAGGGTTTGTCCAAAGAAAGCAGAGACAAGCCCTAGCAGAATGTACATAAAATCAGATCAGAATTCATTCAAATGCAAGTCCTGAGCGATAACCAGAATCGGAATAAAAATCAAATTCGGAATCAGATGCAGAATCCGATTCAGCTTGGGCATGCTTATCGAACGTTATATAACTATACGAGTATGCGACCTTGCGAAAGTTGCTGCACTAAAACCGTTTCTTAGAACACTCCTTAGTATTAGTCTTAGTCTGTACTTTGCCTTTCGCACAAAAAATTTAAAAAGAGCAGATCGTTTTAAGAATGATCAAATATAAACCTATTCAAATCAATTAAATTCAAGCTGAGCTTTTCAAATATCGTATAGTCAAGAGGCCAAGCTAATTAGCTGCTCAAACACTTACACACACTTCCAGAGCCACTGACACTATTACAAACTTAGTTAGCATCTATGTATAGCTGTTTCCTTATGTAATCTGCCCCGTCCATATAACTATTACTCTCTATATATTTTATATATATCTATATCTGAATGTGAAATCCCGCATAACTGAAATACATTTTTCCGAAATCAACTCGATAAACAAAACCAAACCCATCGACGCCAACCATTGATGAACGCCGAACCGATAACCACGATCGATAACCGACAGTGCGAGGACATGAACGGCACGAAGCTCAGCCACGAGATCATACCAAACCGCAATGCCTGCGAGAGCGAGAACTACACGTGGGTGAATTCAGCAATGAATTTCGATCATGTAGGTAACGCGTATCTGTGCCTTTTCCAAGTGGCCACCTTCAAAGGCTGGATACAAATCATGAACGATGCTATCGATTCACGAGAGGTAATGTACCACCGTTTCAATCCATATCTCACCACCGACACCCACAACCACATCAGACTGCATTTATGTTTGCCAATGCGCTTTGCCAACCACTAAAACCAATTAACCGTTAAGTCAATAATTGAACACGCAAAATAGAGCAGAAAGCCGCTATGTCAAAGCTACATATGTTGCAAACGAATAGCTAGTTTATCCATACATACTTGTAAATGTATAGAAATGTCTATAATATATACCTAAGTCCAGTCTATGATACTTTTTATTAATCAACCAATTTTATCTATAACTTTTTCTCTTTTTTATATATGATCGACAAATCTACAACTACAACAACACTCGACACTATACCAACATCTACAAACAACAACAAATATGGTCACACCACTCCAAAACAAAACTCTGGCCACACCCACTCCACAACAACCACACGAGTAACACTAAAAATGATCCATTCACCAAACGAAAAAAAAAATGAAATGAAAACCGAAACTGAAACTCTAAAACCAACGATGCCATTCAACTAAATTACCCCGCAAAACACAAAATTCTACAACGATTCCTGCTGCTATCGATTGACTTCGAACTGGCCAAATGATCGATAACAGGTGGACAAGCAACCAATTCGTGAAACGAACATCTACATGTATTTATATTTCGTATTCTTCATCATATTTGGATCATTTTTCACACTCAATCTGTTCATTGGTGTTATCATTGATAATTTTAATGAGCAAAAGAAAAAAGCAGGTGGATCATTAGAAATGTTCATGACAGAAGATCAGAAAAAGTACTATAATGCTATGAAAAAGATGGGCTCTAAAAAACCATTAAAAGCCATTCCAAGACCAAGGGTAAGACAACAACAAATACAACAAAATAATAATAACAAATTACAATAAATTAAAAAGCCGAAAACCTATAATCAATAAATAAGCTGAAACAAAAATCAAAGTACAAATTTAACTGGATATAACACAATAAGAATGAGAAGAAACCTTTAATACATTAAGATGAAGTCAAAAATCTCTTGGCAGGGGTCATCAAAGTGTGCATTTCAAGAAGTGCCAATTTATTCAAGCAAAATACTTGCCAAGCTCTCAAACTTTCCGCTTTCAGCGTATTTCAAGTCACTTGATGCCCCACAAGCGAAATCAAACTCAAAACCTATATAAAACTAACTATGAATCAATAAGTAATATAACTTACCAAATAAAAATCAGAACAATAAGAGAAACAAGCTTTTGATCGCGTAATCTGTGCCAATCGTATCTGTATTGTATATATAACATTTTGTATATATGATAAACTTTTTTCTATGTTAACTTGTATTAAAGAAATGCCGAACTGCGCTACTGAATCAGACTGTTATACGAGACTGGTAAACTTGAATGGAAATCTATAAATTTCGAGATTAATTTATGGCCCTTGGGCCGTCTGCATTCATTCAATTTCGATTTCAATTCGATGAAATACCAAATACGAGAGACCAACTGTAATACGGACTGGAACGTCGACCAAAAACCCTTGCAATCCGTTGAGTATATTTATGTACTAAACACATATTTACTTACGCGCGTATGTACGTATGTGAAAGGCCCTGTTCTCTAGCAATATTTTGTCAAGTTAATTGACGGATCTTTGAAACAAGAAAAACAACAAGAGAAACATTACGAAAACGAAAAGAACAAGAAGATGAAGGCAGCGCACCAAGTCGAGTCTCTGGAATGGCTGCCGTGGTGCTAGAGAGAGACAACGCCACTGTTGCCATTGAGCGACTCCTGCGTGCGACTGCGAGTGCGAATGCGACGACGATATGGTCGCAACATACCGTTTTCTTTTCTACTCTAATACTTAATTTCCACTAGCTGTATTTAAGTATTGTGTCCGTTTGGTTCGTCTGTACTTAAACATTTTTATGTCTGCCATTTATCAGCTGGACGTTCGTTCTATCAAATTTAAAATTCCAAAAGCAAAGCAAAACTAAAATCTATCTATATATGTATATACCTACCTATCTATGATACCCCACTCGCAACACTCCTAACTTAGATATGGCAACCAATGCATGTTTCTTTACTACTTTCGTACAACTACTACTTACTACTCCTAATCTGGATGTGTACATAGCATACATCTTGGCACGTCTCTCTTTTACCTCTACTCTACTGTACTCTGGGCATGTTTAGTGATAGTCACAGAACGATAACAAATAACCGATAACTGAAAACTAAATCAAAAACTAAATTGATAGTTATATCAAAATCGAAGAACAAACAATTAGAAGGGCGAGGCAACGGCTAGAGTCTAGCATGCTGACGGAGAAAAGAGACGGACTGACTGACTGCACGTTTCTGCCATCTCTCTCTAATCATAGCTCAATAAATGTATCCGTCTCTGTCTCGCGTAGTGCGCTCTAGCCATAGCATAACCGTTAACTTATAACTTATAACCGATGCATTGAATGAATGTTACTAGCACACTGAGTCACTGTTTAACAATGTTACCTTACCCAACTGTTCTACTGTTATACGCCTACTCTGTACGTCTGCAGGTGCGGTCTACGATCCACAGAAGATCACATCATGGAAAAAAGTTTGCAATTGGCACAGATCTACAATCGTTATGTAATACTGAAAACAACCAACATATAACCGCCATAACCCAATAACATATATAAAGCGATCAACTGAGCTGAAAACTTTTATACTATATACATATAACTAATAAGCAAATACGACGTATTTAAACAAATGTACTGATACAAAACTCTTCTATTCCTTTTCTCTCTTCTCTCCAATGTGTTATGTCGGTGTCCAACGATTGATTATCTTCTTTGTTCTTACCTTTCCTTATCATTTCCCTTTTGATTTCCGTGTTGATCTTTGGTTGACTTCTTTTACCATTCCAGTGGCGACCACAAGCAATAGTCTTTGAAATAGTAACCGATAAGAAATTCGATATAATCATTATGTTATTCATTGGTCTGAACATGTTCACCATGACCCTCGATCGTTACGATGCGTCGGAAACGTATAACGCGGTCCTAGACTATCTCAATGCGATATTCGTAGTTATTTTCAGTTCCGAATGTCTATTAAAAATATTCGCTTTACGATATCACTATTTTATTGAGCCATGGAATTTATTTGATGTAGTAGTTGTCATTTTATCCATCTTAGGTAAGTAAAACCGAAAATCAATTTCCAAATTAACCCAACCAACCACCACCCAACCGCCAAACCAAATAGCCAAAGTATGCAAATCGACCCAAGCTCTAAAAACCTTAAGAAAAACACTTTTTGAATTCAGGATCAGTTCTGTGGTCCTTGAGTCGTAAACTCACTAACCCCCTCTATCTATATGCATTTATTTGATGTAAAATCCTGTCTGTCTTTGCTACAGTACGCTCCTCTCTCTTTACATATTGTACTTTCTAATAATTGTTGCTAATTTGTTGTCGTATAGATAATGCGTATTTCCATTGTTCGATGTTGATTCGTATTTAACTTCCCCATTCCCAGCAAAAGAAAAAAGCAATGTAATAATCCCTCCAAACCGATTTGTTGTGTACAAAAAATTGTTGTATCTCGAGTGTTCATATTGAGATGTGATTTTAACTGTTATACTAATATTTATGACGGTATCAAATTCACTTTATGAGCAGCTCCATGTTGTTGTGCTTAACGTATTCCAAATAATGTTTTCGTTTTTGCTTTCGACGCACTTGCCATTTGCATAATTAGCTGGAGAAGAAATAATGCTTTTTAAAAAGGCTTATAAATTTAATTTAACAAGTAAACTTCTGAGCTATTTTACCCTCAAGACTGTTATACAAATTCTTTGCTATAAACGCCGAATACTGCTAAACAATCTATAATTTTTCGAATCAATTATATAATGGTGTGTAACCGTTTAAACTTAACAGTTTACTTTGAGCTGTCTTTTATCCCAATAGCATAATGTAAAAAAATTTAAAAACTGTTATACATAGTTACAAGAATTTTGCAATATCTTTGTTTGGCTTTACCGCTTAAAAGTTTTACAGAATCTCAGCTAATATGGCAAATGCGTAATCAATCAATTTATGTGATATAACTTTAATTGTTGTTGTTGTTATTGCCAAATTTGTATGTATAAACTAAGTAAATTAATGTTGAATTTTTATTTAAGCCTAAGTTTAAAAGTAAACGTAATATTGGTGTTATTTTGATTGTATTTCCAAGTACTTGTTGTTGTTTGTAGCTGGCGTTAAATTCTAAATATTTCTATTTGATCATAAACTTTATATATTTTTTCGTTGTCAATCTAAAAATACTACGAATTGGCAGATTTCACCTGAAGTTTGTCGAATAAATATTTATATTTTGTCAAGCTTTAAGGGATCGGTTACCCGTTCCCGAATATGTATTTTATTAATATTTTATTTCCATTTTAATTAAACATCAAACTACAATTAATAGCCCAAAATGTTGCGTATACGTAAGCACAAAAAAGAACGAACAAATGGAAGAGCTAAGGCTAAAGATTTCCCACTGAATGCGGGTCATATATTATTCTGAAAATCAAATAGGAATTGGCTTTTGGATAAAATAAGAAACGAGCACGATAAACTATACAAAAGATGGCTTAAAATATGCTTTACTACATTGACCAATGCAACAGGGAGCTTCCTTTTTAGTGCCCGAGTGCGTTGAAAAGGATGCTTTCGAACGATCTGTTGCTGTCGAAGGTGTTACCCCGATTCGAAATGCGCCCAAAAAAATATTTTGTCTAGCGAAAGTCCTGAAACTTCCCCGCCAAAACCAGGAACCCAAAACCCAGAACCCCGAACCTCTATCCAACTCCAAGCCAGAACCGAACCAAAACCAAAACCAGAAACCAGTAACCAAGTTATCCCCCAATGAAAAAATCGGAACCTAAACAAACCGATCGTATTGTGTTTTACTCCCTACATCTACAAGCTTTTCGTTTCACTTTAGAAATACGTATAGTTTGTGCGAGGGAGGCTTCAAGTAAACCCTTACTTTTTAAGAGCTGCCAAACTTAAATGTTGCTTCCGCTTCCTTTATCTCATATGTTTCTATATCTGTATATGTTTACTACTCGCAAGAGATTCACGCGCCCCAACTTGTTCTCAAGCGCACTTTCCAAGAACCAAATAAGCAAAAACAAAAAACAAAAACGATACTATAATGCTTACAACTTTTTCGAACGCTCTAAAGTATGCTTCATTATTTGGCTTCGATGTTGCGACAGACGCAAAGTGATATCCTTATAGACGAATATATTAATACACGCTTAAGGCAAACGAAAACAATCCACAAAACAAAAAAAAAGAATAAAAAAACAGAAAACGACGTACGAGCTTTTGTAAATGCAAATTCTTTAAATAACAAAATAACATGAATAACAATAAAAAAAATCAATAAAGAAAAGCAATTGCTAACACACTTTTACACACACACACACACACCTACACAACTACTTGAACACGTTTAATGGCTTGCACAAAAAGAACGCATAAAAAATATAAAAAAGAAACGAAATGAAAGTGAATATCAAGATAAACTCAATCCAATCACACAAGATTCATTCAGAGTTAGGTGTCAATGGGCATTCCACAAGCATTCCACTCTGTGCGATTGTCGGTTGCATAACTCTGTTAGCTACTGCATATGGTATCCATGCCGCATTCCCACTGGGGATCCACATTCTTTTCAAGCGGATTCAATCCCCAGCAATCCAGGAGCCACTGGCTCCAAAGGGCGGGGCCCCAGCCAGGACAACGGCCATGCGGACTGTCTTAGCGCGCAGCTCCTGCAAGGCCGTTGAACTGGATCGGACCGGACCCAACGGCAATCCAACCCAGCCCGAATCGAGCCCCCACAAAGAACCCGCATTCCGAGCCCCGTTGAATTAGTTTGTAGCCGCCCATGCCGGAGGGTTCCGCCCACAATTTGGCCCACGATCTCGGCAATTTTCGATTGAAAATCAAAAGAAAAAAAAAAGTTTTCAAAATGAGAAAGCAAACCAAATGGATGGATAACCGTAGCAATAGCCTGAATCTTCTTAATGGTTTTGGTCCAATCTACGATGGAGATTATGTACTTTACTATGAACGTAGTAAAAAGCATATAACTTTGTATAATCTATAGATGAGTACCCCTCCACATGGTTCCCAAGCCATTCCATAGTGCGGGACTTGACAAACAACCGCCCCTCCCCTCCTCCACCTTATATATTATGCCCCCAAATCCAATACCCTGTTCTTACTTTCTACAAGTCTTTCGTTCCTAGCTATTAGAAGCTTTTCCCTACTTACTACTCCTACTTTTTTTGTAATCCTTTTTCGAGATCGCTGTAATTTCGCTCTCAGCTCAAAAATCAAAATTCTGAAAAGTCCTGCAAATAGTTCGTTCGACCACCGCCCCGCCTCCTTCCAAATGCCCTTTTTGCCATTGCTAGCGCCATCAAACGGAGATGAACAAAATTCGAACCAATGAACATTTTGATCAACCGGGCAGCGAACGAACTTTGCAGTGTATAGTATTTGGCACATATAAAATATGCTGCGGATTATCGCTAAAGACGTAAAAACGTAACCACGCATTCAAAACCAAACAAAATAAGAAAAGAAACGTAATTCATTTTGTAATATCGATAACGGTGTACTGGGAGTCGTATTCCGGGCTCCAAGATTTTGTTTTGATGCTAATTTCGCTGTCGCTGCTTAAACCAACGCCAAAGATCGCCTGCTCCTGCTCCTGCGCCCGCTGCTCGCTAACAGCCGAAGGATATCGACTACCAAGCAATGCTGCTTAACCGTTTACTGTTAACCGTTTGCTGTTAAGCGTTCAGCGTTCACCGTTTACTCTAACCGTAACTCCTTTTGTTTGAATCTTTTATTGTTTTGTTCTTTAATCGTTTTTCTCTCTACGTTTTGATTTTTGCGCAGCAATCTCTCTAATTTGTTCTAGGCCAGCTGTAAAGTCGTTAACATACTTTGTGTTCACTGTACCTGTACTGCTAATCCGTATACGTAACAAGTAACTGTAACTTGACTGTATATGTACATGTCTATGTTGTTTATGTAATTATAATCTAATTGTAATATATTCGCTCCAAGGCGATTGAAGTTGCTCTTCAATTGTTCGGTTACCCTGTTATTATTTCGGCCAGTTTATGTTTTGTAATAACTGTACCTGTTCCTTTCACCCCAACTGTACATATACGATTTTTGCGTTCCCTTATGTATTCCAAGCCCAACTGAGTGTGTGCGTATATGTCGTGTCTGTAAATGTTGACTGACCTTGGAGAAAATGAAGGAGCGTAGCGTGCCGACAACCTAATGCCTTTCATATTTCAGCTATGTCAAGTGTTTATGTCTCGAGCTCCAGGAGCTTAAGTCGCCAGCAAAAGAAACAAGAAACCCAATCCGCATTATCCACCCAAGATCCCCCAAGATCCCCAAGATCCCCATCCACGATCCCCACTCTGACTCTGTGATCATTACTCAACTGATTTCTCTTCACAAACTCAATCCCCATTCCGCTGCCAAATGTTCGCCGCAGGTCTCGTACTTAGCGATATTATCGAGAAATACTTCGTGTCGCCGACCCTGCTCCGAGTGGTGCGTGTGGCGAAAGTGGGCCGTGTCCTGCGACTGGTGAAGGGAGCCAAGGGCATTCGGACACTGCTCTTCGCGTTGGCCATGTCGCTGCCGGCCCTGTTCAACATCTGCCTGCTGCTGTTTCTGGTCATGTTTATCTTCGCCATATTCGGCATGTCGTTCTTCATGCACGTGAAGGAGAAGAGCGGCATCAACGACGTCTACAACTTCAAGACCTTTGGCCAGAGCATGATCCTGCTCTTTCAGGTAAGAGGCCCAGCCACAATTCCGTTGACGGTTTATGTTGTCTATTGTTGTTGTCGTTGGGTGATGTTGCCACAACCCACTGCTGAAATCGAAAACTACTAAAACGATAACTACAACGATAAGCGAATAGCAAAACCCATTCCACTCTGACCATCGATCGGCGGCGCTCTATCGCTGGAGTTTGGGCGTCGATCGATGGCCGGAAACGGAAGTGGGGCCGCCATTTGTGGCGGCCATTATGCGTTCAGTCTAGTGGCAACATCACAATGTTGATTGAAGCTGCGGTAGTTGTTGGTAAAAGCTAAATTAGTGCGATTTTTTGATTAACCTACGATTTTATTTATCAATTTGTTTAAATCCTCTGTCTATCTGTCTGCCTATCGGTTAACCATTTACTTTTTTACGTTCTCTGTACAAAGTACGCCAACGATCTAAACGATTCACCTGTTTAACATTTTACTTTGCACCATGACACTACATAAGGGCCAAAAGTGATTTGGTCCCACGCTGGAGTCATGTAAAACGGCTTTCAATTATCGTTTTGCGCTTCTTTTTCTTTCAATCGATTTGTTCATAACGTATACGCTTCTCTGTATATGCATAATTTTAGTAAATTGTACAAAAAACAAATCTAATTCAGCTCTTTCAACAAACACCAAATGAAATGTTAAGTTTCCTCAAGACACCCCCGTCCTGTCCAGAAAACAACAATACCACCCCCCAAAGTCTCGCCACCTATATACATATGTAGCTACTTATATGTATGCAAAGTAAAACTAAAGGCAAACCGAAAGAACAGATTCGATCTTTAGATCCAGGGTACACAGCCCCACACCTATCTCTATATATCTTTATCCCTCGCTCTCTATATCTATCTCTTTTTAACTATCTTACTATTGCAACTGCTTTAAGTATCCAACTCCCTCAATCTAACCCCATTGGGTGTCTACCGACTCCCCGAGCTGCTAAAAATGCTTGCCACGCTTACCGCTTTGAATCCCCTAGTTTTGGGGTTAGAGTCCCCCGCAACTCTTCCAGCCTTCCAGCCAAGCCCCTGATCGCCCCTTCGACTGGGCCGAGGGGATTTCATATGGCCTATTAGCTTGCCTCATTTTCGGGGCTGGATCAAAGCAAAGCAGCCAATTATCCGTTTAGTAACCGCAAATCGATTACACACTCAATGTATAACTACTAACATTAGCCGTAACTGTACTAACCACCTACCGTATGCCATAACTAGTTTGCTTAGCCCAGTGATCCCGGTGCCGAACGTTTGACTAATAATGACTCTTCTTGTTATTGTATCTTCTGTCTTAAACTTCTCTCTCTCTCTCCCACCGCCCACATACGAACACTCCGAAAAAAAACACACCACGAACGAACGACCTGACATGCATCGATAAATATCGATCTATAAATATCGATGCATCGAACCATGCCCAACCGATCGCACAACTGCCAATCCTAACCACTGAATTTGCATTCGATTGCGAATCGGTAACGCTCGCATTGCGACTCAAAAACTATGATCCCATCCACCTGATCCGAAATTGAAACTCTTGATTCAACTATCAATGATCTTGAATCGCACTGTCACAAATGGTTGATCCCAAATCAAAACCCATTCGATAATACCAAATACCAAATCCCCTTCCCCCTTCCCACTTCCGTATCCCAATCCATATCCTATTACAACTGGCAGATGTCGACGTCAGCCGGTTGGGATGGTGTACTGGACGCCATTATCAATGAGGAAGCATGCGATCCACCCGACAACGACAAAGGCTATCCGGGCAATTGTGGTTCAGCGACCGTTGGAATAACGTTTCTCCTCTCATACCTAGTTATAAGCTTTTTGATAGTTATTAATATGTACATTGCTGTCATTCTCGAGAACTATAGTCAGGCCACCGAGGACGTGCAAGAGGGTCTGACCGACGACGACTACGACATGTACTATGAGATCTGGCAGCAGTTCGATCCGGAGGGCACCCAGTACATACGCTATGATCAGCTGTCAGAATTCCTGGACGTACTGGAGCCCCCGCTGCAGATCCATAAACCGAACAAGTACAAGATCATATCGATGGACATACCCATCTGTCGCGGCGACCTCATGTACTGCGTCGACATCCTCGACGCCCTCACGAAAGACTTCTTTGCGCGGAAGGGCAATCCGATAGAGGAGACGGGTGAGATCGGTGAGATAGCGGCCCGCCCGGATACGGAGGGCTACGAGCCCGTCTCATCAACGCTGTGGCGTCAGCGTGAGGAGTACTGTGCCCGGCTGATCCAGCACGCCTGGCGAAAGCACAAGGCGCGCGGCGAGGGAGGTGGCTCCTTCGAGCCGGATACGGATCAGGGCGATGGCGGTGATCCGGATGCCGGCGACCCGGCGCCCGATGAACAAACGGACGGCGATGCGCCCGCTGGAGGAGATGGTAGTGTTAACGGTACTGCAGAAGGAGCTGCCGATGCCGACGAGAGTAATGTAAATAGTCCGGGTGAGGATGCAGCGGCAGCATCAGCAGCAGCAGCAGCGGCGGCGGCGGGTACAACGACGGCGGGAAGTCCCGGAGCGGGTAGCACCGGACGACAGACCGCCGTTCTCGTAGAGAGCGACGGGTTCGTGACGAAGAACGGCCACAAGGTGGTCATCCACTCGCGATCGCCGAGCATCACGTCGCGCACGGCGGATGTCTGAGCCAGGCCTCGCCCCCCCCTCCAAGATGCACGCGAGTATTAGCATGAGTACGTGTTGGATGTTGCACGTTGCATCAGCGATGCAGCAGCGGTGCAGCAGCGACAACAGCGAGCTAACAACAACAGCAACAAGGCGAACAACAAGCATAATTTTCTGCTATATAATGAAAGAACACCATACAAACAAATACAACAACAATAACAATAACAGAAACAACAAACAAACAAACAACATCAAGAGAACAAATAACAACAAACAACAACAACAAACCCGATGATATAACGAAGAAGATGAACAACAACAACAAGAACACCAGTGTAACGTCTTTGATTTGAAACATACATACATATGTATTTGTATACCCGCATTATTCAGTTAACGAGTCAGCAACCAACAACAATCATACTTAAGCTAAACCGAAATGTCTAATTAATTTGTAAGCAGCTCGTAGTCCAATCCATATAGGTGATTTTCCAAACAACTATTTGCCTAAGCAGGTGGATGAAGAAAAAGATGAAGAATCCCATGAACACACACTCACACAGAAACACACCACACCACACACACACACACACTCCAACTCACACATCAACAGGACCATAAACAATTATAATACCCATAAAGAAAAACCAACACTGATGACAAAATTGAAGAACGACGAACAAGCTCTAAAAATTGTATTTGCCAGTAGTGAGAGAACAAAAAACACGCTTTATTTAATTACCTACTTGCGAAACCTAAAAGCAAATACCAAATAACAAAAGAGGAGAATGGCGAGCAAATGACGTTAAAGGTAAGGAAGCAGAAGCAAATCCACAAATAAAAACCAATTCCCAAAAGCAACATTCTATAATAAACAAGATGAATCCTTTTAACTTATTCTAAATGAGATGAGAACAACACCAATTTGCATAGTTTGTATTGTATGTACATTTATCCAGCTAAATAATGAAAAGCCAAATGGTTAAAATCAAAAGCGGACCCAAAACTAGAAACTAAAGCGACACCAATATAAAAACAAATACCGCCTGAACTGCCATTGAAAGCAATACGAACCAAAAACTAAATAAACAAACAAGATAGGCAACCAATAGCGAAAGCTGCTAGATGTCAAAGTATAATTACACAACATCCATACACCCAGTCGCACACACACAGAAGGAGGGGAAAAGGTCACCAGGAGAGCATAGGCATACAGAGTTATTTTACATTCAGATACGATCGAACTAGATATTCGGGCATTCCCTTTGCAGTTTCGATTCGGGCGACGACATCCCATCCCATTGGGTCAGCAAGAAAGTTAAAAGCAAACATTTTAACCATAGCGATCGCATATTTGAGGTTATGTCTCATTTTGAGGCTATGTCCTCGCAATGAGGTTATGTTCTCACTTTGAGGTTATGTCCTCAACTGCATACACCCCCCCCCCCCCCCCCCACACACACACACACAAACACAAAACACCGACGCAAAGCGACAACAGTACCGAACAAAAACCTTGGAGTTGGGGCGCATGGAGCCGCAGAAAGTGAGACAAAGACGAGTGAAACCTTCAACAATGACCTTAGCAATTCAAATTTGAATTCGATCAGTCGAAAGCCGATTAACAAAAACAATTAACAAAGAACGCTGAACGAAGAATGAAGAACGAAGAACGAAGAACGAAGAACACGCGCAAGAAGTGAATAAATGAAATGAACAATGCCGAGAATGTGAAGTGAAAGAGAACCCAGTACCGAAACAAGTATAAGGCAAGGCGAAGCAAGTGCTAAAAGACGAGAAAATAAAAACAATTCGGAAAATAGCAGAAACGTTTGTGCCTAGCACAAAATAAAAAAAAAAGCAGCAAATCGAGATACGAAAATGAGTGAACAATTTGAACAAGTTTTTGTTTTCAAAGTGCTCTATTTTCACATACTTCTCTTTTATCTTTAACCTACAAGTAGAATCGAGCAAAGACCGAGATTAATGGTTAATTACACAATGAGCAAGGAGAGTAAATACCAAACGAATATATATTACACATAATTATAACATAACTAATTTAACTAAAATACGATATTAATACTGAATTGAATTCAAACAAAGTTTTAGCCCGACCGCTTAAGAGCGTAGCATACATTTCAGCGCTAGCCGCCTTCGCATTCGCTTTCATTTCCGTATCCGCCGCAATCGCGTTATAACGATGGACGATGGAGTTGTGAGCAAACCGAAAATCGATAACCGATATACAAGCAAAAAATTAAAAGAAAAAAAAAAAAAACAAAAAAAAAAGTATTTCGATCAGTTGTGCCCAATTTTGCCAAGCTAGGCTTTGTTTGAATAAGCTTTAATGCATATGATTTCTTTGGTTTCTCTGTCGTATGATTTACTATGTAGCAATGCCTTTTACGCCGCTGTTCAGTTATGTATCTACAAACAAACGATAACTGATACCGATTACAATAACGTTCAATAAAACTCCATAGAATGGCCCCGCTACACTGATGGTTGTGGAGTAGTTCGACCAGAGTGAAGATTATATGTGAGGTTCAATTGCGCACACAGTACATTACAGTACGGTACACACTCGCCACATTGCCCACTCACACTCACCCAACATATAGAATCTCAGATACATGTAAATGCTTTGCTTTTGCTTTGAAATTGCTGCAATCGTAGGAGGTGAATGAGAAACGAATACTTTGGGATCAATGCGATTTTTGGTTTTGACAATAAAACTACTACCATTTCACCCACTGACACTACTCACGTTTTTGAGAAAACACGCAAAGTTACAGACATTGAAGACATTGAAAGAAACTTTTTTCAGTGACGAAACAATCCTCTTCTCGCTGACTTGCTCTCACTCGATCTCCAACACAACACAATTTGAAGCTGTTATACGAAACATGCTTTCACACACTGCTTGACTTCTAACTATCTGTTAAATCAAATACAAATGCGGAACTTGTTCTAAGCACATCCACATCTACCCACTATAAGGGAAACAGCATCGTACAAAATTAATCAACATTGGGAACTAACAAATGGCCAATGCTTTGATTTGCCATACCCTTTGGACATTTGAACTTCTGTTCCGTTAATTTTGTTTCTTAGTAGATGCCAATTTCCGGTTCACAGTTCCTTTCATTTAATGGATACCTGTAGTAATTGTATAACAGTATTATAATCGTTGCATGACAGTCCTACATCAGTTGCTTACCACGCTTATAACAGTTGTATCTCTGTCATTTTGAGGTGATAAGTCAATCGTAAGGCATTTGTGTAACGGTTTTATGCCACTGTATTACAGTTGTATTACAGCTTGATTTTTGTTTTACTATAAACCATTTTAAAGAGTGACAACCAACACTCCAGTTACATTTGGCCACTTTACATCGATCAGCAGTCTTAATGTCTTAATTTGTTCGCAATAGCTTCCCAATACTAGACCGTTCCGATTTCACAATGCGATCAATCACTATTTATCCTAGCCAACACTAAAAAGTAACGCAAACAACAAAAATTGTAGAGTAATAACTTGTGTACATTATGGGGACCAGTTTAAGCGTTGCCTTAAAGTCCAAAAATTAAGTGTTTATTTATTTGCGCACGCTTTTACAAAATAGCTTTGTCATTTAGATCAGATTAACCCCTCTGTTTTGTGCCATAAAGGGCACATTCCCGTCATCTTGACCCCGTGACCCCTTGACCCCGTGACCGCTTAACCCCTTACCAAACCCGACTCGAACCATCGTATTACGTATTTGTATTTTTACCCCACATTGATTTAACGCTTGCCGATTGCCAATTTTGTAACGACTTGTAGCTTCATTATTATACATTTTGTTGGCTGTTTGACAAATAATACGAGTACCCACTTTGATGAATAATAGATCACATGGAAATAACGCAAAACGATAAATCGCTTAGTCGAGAATAATAAACGAAACATGCTATAAACTAATAACAGAAAATTAAGTTTGAAAATTCCGTACAAAATGCATAAGTTTAATGAAAAAAGCATATAATACTGAGAGAACTTAACGCATAATATATCTACTTATACTGAGTGCACTGTTATAAACGAGGGGCGGGGCGAGATTAAATAAACAACAACAACAAAAACGAATCAAACGATCAAACGATGAAAAAAGAAAACATTTTATAATGGTATATACTTCAAAGATATTGTACTATCTAGTGTGAATAACATCATCTGCAAAACAACAGCCACACATGAAGCTTATGCGACAAGCAAACCGAAGATAAGAAACAAAAACTTAACAAGAAGTCGAGAATGAGATACTCTATAATATAAGTGTAAATTTACGATAATAAAAGCCGAGAGAGGGATATGAATTTTAGCAAGCGGTAAACTCAAAACGAAACCGAAACGCAAATCGAAATCGAAAAGTTGAAAATTATATATGAGGACTCGACGACGAAAAGGACGACGACGTCGTGGTGGGATGATAACGATATTGATAAGGAAATCTATTTCATATTTTTAGCATACGTGTAAACATATTTTTTGTGCCGAGGTTACGTTCGAAGCAACACGCGCATCATTGCCATTAGACAAAATAAAATTAATTATATATACAATATGCCTAAAAATAATACAAAAAAAAAAAACAAAAGGAAAACTACCACTAATAATTATAAAAACAAAAAACAAAACAACTGCATATTTTGTGCTGCTGAAGAAAGTCACAACGCAACAAAAAACATGATAACAATAAAACATATATAAATTTCTAACAATTTTTGAGCAATAAAACCACACAAACACACACATACCCACACATACACGCTCATCACAGAAGTTTGCCGAATATTTGCACCGCCACTGTTAGCCCAACGGGCGTGCGAAAGAGAGTGAGATGGGGCCAAACTGCGCTCCGCTCTGCTCACGCACACTGCGCACAGTGGCGTCGCAAAGTATGCAGTCGGGAAACAGACAGCAGCATTCTCAAATACCAAATACAAATGCAAGTGGAATGGCAAATGCTAGATGTTGCGGATACAGAAAACGATTAAACATTTTTAGATACACTTCGAAAATCAAAGCGTGGAAATTTCTATATTAGTTAATAATAAATTCCTTTTTTGTTAACTCACTATAATAAAATGAAAACAGAGATGGACAAAAACTTTAGCTTTATACTCGTACATTTGTAATATATTACATAAGTCTAGATAATTACATAAAAACAAAGGAAAAATAGAAAATATATTATAAATTATAATTATACAAAAGCAAAACGGAAAAAAAAATTTTACAAATAAAAAAAATGCAAAAAAAAGTCAATAAAAAAAACCAAATCAAACGAAGCATAGCAAATGAAATTCAAAGTAAATTCATAAATAGCGTACAAAAATCGAAACAAAAAAATAAAGAAACCCCAAAACGAACTGTAAAAAAAGAGAAAACATTTAAATGTAAAACAGCCAGTTAATATGCATAGCTAATAAAATTCAAAATACAGAGCAGGAGCAGGAAATAAGAACAATTATTGCAATTAGATATTCTACATAAAAAATTCGAGATCTTTAGTAAAACATAGGTTGCATATGCAACCACACACAAGCAAAACACACACTCACACATGCGCATTCCCGAATACATCCGTATATGAGTACAATTTGATTTCCGTCGACCGGTGCAATTAGATATTCTACATACAAAATTCGAGATCTTTAGTAAAACATAGGTTGCATATGCAAGGTCGTTGACCTGATTTCGAGTGCTATCAGTTGCCAACCCATCCATTCAACCACATGGACAGACGCCAGTAAGGACCCACACGAGACACATTACCAGACAGACCCCGGATAAAAGGAATACCACGCCAAGCAGCAGAGATTAAGATACCAATCCAAGCCTATTCGATACCGAAACCAATCCAAACAAAACACAAGAACACACAATTACGAAAGTTGCCATCCAGCGAAGTATTTGCAATTTATATTGAGAGCCAGAGTTATTAGCCGTTTATATAAAGCCCGTTGAACACGAAAACAAAACGAAAAAAAGAGAAGAAAACCAAAAACAGACTGAAGAAAATGAGAATTATTTAACAAGAAAATTTATATATATGTAATGATAGCCAATAGAGACAAGTGCATCCAAGCTATATGAACAGATCACAAATTGCCAAGCTGCTTTTACATGCATCCAGAGCTGAGCCCCATCCACTCACTCGCACACACACACAGGGCCGGATATCCTGCCACGCCCCACACGACCGCCCACCCACTACACTCAAATACACGCAAACACACACACACACTGGCGATTGAGTAGCTCATGAATAGATTGAGATGTGAGGGAAATATGTATTTATATTTATACAGCAGCAAGTTAGCGAAAATGGATACATGATACTAAGAAGAAGCATAAGTTAAATATACATATTAATGGAAGTCTTAAACTAAAGCAACAGCAGAAACTGATAAATGCAAAAATTAGCGAGATTACAATGAAAACGTTTGCGAGGAGGAGACACAGGCACAGTTAGCATATTTTTTTTATACAAATACAATTTAAGCAAACGAATACGAAAATCAACAAATTGAAGTAATTTATTAGTGAGAAACCGAAGCAACTGATGATGTCTTTGTAAAGACTTTATATATGCCTGCCATATGCCTACATCTGCCTAGCTGTCTGACTCTAACACAAACGCTGAGGCACGAACACAACACTTTCTCCCTCCCACTCCAACTCCCACTCTCTCTCTCTCTCTCTCTCTCTCTCTCTCTCTCTCTCTCTCTCTTTCTCTCGCTTGTGCAGACACGACACAGACACAGACAGACTGACAAACTAAGTCCATTCACATCACCCCGAACAAGGGCTAAGGTGCCATCGATGAGAAGCGCGGAGAAAGGCGCACTGTGGACTGGTTGTAAGCGATGCAGCGGTTGCACGTACCAGTCGAAGAACGTGTTCAGGCTTCTTTTTGCCCTTGTATGCTTTGTATTGATTAGGCCACCCTGATTTCTTAGCCAGTTTTTGGGGGAGCCTGCGTTGTGTCGTTGGCTCCCCTCGACCTCCTAGATCCCCCAACCCGAGCCAGAGCCGTTGTTGAGCAACTCTATTTGATAGCAACTTCCCCGGCTACAAATTCTTAGTGGTTCAGATGGCTATAGGACAACCGGACGCATACAAGCACACTCACGCCCACACAGACACTGAAATCTCCCCTTAAAGATGATAAAGATATATACATATGAATGTGTATAAAATATATATGTGCGATCAAGTAAAAGCAGCTAGAAAAAGTACCGAAAAACCAAATAAAAAATTGCTATAAATTAATGACACCCGCCACTTTTCTACTAAAAAGAAATCGACTGTATATATATATACAAATATATATATATAATATATATATATATATATATATGATAATATGAGTATATTTATGTAGCAGTATAAACAGTATGTGTAGCATAACACTTTGTCCATTTGCTTGACAAACAGAACCATACACACACACAAGTAACCTCAATTCACAGATACACAAACACACACACACAGACAGGCACACGATCTGCATTTTGTTTTCTAGTTTTTTAAAGGGACATTAACTTGTACTAGCGATACTTCTAATAACTAAATCTTGCAAAATAATACGAATAGGGCCATCGCTGTCATACATTGTAATGTTTTCGCCGGCACAATCTTCGATTTTCGATTGAAGCCAGCCTCTTGTTATCAATTTTTGTCGATAGAATACGTGTATTTACTACCAACCACAGATAATCCATTAAGTTTGCCCAGAAACACACATATTAATATAAATATACCTGCATATATATTTTTTTTATAACCACATATGGGAAATCTATATGGGACAAATGAAACACAACAACAATTTTTGTATGTATTCATTTTTATTAAAAAGAAAACGGGAAAAACAAAAGGGAAAATACAAACCGGAAACCAATAGAAAACAAACAACACTCGTAAAACACACACGGACAGACAAAAATTGTTTTTATAAAGATATATTCGATTAATATATTTAAAATAAAGTAAAAAAACGCCTGAATTAGTTTATTACGCAAAAGAAAAGAATTATAATTAGTTAATTTCAAATAAAATAAAACAAAAAAACAACCATACAAAAAAAAGAAACCAAAACTGCACAATAACATCTAAATGTAAAAATATGAACTAAATGAAAGCAAATATAAAGGAAAGCCCAAAGAAAATGAGATAAAAGTAAACGATTTTTATTTTCATTATATATAAATAATTAACGCTTTTTTAGTTCTTAAACAAGTTGCATAATTTATGTATAATTTATAAAGAAAACCCAACATTTAAAATAATGCAAACCAAAATAAATCAAATTAATGAAGGGGCATCTTAAAAATATTGTAATTTAATAAATGAAAAAAAAAAACCAAAAACAATACAAAAACAAAAGGATATATATAAATTAAAAGCGAAATTTTTTCACACTTTAGCTTAATAAATTGTAAAAAATACAAAAAAACAAACAAACAAAACTGAAATAAAATGAGATTTAATTGAATTTGTTATGCAAATGAAATTCTGTTCGTGTTTTATTTGCTTACCTGTATATACTCGTATATATAATTCGCTAGGAAATCAAAACGAGGTGAGTTGTATTATAATTTCTTTTATTTATTTATTTAGTTATGTGTATATATATGTATATATACGTATCGTACAAAATGTTCAAACAACAAAAAATATATATATTTATATATTTCGTTATAATGTTGTGTGTGAATTTTGTTTAGCGTCCGTTCATCATTCACTTAATTAAACATGTTCTTGTCTGTAGATTTGACTTTGTTGATTTGTTTATATTAATTTCTTGTTATGTAAGTTACACGAAGTTAGCATTTTGCGATGTCTGCTGATGTTGGTAATTGGTAAAAATGTATATAATTCGTTCACGTCTACGATTTCTGTTGATTTCCTCTAACTGCTTGCTAATTTCGGTTAGTTTTCGATTTGTGTATTTGATTTAATTTATTGCGGTTGCTAAGAGTAGAATTGCTATTTAATCCTGGCTTACTCGATCAGTTTCGTCATTAATCATAGCACAATCGTATATTTATTCATATCTGTGTATATATAAATGTTTTATGATGTACGTTAATGTCTAACTCTTGCTTTGTATAAATTCTCGTTTTAGTGTTGCTTTGCTTTTGGTTTAATCGTAATTTAAACAATTCTTTGTCTTTGTCTTTATGGGCGTTTTAAAATGCATATCAAAGTTCTTAATTAGGTATAGAGCAGCAATTAATTAAGTTGTCAACTCGATCAAGTTATTTATCCATTTACTCTCAACTATTATTTTTCTCGTTTTTCTCTTTCTTTTTCTTTTTCTTTCGCTTTTGTTTGTTTTTTCGTTTGTTTTTTCTTTTTTTGTGTTTTTCAGGAGTTACAAATATTGTTTGTCCGCTTTCGTTAGTGTAAATCTTTGACTGCTTACGGTATTGGTGCTAAAAATTATATTTTAAGTTTATCTTTAGCTTTAAAGGTATATTAAACGTAATCTTTACTTTACTTTAACTGCTACACACCCTCTGTCTGATCTGTATTCCTATTTGCTTCTTTGCTGCGCCTGCTGGTTTAGCTGGTCAAGTCGGTCAAGTCGGCTTTGGTGTTGGGATATTGACTTGGACTGAACTGGGTTGGATTGGATTGAATTGGATTGGATTGATGTGGGCAGGGCTGGGTTTCGGCATCCGGAGCAGGACATGGCCGATTCGGACTGGACTACGCAACAATGGTAACTTTCGGCAACGGGATAAGATTTGATTATTTTGTATATACAAAGTGCTGAGCCTTAAACTTTTGAGCCGCACTCCGAAAAAATCGAATTCCGAAATGTCCGAAGGAAAACACCAAACCGATACGGGTACGGTTTCTTATTTAATTTTTTTTCGCTTTATTTTCAAATTAATTTACAACTTTCGCGATTAATCAGCTCTTGCAAGGTTATAAAAAAAAAATTGTTGAAAAAAACTGGTGAGGAAACAGAGAAGAGGTCGTTAGGAAACGAAAAACGCTTTTTACTTTTTCAAATAATAATTTAAACACACAAACAACAATAAAATGTATACATTGTTCTCCATAATTTTTCTACAAAGAAATCAGATCCTATGTGCACGACAATTCGATAATAGAAAAGTAAGTGTACAAAATATAGGCAAAGAAATATTTGAACCGAAGGTAGTTTTAAAAGAAATTGACAAAAGAATTGATATCAAAATAATATTTGCATAGTTTGGTCTGCTTAGACTTAAACTTTGTCTTCAGCTACATAAGGCCTATGTAGTTGATTGCTTTTCGGTAGCTATATAAAGTTTCTGCGTATTTCTTCTAGTGAATCTTTAACGATTACTTTTCCGGTTTTTGTATTTTACGTACGTAGTTGATGTTCTGCTTCTCTGCGATTTGCTTTGTAAGATCTGTTGTTGGTGTTTTAAATTTCATAAGGTATATATGTTCAATAATTGTTTTCGTTATGTTTTTCTTGCGTTTTTCGTTTTTTTTGTTTTCTTTTTTTTTTGCTATATAAACTGTATAAATTGCCTGCCTGCTACGCTGAACGTTTTGTCAAAAAGTTTTTGTTTTCGATTTTTGCTTTGTTTTTCGAGTTTTTTCTTTTTTTGTTTTGTATTGTTTTCATTTTTTTGTTTTGTTTTACTTGTTTTTTGTTTACTATTTATACCTTAATGGTAGAACTTTTGTTTTGTTTTGTTTTGTTGGTTTATATGCATCACTTAACTAACAAATAGCAGCGTGCATACAGCTGCTGTACATGAGTCGCACATAACCGTATATATACTATATATATAGGCCATATGCACGGGACTAAAGTTTATCGCTGCTTAAGGACTAACATTTATAGACTTTCCATTGCTGTTGCGGATGTTTTCTTGTTGCAAAGAGTTAGAATGGTTGCATTATTGCTGCTTAGCTTTGTTGCTGATGTTGCATGGTGCATGTTGCTGCTGTTGCTCTTGCTGCTGTTAAGTTGCTTGCTGACTGACACTGGACACTGACACAGAGACACAGAGGCCAGCCTGTTGTTTCATCTTCGTTCTTGTAATGTAGTACATATCTTTCGTATATAGTAGGTATGTAGCGTAGTGTAATTAATTAATGTATGTGTTTATATATGCATGCTGCTGATGCTCCTTCTTGTCATCATCTTTCTCCTTCTTCTCCTCCTCCACCTCCTCCTCCGCCTCATACTCCTCCATATCCTCTGCTTCTCTCGCTCTATCTCCGATTCCCTCGTTCTCGCACACCAAAATATCATATCAGGCATATTGTATTGCGGACCGACTCCTGCCCTCTAGTTATCGCCGTTGTGATTGACATTCTGCTGCAGCTCCTTCAGCTTCTCCTCGCGCGGCTTGGCGTTGCCAAAGATCGAGGCCGATTGCTTGGTCTCTGCCACCGCGTTTATGGGCGCGGCAATGGTCCGTGGCTTCAGCTGCAGACGTGGCCGCTCGTTGTCGTCTGCGAGGAAGGAACGGATAGGTAAATGGATAAGTGGGTGAACGGTTGGGCAAACTTAATACTATACATCATTTAAATGCAATGAAGTACTTCCAAATCCTGCAATATCCACATTTATGGACTTGATAATTGATAACGTCTTGGTACGGGTAATTGTGGTGTTCTTGATATTCTTGATATTCACATATTTGAAAAGTATATTGAAATCGATATTTTGAAACCACTTAAATTGTCTGTGGACAAGGGTTAATGAATTTTTGAAATCTTTAGATAACATTAAGTGCTCCTAACGTTCTATTTTTCACAAGTTATAAAATAGTTATCTTGTATTTATCTGCCTAACTACCCGAATTTTATCTATGAAATCTGTGCAACTCACCAATGGCGCCCATTGAGGAACCACCACCAACTCCCAGGCCTCCTGATCCGCCGGATCCGCCGCCGAGGCCGCTCATGCCGCCACTGGGACGTTCGCTCTGCTGGTTGGGATTGTAGTGGGTGCGCTCGCGGTCGCGGTGCCGGCTGAAGTTGTTGTAGCGATCGCCGTCGCGCGACTGGTTGCCATAGCTGCCTTCCCGCTGGCCGCGATCCCGATCCTGGTTACGATCGAATGGTCGATCGTCGTTGTTGAAATTGCCGTACCGACCCCGATTTGCCGGCCGATCTGCAACGAAGCAACTGGATTAGTGCCTATTGGCCATGAGGAAACCTGCTTACGATTAGGCTCAGCATGCTAGCTAAATGCAGTTCAAAGTAAAAAAAAAGCGTGCGGGTGGAAAGTCTTTTCAAGTCTATCAATGTGTGTGCTAAGGCCTAAGGCTAAGGCTACAAGGGAGCTTTACGGGGTGGGGGTTTTCATTGGACGCAAACTAAGCTCAAAAGAAGGTAGGATATAGGAGGTAACAGCTAGCAGTCCAGGAGTAGTAAGTATGCAGCAAACCCATTTCAAGATGGATCAACTTGTTCGGATTTAATGAACCATCTATGGAAACATGGAACCATCTATAAACATGTTTTTCTTTTCCCATTCTTCAAATAACGAAGTGCATAAACATAAGCCATTATTCTATGCATATGAAATATCTATCCTAACTATGCATAGAAAAGAAATATATGTATATACTACGAAATGAATGCAAATAAAAACACCACTGCCTTTTACACCTATCATCAGGATATGTACTACTCCTACTTTTGGAAAATGAACTGTATAGTCTTGACTTGCGGAAACTCCTTGATAAACACACCAAAAAAAAAAAAAAAACAAAGCAAAACCAACTCAGGATCAGGATGTGGAACCGCAGGAGGATCCCAAAGAAGGAACAGAAACGAAAATCGAAACAGAACAGAAGGGGAGATTCTAGGATCACTTTCGAGGATTGCAGCATGGATGTGTCTACCAGCCATGCGACTGAATCGTAATCGTTATAAGTAATCAGAATCAACTGGTTTTTGGCGGCACTACGAGGGATGCAGCTACGTGTTGGTTGCTTGGTTGATTGTTTGGTTGGTTGGACGGCAGATAAAAATGCTTTACCATTGTATCCTCTATTCATGCCACCGCCGGAGCCCGCGCCGCTGCCGCCGCCGCCGCGACTTCTATCATTGTGACCACCATAACTATCATTGTACGAACCTCTACTATCGCCGCGATTACCCGAACCGCCGCCGCCCTCCCGACCGCCGCCGCCAGTGCCAGGACCTCCCCGGCTGTAGGACTGACTGCTGCCGCCCTGGCGAGGTGGGCCGCGCTTCTGGAAACCGTCTCTGCCGCCATCGCCGCGGGTCATGCCGCCGTTGCCGCCGCCAACACCGCCACCAGGGCTGTAAGAAAGTCAAAAATATGGTTAGTCAACTGGTAAATGGGTATGATAATGGGTGTGGATCGATTGGAGATTCTTTGGCTAATTATCCATGTGCTGAGCTTGCTCAGTCAGTTCCAATCGATCCAATTTAAAAAATATTAAATCTAGCCGCAACTCACCGATCATTTTTCCGCCGATCAGCAATATCAATCCTCAGCGGCGCCGACAGATCGTCCAGTTTGATCCGACCATCGCACTCTAGCGCCCGCTCCAGATTGTCCAGCGTCTCGAACTCCACGTAGCAGAAGCCTTTGAACTGATCCGTTTCCCGGTCCTTCACCAGCCGCACGTACTTCACCTCAAAGTCCTGGAATATTTTGATCACATCACCCTGCACAAGGCCTTGCGGCAGATTGCCGACAAATGCGATGAAGGGCGGTTCCGTGGGCAACTGCTTGGATGCCCGATCCCCACCGAATCCGCCTCTGAAATGGAGGAAAAAGAATGGATAGTTAGTAGAGTTCGTATAGCACATCTTTGGTTTCTTCTAGAATGTAGGTAAGATAGAAACGGCGAGTGTTTTGACACTTCTTAGGTGTAAGTAATACCATTGAGGTTACAGGATCTTGGGAAGGAAATGGGATGCTCCCATTAAAAGGCTGCACGTTCTGAAGTAAGCGTCTAAAGTTCGATTTTATATGCCCATATAGATATGCCTAACCAAGCCACCTGAATCGTGGACTCGATTCTGTGCTCCTGGTATTTGGTATGCCTCTTTGTTTGGAAGAGTACTCCGTGGCCTGGGAACCTTGACATCGAATCCAATTAATGGGGGTGTGTCTGTCTCTTCTTCTTCTTCTTGTTCCTTGTTGAGGACGAGGGGGGAGTGTGTGTGTGTGTGTGTGTGTGTGTGTGTGACGCCACCCCTTGGGGCAAAACGCACATGGTTGGCTTTTATCTATGTGGGCGGGTAACGCTGGCTCGGATTGCCGGCGAACAGTCAACAGAGATGCAGGCACAAATAACAAAACCGAAGAACAACAAATGCAATGGGACAGGTGTCAAATGGTTGGGGAACAAAAATCGCGCGCGCTTTTTGGCGAAAATTGCAATTTGCACGGAATTTGCAACTATTTTTGGGTTAATATTCTTTTCTTTTTCATTTTGATGAGAGGTAGGGGGGAAATCATTTGAAGTCTGCCGGTGTGCTGTCAGCGTCGCAGTCGACGTTGACGCCAGCTGCAGCAGAGTTTTCCAAGAAAAACAACGAAGGCGATGAAAAGAATCGACAAAATAAAAACCGAAAAAGAATGTTAAGAAAAAAAAACGCACACTGCCCCGCACACACACACGCACGCACGTACGTACGTACAAAGGCGGCGGCGACCAACGACCGACACGTACAATACACATGCACATGGATGTATGGGTGTGCGAGCGGCGAGGCGAGAGCGTGCGCGTGTGTTGGTGGGCTGGTGTTGCCTTTTTTTTTGCCCAAACCCCAAAAACCGCGTGCATTATTACACATTTTGGCCAAATTGCCGGCACTCGCGCAATTCGATCGCATCGCGTTCACTTTCACAAGCACCGGCGCATTGCGGCCCACGCGGAGCGTACGCGATTGTAAAAATAATTAATAATATTTACCTAGCGTGTTCATAACCACCTCTTCCAGCCATGTTTTATTTTTTTCAAATGAGCGAATTCGCTGCAAACCGCAGTGTGAACACACGGGCGAAAAATACTATCGCGGCGAATTTGGACCGGCAGTGTCACCACACCAATTCACCGCTTGCCGCCGTTTTGGTATTTTTGTCGTTAGCGATACACCCTTATGCGTTAGCAGGGACGCATGCCCCATTGCCACCGATTTTTAGATATCGATTAGTAAATTGTTCCTTAGCATCTTGCAATCGTCCTTTTCTTAATAAAACATAGTTTAAGCTGAAATGAAATGAAATACATACATAAGTAGTAGTATAAACAAATTAGGATTTTTTTACAAAAAGAATATCATAGGTAACGGGATGCAAATGGTTTTTATTTTAATACTGAAACCCCATTGAAAATAGTATTTATTTTTGGGCTTTAGAGTAGTGCTTATCGTTATCGGCAGTGCACCTAATCAGCTGTGACAGTACAAACTGATATATTTAATATAGATTAAACTTAAAATTAAGTAATGGCGGTAGACAACTGCATTTTCTGCCAAATATCCAACGGGCAGGACCCCAAAAGTGTTCTGGTAGTGGAAACCAATGAGTTTGTCATTTTCCAGGACATTAAACCTGCTTCCCAGCACCATTACTTAGCAGTGACCAAAAACCACTACGATAGCCTTAAGGATCTAAACAAAACGCACGACTCTCTGGGTAAGATTGGAATTTCGGCCAACCGGGCCAAGCATATGCCTAATATCCTAATTCCTTGCAGTACAACGCATGGAGAGCGCCCTGAAGGAGTTCTTGGTTGGCAAGGGGGTTTCTGTCGATGATGCCCTCTTCGGATTTCATCTGCCGCCGTTCATCACGGTGAAGCACCTTCACATGCATGCCATCGCCCCACGAACCCAAATGAGCTTCCTATCGAAATTGATCTTTAGACCCTCCTTTTTTTTCAAAACCGTACGTATTTGGCTATTCTGATTTTGATTAGTTTGAGCTCCACTGTAATTTAATCTTATCTATTCAATTATAGACCGACGAGGCGCGTTCTTACCTTTCTCAGAAGGAATAGATCGGGACAAAGATAATTGCTAGATATATATGTACATATACTCTCGCGAGGCCATAACTAATAAACGGAGCCATCTAATACAATACAATCTAACATACAATGTTCTTTAATTAAAAGACCAATTTAAAAAACAAGCTCAGTGAGGCATGACATTTTATATTTGGACAATTATTTCGAATGTTCTGATCAAAATACTGAATATTTTTTAGTCCAAAAATCACAGGAACGATTTTTGCGTTTTTACTGTATCCCAAGTTATACAATAATGGTAACAAAACAATAAGAATTGCCGTTTTTTACTCCTAATTACCTATATTAACATTATAATGTTTTGGACAAAAAACGAATCATTTTATTATTGAAATTCGACAAAGCTAGCCAAAATTTTAAACTTACGAAAAATAATAAATCATAAAATCTGTCAAGCAAATATATTAGAACTGAGACCTTTACAAGTTAAATAAAAGGAAATTCCAATGGAATTCCAATTTAATTCAAAATTTTATGATTCCTATTTCTTGCAATGCCATTCAGTTTCGGTAGACTTAAAATTTCGCGGCAAGCCATGAAACAACCGGCTTAAATAATCGATAGCCCGTTGCGTCCCACCTTACCAGTGTGACCAGTAGCTGCCGCAATCGATTATCGATATCACCACTGTCATACCGTACGCTTCTTCTTCTTACGCCCGCTCAGCAGAAATTGTACACGTTTTTCATTTCGAAAAGTGCAAATTACCCATTTTTTGGCCAGAGACCACGGATTTGAACATGGCCCTCACGTCGCGCTTCTACAACGAGCGGTATCCGGAGATCGAGGATGTCGTTATGGTGAACGTGCTGTCCATCGCCGAGATGGGCGCCTACGTTCATCTGCTGGAGTACAACAACATCGAGGGCATGATCCTGCTGTCGGAGCTGTCCCGCCGTCGCATCCGCTCCATCAACAAGTTGATCCGCGTCGGCAAGACCGAGCCGGTGGTGGTTATCCGTGTGGACAAGGAGAAGGGCTACATCGATCTGTCGAAGCGTCGCGTTTCGCCTGAAGATGTCGAAAAGTGTACGGAGCGCTTCGCTAAGGCCAAGGCCATCAACTCACTGCTCCGCCATGTCGCCGACATACTTGGCTACGAGGGCAACGAGAGGCTGGAGGAGCTCTACCAGAAGACCGCCTGGCACTTCGAGAAGAAGTATAACAGCAAGACTGTCGCCTACGACATCTTTAAGCAATCGGTCACCGATCCATCCGTCTTCGATGAGTGCAACCTGGACCCCGAGACCAAGGAGGTCCTGCTGAGCAACATTAAGCGCAAGCTAGTCTCGCCCACTGTCAAGATCCGTGCGGACATCGAGTGTTCCTGCTACGGTTACGAGGGCATCGACGCTGTCAAGGCATCGCTCACCAAGGGCCTGGAGCTGAGCACCGAGGAGCTGCCCATCCGCATCAACCTGATAGCACCGCCACTGTAAGTTCAATACGATAACTGAACAAGGCTTTCTTAAGTGGGAAGAGAAATTTCAATTTAAATTAGCCGGTCATCATTGTGTATATACTGTGAATGTCCACATGGAATTTCACAACTTCCTTGGAACTTAAAACAACAAAAATATTTCAATTATAGACTTCATAAAAATGAGTGAATTGGTCCGTAAAAGTAATCATTCTTAATCTTAAACCCTTTAGCTATGTAATGACCACATCCACTACCAAGAAGACAGACGGTTTGAAGGCTCTAGAGGTGGCCATAGAGCACATTCGGGCCAAGATCATCGAGTACGAGGGAGAGTTCAAGGTAATCATGGCGCCCAAACTGGTTACGGCCATCGACGAGGCGGATCTGGCACGACGCCTGGAACGCGCTGAAGCCGAGAACGCCCAGGTGGCTGGCGACGATGACGAGGAGGATGGCGCCGACCAGGAGGGCATGCAGTTTGATCCAGAGAAGGAGTTCAACCACAAGGGATCGGGGGCGGATCGTGCGAACGAGGAGGATGAGGAGGAGGAAGAGGATTAGCGTAGCCACAACAACGTAGCTATAGCAACTGTAACAAACGATTAAACGAGTTTTGAAAAAATCAGAAGTTGTAATTTTATAATTTATATACATAACATATAACGAATGCTATTAAAGATTTATACAAGTGAAAACAGCAAGATGCCCAAGACAAATCAAAATGCGCTTGTTCATCTTTCCTTTTCAAATCCAAAACAATACTATCGACCATTTATTATTGAACCCAATTCATTTTAGCTTGACAGACCCTTAATACTAGTTCAAATTGTGTATATAATGTTTATATGTGTATAATTGTAATATTATTTAATAGTCAGGCGTTCTTATTTGCGTTTTTGTTTTGCATTTACTTGTTTAATGTTTTCGTTGATGCGGTTTGGTTCCATCACCGTCCAGATTTCCATCCATTATACTTTGTTATTATTTTTGCCTTAAATATTAGATTATATCGCTTTCTGTTCCATCTCTCAATATTATCTAGAAAAAACCAACCCTGCTCTGCTTTAAAAATGATCCGGTGCTGAAGAGCAGCCTAATTAGATATTGTACATCGTAACAAACGATTCGTATAAAAAAAGTGACTTCAGTTTATAAAAATTTCACTAAATTAGAAAGGTTTTCGTTTCTGTTTTCATTGCTTTGTGGTTGTGTATAGTCCTTACTATTTCTTATTTCCCTTTATATGTGGCGTGGCGTACTTTTTGGTATTGCTCGGAGTATTTCGTTGGAACGGCCAGTTAGTGGGGTCCAGTCTGTTCATCATCCTATTGCAATCCGGTTTCTGGCTGTGGGGAGTTCGGCTTTAGGTGGTGGGAGCTGTTGGTCTAGCCGCGTTCAGCTGAGTTCGCCTCCCGAGGCGGCATCGTTGCGAAGGAGCAGCACGGAGCTGGCCGCCTGCTTGTTACCGCCGCACAGCCGCAGCACGGTAAGCACATCGCTGCGAGGATAGCCAAGGGCCATGAGATCAGTGACGTCCTGTTCGGTGAATCGGTCTTGAGGATTGATCGTGTTGGGTCCGCCACTGGCGCCACTTCCGCCACCACCGCTCTCCCGTTTACTTTGCTCGATTGCATTGGCGATTGCCTCCTGTTCCATCGATTCCTCCGAGGAGTGTCCTGTGAGCCGGGCGCTGACCGGCAGCTCACTTTCCGGCAAAAATGGTGTCGTTGTTCCCGTGGTGCCGATAATCAACAAATTTCGCTGCAAGTCAATTAGGCACTGGAACAACCAATTCATTAGCATTGACCCGATGTGATCCAGACTGATTTACCTGATGTCGCTTCAGCATGTCCAGACCCAGCAACATGTCCATGGGCTGCTGGCCCAGCACGGTGAAGCTGGACGTTAGGTGATCGTTCTCAATCTGCAACTGGACCATGTGTATTCTACCCAGGATGGGCTGTGTGCCAACGCCCTTGGCCACACCATTCCAGCGCGTGTCAATCAGCCGGTTGACGTGGCATCGCTCGGCGCAGTCCTTGCTCATGATCGTCGTCTGGGCGCCAGAGTCCACAAACGCCTTCACAGGAATTCCATTCACTTTGCAGTTAATGTAGCTAATAATGCACAAAAAGTTAATAATCCCAAGTATATTAAAATGTTGTTCTATTACTTACAGCATTGTGACCGTGCCGAATATCTCCGGATTGTATTCAATGGCTGCCGCCATGTTATCCTGGATATTCTTCTGCTTGATCTCTTCGGCAATCAGACGTTGCGTCTCCTCATCGAAGGGATCGGCGTTTAGCATGCGCATGCGATGCTCGTTCCGCCGCTTTCGCTCCGTAATATGCTCGCGCAGTAGCCGGGCGAAGGACTCCCTGTCGCCGGAATCGATGGCCTCCGCCAGACTGGGATTGTACTGCCGGAGGAGCGACAGCGTCTCGGGACTAGACAGGAACATCTGGCGCACCGTCTCTGGGTCGTCATCGAAGTTCACATTAAACTCATCGGTCATGGGTATATCTGTGAGGTTGTTGAACTGCGGCTGCTGCACTCCCTGCTGCTGCACACTCCTCGAAGGTGGACTGCCGCCGGAGCTCGTGCCCGGCACGGCGATGCTGCTGAAGTCCAGCGTGCTGATTGATGGATTTCCGCCACCTGAATTGATTGAAGGAAGGCAATTTGGTTAGAGATCTGGTTCAATCAGTCGATTGAAGTGGTTTCCTATTAAGTTTCTTTCCAGGATTACATGAGCCAATATTTATTCACATCGCTTAATTTAAACGTGGTTTTAAAGACATATTGTGGTCAGTGCAGTTATCTGCTGAAAATCGAGAAATTTATCAACATATTTACGCGTTTTATTTAAGTTAGCTTACTAAATAGCAAGGAATACCCTACCCTAAGAGCGTAGAAAAACGTAGGGAACATTTTCAGAAAGAAAGAGTAAGCAATACCGAAAAAAAGTAACCAATTTTTTCCACATATAATCTGGATTGCATATGAAATCAATGATTGCAAAAATTCATGCTAATTGCCTTCAATTTTGTCGTAGAGATAGATTGAGTCACCACCAACCGATTTTGATGGAAGTTAATTGATCTGTAATCTATAATCGATTGAACAATATTAGACAAGCGAGATTAAGACATTGAAGTGCAGATGTGTTAACTAGATAATACATATTTATAGATCGATTATATGTAGTTTGGCTCATTTTTTGGTTGGCACATTTCAGCTGAAAATGAGATTTATGTATACTCAAAAATGTGCTTGCTCTTATGCGAATGCGAATCATGGAGTCCAAAGTGCTGTGCAATGGTAACATGAAATCGAAAATTGTTCACCGCCCACACCTGTCTGCAGTCGCAAAAAAGTGTGTTCATGTGTGCAGAAATACCATTAATACATATTAACATTTTTAAAACATTTATATGTACATATATATTACGATCCCATTTCAATGGGCGAACTGACAAGGCCAAATGCGCATTCAGGGGTCAACAAAACAGTGTGCCACAGTGGGCGGTCCAAGTGGGTGGATCCACAAGGCGGTGGCAAAAGCAGAGGCAGAGGCAGAGGCAACGCACCTGCTGCTGTTCCTCCACTTCCATTGGAATTCCCCTTCGCGCTCTCCTGCCACTGGCGCTGCAGTGGAAACAGATAAGCCACTTCCAGTGTTCCCGTGTCTGTGTGCCGATGTTATTTTGGAATTCGCAAAAAGAAAGTCAAACGAAGCAAGGCGTTTATTTTTAACACCAATTGCGCCGCAAAAAGATGAGCTGTGCTCGCTGCGCTTTTCCATAAAAATACAGAAATTAAAAAACGCGCAAGCATTTACAAAAAATATGTACAGTTCATATTTCACGTTGCAGTTGTATTGTTAGCTTTTAATGCATAAAAATAATGTTCCCTTTACGTACAACGTATGTATTTGGAGTTTCCCTCGTCCCAAATATTATGTTGTTACAGTATTTGCTTATAATCATTATGCAAAAATTCGCATTTTATTATTATGTGAATTTGCCTCATCTGACCAATGAACCCCTTTCACCCTCCCCAAACTCCTTCTCAAGATCCTTTCCAGTCCCCGCCAGACGTGACCCACATAAGAATTAATGGCTCTCCCGCTCTTCAATCCTCTCCCACCACTTCCCCTCCTTTACCTACCCGTCTAACACCAAATTCCAACTCCCTCTCACCTGAGCGATTTGCGCTCCTGCGACGTTCCAGCATGATGAAGTCGCCGTCGCCGACGCCGCACTGTTGCAGCGTCTGTTTGTTGCTGGAAAGCTCCCGCCCGTTGAATATGACCGCTATTTGGGCCACCTCCGCACCGATCTCCATTGCGCAGAGAGCCTTGAGATTCTCCAGCTCCAGATCCTGGGCCACGTCCAAGCAGAAGACCTTGTCATCGCTGGTCGTCACTGTGATTTTCATCGCCGATGTGTAATGCTTGTGTGTGTGTTGGCGTTTTTGTTGTTGTTCTTTGTGTGGGTTCGGGGGATCGGATGAGTGAGCGCGGTTGTGCTTACTGCACTGACGGGTGGCAAGGTATGTCCCAATCTCTGCTGGCCTAGCCTTTTTCGCCTTTATCTCTGCTGGCTGGATGGATGTGCTGATATTCTGCTGCTCGCGTATTGTTTTGGCACAACAACGAAAACGCCGCCTCCACGCGGTTGCATGAGGCGCCTTATCGATACGATTCGCGGTTTTTCTATCGATGGTTGAGTGGGATAGCTAGAGCATTGCCTTTATGGAGATATTACGACGAATTTGAAGCCATTAATAATTTTGTATTTACTTAATTTTGACACTTTACGCAAAGAAGTCGGTAGATACTAAAAAAAAAAACAGTAAAATGTCTTCATTATGAACGTTGGCATAATGGAATTTCTTCTAAAGTCAAATTTTAAATGACATTTTATTATATAAAGAAAACATAAATGTAATAATAATATTGTAGGAAAACAGTAATAAAATTAAAATTCAATCGATATCTGCCACCCAGTATCTGTAATTGATATCGATACATATCGATGACTCATGTGCTATCATCGAAATTTTATTGTATTTACTTTATTCAATTTGTGTCACTTGCTGCGTTAGGACACCAAGGAGCTTTTCGAGGAGCCTAGTGAGAAACCAGATAAGCCACCATGTCCACACAGCCAGCGGATAATGAGGAGAGTGCAGCGGCGAAGTCCAAGCGACCTTCAGGTGAAAATCCAGTTTCATGCGAGCCCCCCTTCCAACTCCCAATACCCACTCACTAAACACACTCACCTACACTTACACGCGTAACAAGTGATAAGGAAGAGAATGACTAATTTCCAGTCATAAATCGATTTTCGGGGCCCTTCCTGGGGCCCTGCATTAACCATGAGGTCACGCCTAGTCGCTCACGGTTTCCAGTTTCCCCTTCTGCCCACCCACAGATTCGGCCTTCAAGCAGCAGCGCCTGCCCGCCTGGCAGCCCGTGCTAACTGCCCGCACCGTACTGCCCACCTTCTTCGTGATCGGAGTTCTCTTCATACCAATCGGCGTGGTCCTGCTGCACCTGAGCAACACCGCCAACGAGCTGATCATCGACTACACAAAGTGCAGGCGCTCTGGCGGAAATACCACCTGTGCGGAGTATCTGGAGGCCAACCCCGGCAGTGTTGACTGCACCTGCGAGGTGCCCTTCGTCCTGCCCTCGGACTTCAATGTGAGTTAAAGAGATCCAGAGCTTTAGTAGCTGTTCAGCTCAAGTAATCGGCACAAAGTTTAGGTAGTGAAATAGTTCAAATCAAAAGCTATATGCTGAAATGGCTTTTATCATAGCAGATAGGTTTGAAAAAAAATATTGATGATTCTTGACAGTTAATAGTCGTGGATTTGAAGTTCTTAATATCTAAATAGAAATTTGTATTTATGTACTTACTTACTTTTTTAAAGGGTGTGGTGTACATGTATTACGGACTGACCAATTACTACCAGAACCATCGGCGCTACGTGAAGTCACGGGACGACGAGCAGCTGCTGGGTCACCTATCGCAAACGCCTAGCACAGACTGTGCCCCCTTCGCCTATGATCCCGATTCCGGAAAGCCCATCGCGCCATGCGGTGCCATTGCCAACTCGCTGTTCAATGGTACGACACACAAACTACCTCGATTGTACGACAACTAACCTAAATTTCTTCCAGACACGCTGACCCTGCTGCAGGGTGGCTCCGAGATCAATCTGCTGAAGACTGGCATTGCCTGGCCATCCGATAAGCGCGTCAAGTTCCGCAACCCGGAGGGTAACCTGACCGTCTCCCTTGAAGGATTCTCTCAGCCAATTTTCTGGCAGAAGGGTCTGGCCGACCTGGACCCGGAGAATCCGGACAACAACGGCTTCCAGAACGAGGATCTGATCGTGTGGATGCGCACCGCCGCTCTGCCCAGCTTCCGGAAGCTTTATCGCCGACTTAACCAGACGCACACCCAATATGCCAATGGCCTTAAGGCTGGCAATTATACGCTTAACATTAAGTATCGTAAGTACCACTTGCCATTGGTATCTCGAATGCTGTGTCTAATGTATTTTTCTTTTGCCTTTCAGAATATCCGGTAGTGTCGTTCGACGGCACTAAGCGAATGATCCTCTCCACCACATCCGTGCTTGGTGGCAAGAATCCGTTCTTGGGCATTGCGTACATTGTGGTCGGCGCAATCTGCATCACCCTGGGCCTGGCCCTGCTTTTTATCCATATGCGATGCAGTCGCAGGTGAGTTGCCCTCGCACATCATTGTTTGATTCATCCTCATTGTACCGATCGTCATCCATCCTGCCCTTATCCCTACTCCCACAGCATTTTAGTCCATTAGGTCAGCTAAGAGTCGAGTATTTCATACCCCATTGAAGCCGAATCGTTTCTCATGGCCAAATTAACTTTGCTCGGTGCGCGATAAGTATTGACAATTAAGTAGCGTTTGATAGTAGCTTTATACCTTATCGGGCACTGGCCAAAATGATTGACACCTCCTACTAAGAACTGTTGAACTAATCTTGGTTTTATTTCTGTTTCCCCGGCAGCAACATGGAGATGATCAACGTGAATCCGCACACGCAGTACTCCTAGGCCGAGCACCGTCAGTATTTCGGGCCGCTTCACTTAGCTTTAGTAGATCCATCTGTTTAAGCCTTATCAGCATAAAGTAGTTTCTATAACCAACTGGCATCGTGTTCTCGACTGCTCTATTCTTTATGTTTTCTAACTGTGTGCACTTGGCCTTGCGATGAGCTGGCCAAGTGCCTTTTGTTGATTCCGTTTGACCCTGACCCTATATGTGTGCACCCAAATTGTGATTTTTTTATAACTTATCCCGCACATCACACTCAGCAAAAGTGGCGCCCTTCGCAACATCCACACGAATTTCCACCATTGCTGTACAAACTACAAAGTAATACTTTGTGCCTAACTTAATCTGTATGCCTTTTACTACGTTTATAACCGCAAATAAACATTGTTAATGGCATTGCGCTCTTGTTTTATTGTTTATTAAATGGGTCCAATTTGATATCGGGCTAATTTGAGAGTTAAGTTTACTATATTCCTTGTTAAAATGGGACCATAATAGATAAGTTTAGGAATCAGCTGAAACTTTTTTAAATAGTCGTTAAGATATTATATTTGTTATTTGTATTTAATTATTTGTATTTGTATTTAAGTAATGTACGAGTTAAATTCGTAATCATGTGGTATCAGTGCTATTTAAGCATTTCCTGCTGGATTTCAGATAAGGCCAAAAGTGTGCTATCGGAAACTTCAAGCCCCACCAAAGTAAAATACTTTCCATTTCCTATATATATTTGTAGGTTTACATTTCTTTTATTACTTTCTTTTCGATTCTTCAACGCGTGAGGGACAAAAGTTTGCTTATATGATTCTGCATTTGTTTTAATTTATTTTGTACGTTTTAGACTACATTTCCAGTTACAGTTTAGACGTTGCTTAAGCTAGTTTTACTTATAATGCCGCCATTATTAGATCTGTCTATATATGTTGAAGTTGTGTGCGCATGTGTGTGAAATATGTGTGGGGTGTGAAATATAAGTAATGTACAGATTATGCTGAATCGTTATGCTGAATATAAGCCATATGAATGAATCTCAATCTATGTAAATACGGTTCTAAGTATGGATCCACTATTGACCTTGGTCTTCCGTGCACATCAACTTGATTTCAAGTATATCCGACCAAGAACTTATTTTCTGATCTTGTAAACGTGGTAGAAAATGTGAAACGAAACAAAACTTTCTTAATGGATTACAAATATTTGTAAGTTATTCAGATATACGTGTTCTGGAAAAAAAACTCGTTAAATATTCTTTTTTTTGGTTAGAAGACTGGCCATCGTTGCCGTGTCATAGAATTTCAGTTTTCAGACTTCTATAAACTTAAAAAACAGATACGAAAACGAAAGTGTTAAAATTCGAAGGTCCTCATGAAAGTTTTAAATTGAATTCAAAATTTTGGGAAGACCAAGGCTTAAATATGAATAAATGAAAGAATAAACGTCTAAACAACTGCCGCGTTGTGTTTGTGTATTTGGGAGTGTCATGGTGTTGTGTGAAATACTTGAAAATCCTGATGGTTTTTACTAACTCTAACTGAGCGGTTTCCCTTGCGTTTTCTGTCGCTTGCTTTGGTGCGTCGTAAACTTTTTGCTTGTTAATTGATGTGTAACATATTAAGACGTACTTTTCTATATGCTTAAGCCTACCATATCAATGTATGTATATATATAGTTTTAATAGCGAAACTTAGCTGTAAAGGGATGTGTAGATCCCATAATTTGCATTGTGTGTGGGTGTGTGGGTGTGTGCGCGGTACATACTAGGTTAACATTTAAAAAAAAAGTCTTATATATGATGTACATATATGTTAGTTAGGTTCTTAAGACTAGAAGCAAGAAAAAAAGGTTTAATAACACACACGCACACACACGCATCTCGTGCTATACATAAACGTGGCTGATTTGTTGATGGAATGCGTTGCTGATGTTTATGTGGTTGCTGGTGTATTCATTGTTCGAATGATTATGATGAGATGATGGCGGTGTCTGAGTGGATTGACTTTGTACATTTCAAGTGATTTTGGATTGAGATGATGAGGTGTGGTAGTGGGAGTGGTGGTATGATCACTCAATTTGACGCAGCTGCTGCTGCTGCTGCTGCTGTCGTCGTGGCAGCAACAGTCTTACTGCTTGTCTTGCTATTGTTATTGTTGGCCAGCACCGATGACTTGGAGTCAGACGTCGTCTTTGCTGCCGTTACTAATGCTGTTGCTGTGCTGCTTGCTGTTGCTGCCACTGCTGCCACTGGTGCCAGTGCTGGCTTTGTGGCTGCTGCTGGCGCTGTTGAGAGCTTTGGCCCATTGAGGATATGGCTTTTGATGTGGCTCTGGAGAAGCTCCTGAGAATCGAAACAAAGTTGACATAGATCACAGGTAAAGCCGGGATCATTCAACTGATCGTCGGCCTTCTTACGCCGCTCACCCGTTGAATGCGAATTGGACGTGGTCGTTGTGGTGGACTCGCTCTCCGAGAAGGAGGCCGTCGACACCACATTCGGCTCGTCCTCCACATCCCCCTCATCCAAATCATCATCGTCTACCTCCTCGATTGCATCCTCCGGATCGGGATCTAGATCGGCATCCTCATCGAACTCCTCTTCGATGATGTCCTCTATGGGCATCACACCATCGTCTTCATCCTCCGAACTGGCCACTATCAGCGGCGGCATCTTTGATTTGCCATTCATTAGCGGCCGCACCGGAAATGCCACTGACTCTGGCTCCTCCACATCGTCATCCTCCTCATCGTCATCATCGTCGTCGTCATCGTCGCTTTCCACCTCTCCATCATCGTCCTCGTCATCATCAGAGCTGATAACCTCCTCGACAAGATCATCGTCGTCCTGGTTAAGACTTGCTTTGTGTTGCTTCTGTGGCAAGAGTTGAGCGTGAGGCTGCACACCTTCTTCGTCCTCGCCTTCGCCACCATCTCCCTCCTCGTCCTCATCTTCACCCTCGCCATCCTCATCGTCGGTGTCGTCATCGTCATCATCTCCCGTGCCTGAACTCTCATCCTCGTCGCCCGAGCTATCCTCGTCCAAATCATCACTATCCTCCTCGTCGGGATTCGCCATCTTTTCTGATGCTGTTGCCCCTGCAGCCTCACCTTTCTCTAGAAATTGACCATCCGATTCTGATCCTTCACCCAATGCTGATGGTGGCGCCGCTGTATTTGCATCTGCTGCCGCTGATTCCATGGCCGCTGTTCTCTCTATGGCCGCCTTAGTGGCCACTGGCACTATGACCTCCTCCTTCAAATGGTTGTTAATGTGGTTCATCAGCTTCTCCTTGCGCGACAGATACTCGCCGCATAGATCGCAGCCCCACTGGAAGGGGCAGAAGGGTCGCACCACCTTCGCATCGGCCAGCTTGTGCTCGATCCACAGCTCCTTTGAGTCGAACGACAACTGACAGCGACGGCAGGTGAGGTGATCGTCCACCACAATCACCGGCGGCTCGGGCAGATTGCTTACCTCGTGTTTGTGCAGCTCGTACATGTGGCGACGCAGATTGTTATTGCTGATGAAGGTGGAGGCGCAGTATTCGCATTTCAGCTCACGTTTCCGCTTCATTGATTTGCTGCGGTTGCTGCTGCTGTTGTTGTGGTTCATGCTGCTGTTGCACGAGTTGTTGAGGCTCTGTTGCTGCTGGTTGGGCATCAGGCCCACCGCATGCAGCTCGCGGAGATGTAGCATCGAGTTGTTGTTGTTGTTGGTTGTATGATTGTTGTTGGTCAAATGTGTCGCTTCGCCGTCGATGGGGTTCTGCAAGGATTAATATGCCCGGGGAATAGCAGGACACAGCGGGATTTGGGGTGGTGGGGAAGAAAAGAGAGAAAACAAAGATCAGTACAAATTCAATTGGCAATGACGAGATGTTGATATCTGTTTTTTGCGACTGGTGCGGAGGCATCATCATCATCATCAGCACATCAAAAGTTGTTGGTGGCGCGACAGACGACGATCCTCGCCATCGTCCGTCGCTTGTCCTCCTCGCTGCACAAGCCCAAAAACGCTCACCTGCTTGCTATCACCTCTGAAATGCCACTTGCGATGCACCTTGAGTGCGATCACCTGGGGGAACGTCTTGGCGCACAAATCGCACGCGTATTCCCCGTTCTCGTTCTGTCGCTCCACCTGGAACTGACCGGCATCCGCCGGCCCATCGTCGAACATCGCCGCCAGCGGATTGTCCACGTACAGCTCTTGCTCGTGCTTCTGGATGTGCTTGCTAAAGTGTTCCTGGTCGGTGAAACGAGCCCCGCAAATGGTGCACGCCACCTCCGGAATGCGGATCTTCAGTGACGTGCCCGCATTTATAGTACTGCCCGACGCCACTCCGGCAGTTGTTCCATTGCCGTCGCTGTTTCGCCTCTCCTCCAGTTGCTGCTGCTCATCGTCATCCTCCTCGTCATCGTCATCGCCGGTTTTGTGCCGGAAAACTGTTCTTCTGGCCGGCTGGAGCGCCTGCTGTTGCTGCAGATGTGCATCCTGCTGTTGGTGGGCACCTGTCGAGGTGATCGGTTTGCGGTTGCAGGTGGGCGTGTGGTTGTCATGCATCTGGCGGTCGAAGAAGACCTTGCGGCACAGCGAGCACTCAGCTGGGTTGGGCACTTGCGGATGCTTCTTATAGCGATGAACCTGTGGACGAATATTGGAATAGTTAGTGTAACATATTGGTGGCTCAATATGTAGTATCCCCCCCCTTCGGCACACAGTTATATAGCTACCCAGAAGCTAATAAACTGGTTTATCCCAGCCAGACTTACCCATAGACTCTTGCGCCCACTGTAGACGTTTCCGCAATCCTTGCACGAATAATCGTTCGAGTCAAACTCGTCGTGCGAGTTGATGTGGATGGCCAGCTTCTTGTTGGTGTTAAAGTTTGATGGACAGTACTTGCACTGGTACCAGTACAGTGGAGCAGACACAGTAGATGCACCGGCCGCCAGGGTGGAAAGATCAGCTAAATCCGCTGTAGGCTTGACCTCATCCATTAGAGAGTCATCGTCAATCTTGGAGGACGTGGACGCCGAAGTGGAAGCGGAGGCGGAAGTCAGCTTGTGAACGCTGCGTTTGTGCTGCTGTAGCTCCGTC